TGAAAAAGCAGAAAGACTTTTAACCCTCTCCTGGAACCAAAACACAGCACCACAGTACAAACACTCATACGTCGGTGCACCATAGTACGACCTCCCCGAGTACGATGCTGCAAGATCATCAATCAATAAACTTCTAACATAACATTGCTAAACCAGCTGTCGCAATTATAGGGGATCTAAATAAACACAAACCCTTTAAAGCCTCAACATGATCCTTGTGAGAGCATGAAGAACTACCTCTATCAAGCTCAACATTAGCTGCAGTGAATCAGATATTAGTTTTAAGCAAGGCACCTAGTGTGACATAGATTAATATACCATTTGTGCCACCCCTCACCCGAAAGAAAGGAAGAATTTCCTATCCGAAGCAAACGGCGTCGTTGTCTATTAGAAGCTGCCAATGCAGGGCTAAAATCCATAAGAGAGAAAGCTCTTTTGGTCCCACCTGGCAAAGCCAGGGCGCTCCTCATGCATATTTCCTGTGTCAAAGCACGCGCTTTATGCCTTTCACGGCTGCACGTGCTCTGGATACTCCATCGCATGGCCTTTTCGACATCAGTATAACATGCCTATACAATCAGCACAGACCAGCAACACAAACATCATTTTACTGACAATACACGAAAAGCTAACAATACAAACTGCCAATTCCGAGTAGCCAAGAGCAATACAAACACAGTCTAAAACCAGATAGGAACTTCTAAACACCTATATTTCAAAAGAACCCATTTGTTCCATGTCTTCTACGAAAAAACTAAAATACAGTGAGCTACATGTCCTAAGAACATCATCACACCAAGGAACAAATGCACCATGAGAAGATCTGAAATGTGCCACACAACCAGAAGCAGACAATGCAGCCTGCACAGCATCACGTGCCAGCCGTCTGTAAGCTAGCATAGAGTTAAAATTGTAGTCATGCACTACGAAACCATAACGATGTTGGAGACACCTCAGTGCTCTTGCAGCAACCATTTCATGTGCACTCTGAAGCGGAGCTAAGGCCGTCTCCCAAAAGAACATAGTGTCTAGATGACCGGCACAACCCAATCGACGGGAGACTGACTTCAATACCAGCCAACAACGTACCATCGGAGCTAAACTCCCACAGGTACGCAATGCTAGGTATCATGCAGTGCTAAGCAACGGCATTCAGCAGCGAGACATGAGATACTCCCACGGCGAACATCACGGCTACACCACTGCCAATGGGAGAAGGAAAAAAAATAAGAGAGGATAAGATAGGCAAGTGGAGGAGAACAGTTTGTCCAGAGAAGAAACTATAGAAAAGCACATCCCAAGTTCAACGGCTAGAAGATTTTAATAAGGGGAAAGGCCAGAGCCAAGCATTCAAGGAAAGAAGACACTCGACCTACCACTCTGCTCTTCTATGTCCAACGATGGACAGGCACACTACCGTAGGGTATCTATATGAATAAATACTCAGGATAGTATAATACAGTGTAGTAGTATACAGCCACCAAACAAAGTGCATACCAAGCCAAAATAAAAAAAAGTGGCACGGCCCAGTCACGTGACTCCACGTAAGAAAACGACAGCACACACACAACAACAGCCAACACAAGAAAACCAAACCACATGCAAAGAACATGACCAAACAGATAAAATGCAAAGAGAAACTTTTCTTACCCCAGAGCCTGCGCACCCAACACTCACCCATCAGCAAGACCAAACAGCTAGATGAACTGCAAGAGGCAACCCCCAAAAAGGAAAATAAGTTTCTGCAAAATGCTAGCGACAGCAAATGCCTCTCTTTTGCCAGATCTATTATACCAGATCAGATCACCAGAAAGTCCACCGAAGCAACAGGGTGAAGTAAACCAAGAACAACCAATCACAGCAGCAAAGCCCTTCTCAAATCACCTACAAAATACATGCAATTCGCTCAGGATCTATGGAAACCCCCAAGCAAACCATCGGTAAGTAATTCATCCGTACAAACCTTGCGTTCGCCATTATCGCTCAGCAAAGCATGTCGACGAACACACCGAAGGAGAAGAGGAACAGCGAATGGCAAGGAGTAGAAGGCGAGGGAGCAGAAAACCTTGCAGCAAGCACAGGGAAAGTGTTCCTCTTTCACCGGCGTTAAACATGAACAGTTCAGCCTATACCTCGACCCGTATCTGTGTAAACCCTGCCCACACCACAAGCGCTATCCAACCAGCTGTATGGCCCACCCAGCAACGAGCCAATATCCGTGAACCGAGTGCACCCGAGTGCACGCAACAAACCACACACTGACCGTGCCACGTTCCGTCGTACATAGCAGGAGCACACGCAGCTCGAGAAAACTCCCGGCGCACCACAGACACATTGGCCAAGCCCCACATCCCAGTGCCCGTAGCAAGCACACTGGTCCATGGACACATCCCATACACAAGTTTTACCCTAGGATCCCGTATCTCCACTACCATTACGGCAGGAAGAGCGCACGATGGTGGCCCACAAAGAACTGTGGCGAGGGCCCGCCTGCCATTGACACAGATCATGTGCACCACGCTCACGAAAGCCATCTCTACTGGTCCACTGCTCCAACCTCGCATGCATGTCCGCCCTGACACTCCACTGCTCCAACCTCGCATGCATGTCCGCCCTAACACACAACACCGATTGGCCAAAACAGCCAACACCGAGTGCACTGGACCCATTCAGTTAGAGCCACATTGGCATAGAGTTATGGACCATAGGAGATGTCCACGCATGAACACACGCATAGGCACGTAGACCAACGTGTCAATCTCCTGTTCGCAAACGCCTCAGCACGGTTAAACCAAGGCCCAAACGCCACATCAAATAAGCACGGCCCATCCGCGATCCAACGGCCAGAAAGAAACGAACACACGCATAGGCACGCATAGGTGTGTAGACTAACGTGTCGATCTCCTGTTTGCAAGCCCATCAACACGGTTAAAGGAAGGGCCAAACGCCACATCAAATAGGCGCCGTCCATCCACGATCCAACGGCTAGAAAGAGGCGAACGGAGGCGCAGCAAAACCAGCCGCTCTAACGCTCCGCGTCGACGTGGATAGCGCCGGAAGCGAGCACACCACCCCCGAAACGCTGTGAGCGCAGCAAACAAGAGTCAGTATTCATATAGACGATCAGAACCGCAACTCCACTAAAATCACAAGTAGCAAACATGGCGAGCTCTTCCAATGTCGCTGTGAACTCTCTTGCTGGCCATGTCATCGCAGAAAAATTGAAAAGGGGAACTATCTTGTCTACAAGGCACAAGTTGTCCCTCCCGTCCATGGTGCTCGGCTGGAAGGATACCTGACCAACGCAAGCAAGGCCCCAGATGCTGAATTCAGCTCCTCTGAGAAAGATGGCAAGACCATCGTGCAACCAAATCTAGCCTATGAAGCGTGGATTGCTTCAGATCAAAAAGTTCTCCGATATCCTAAAATACTTGTCGCTTTAAGTTCTTGTTCGTAACGTTTAATCATTCGTCTTATTCAAAAAAGTATGAAATTATTATTTATTTTGTTTGTGACTTACTTTATTATGAAAAGTAATTCAAGTATGACTTATCCTTTTATATTTGCACTAATTTTTCAAATAAGACGAATGGTTAAACGTTGCAAGTAAAAAATCAAAGCGACCACTTATTTAGAACGAGGTAGTACATCGTTTCTTCTTTTTCAAAGGAAGTACTAACTCAAGTTCTCAACTTATCAACTGTTGCAGAAGTGTCGGGAAAGCACATCTTGTTCCTGTCTAGGAGGTTTACGCGCAGCTCCAAAGGTTCGAGAACCGGATGAATGAAGCTGTGACAAGAGGTGGTGAACTCTTTGGCCAACATCGCCAAGCGCAGTGAACGCAACGGTGGTTGCTTCAACTTCAATCGAGGTGGCAGGACAGCCGCAGATGGTGGTGGTCGTGGTCGCGGCAGAGGCCATGGTCGCAACAACACTGGAGGCTTTGGAGGCCGTACATGCAACGCCAACAACAAACATCCTCTTTGTCAACTTTGCAGAAAAACAGTCCACACTGTCTTTGATTGTTGGTACAGGTTTGACAAGAGTTCGTTCCAACCGAGAGAAGTGTTGCTGCCGTCTCCAACTTGTATGGGGTTGACATCAACTGATACATTGATACCGGTGCAACGGACCACATCACCGTGAGATAGAGAAGTTGACGGTTCGTGACAAGTATAACGACAAGGATCAAGTCCATACGGCAAGTGAATCAGGTATGGATATTGATCACACTGGCCATTCAATTGTTCATATATATGCCTCTAGTAATCACAAGTTATTCTTCAAAAATATTCTACATGTTCCAAAGGCAAAAAAAGAAAAAAAAATCTTGTTTCAGTTCATCGCTTTCTCTATGATAATCATTCCTTTTTAGAAGTTCACCCGTTCTATTTTTTGATAAAAGATCGGGTCACGAAGAACACGCTTCTTAAAGGGTGGTGTCGCCATGGCCTCTATCCCCTTCCTTCAGCATCCAGAGAGGGCTATGGAGTCATAAAACCTACTGTCATTGGGTGGCATGATCGCCTAGGACATCCATCCTAGTCCACGGTAAAAAAAAAATTTCGGACACCCCACGTTAAAAAAAAAAGAAAAGTAGCCTTGTCATGTCTTGAACACCCCAAAATGCTGCATTTTTTTTACAGATCACAGGACACAGATGTTACTACTTACTACCAATGCTGCAATTTCCTATGAGAAGTTTTATCAGCGACCAAAATCAGTTGCTAAAAATGTTAAATTTCAAATTTATTCAATGCAAATTTGACAACGTATAATCTTTTAGGGTTAGTGAGTAAACACTCCTTCTTCTGACCTAAAATGTAGTGGGCATGTTTCGAATAGTCCGGCAAGCTCTAAGATAGCAGGGCCTGCAGCAGCCGCAGTTGCAGTCCCACCTTGCCAAACAGGCCCAACATTTTTTTAGCTATATTTAGATATACAATATATATATAATTAGACACTAATATATTTTGAAATGGATGTAGCCGCGTATATAATCAGATGCAGCGGTCAAGGAGGCCGCAGACGACCATGAGCCCTACAACTAGCAGCCGATCCGCAGTGGGGCCCACTGTCAGGCTCAGAACGTCGTCTCTGAGAACAACCCCTGTGTCCGTCTGCTTCCTCCTGATCTCCGCAAGAACCTCACCTCCTGCGCTGATGATTCTGTACTCCAACTTGTGTGACGCGCCGTCGATGATCCTGTACACCTCTCCGGTCAGAGCAACCTCGACCGCAGCTCTGACATTGTATCGCCCTTCCTTCTTCAAAATCTTGTACTCCTTCTGCACCCTGAACCATGGCTGATCTTCCATGGTTGCAGCGGCATCGCCATTATTGTTGTTGCAGCTACAAAAGTGTGGTGAACAAATTGCTAGCCATAAAGTATGGCAAAGTTGGCAAGAGAATTAAGTCTATGATATATAGGACGTGCTATTAAAAAAGTGTGGCAAGCCATAACTGTGACAGTAAATCAAACACATACCTAACAAACTTTAGCAGCCTGGTGTGGAAAAGTATGGCCATGAACCAAACACCCACTTCATATCTTTATCCTTGATGAAAAGTTTTAACTAGGAACGTAGTACTAGTTAACTTATCCATCTTTCTGCAGACTGGAGGCATTTGGCATTCAGATATTGTAATTTAACTTTATCAATCCTAGTGGGAACAAATAAGCATGGGAGAAAGTGGAAACAACACTCTGAATCTTCTTAAACTCTAAAGTACATAGAAAACCCAACAACTGAAGTAAAAAAAAACACAAACTGAAAAGGCGAGAGTAGCACCTCCTTTCTCCCTCACAAAGACTACTTTATCCTTCAGTCATCAATTTCAAATTTAATTAACGCAAATTTGACCACATATTTTTGTATGGGTTAGTGAGCAATTTTCTTCCAGTGTGTATAGTATAATCAGATGCAGCGGTCAAGGAGGCCACAGACGACCATGAGCCCTACGACAAGAAGCCGATCCGCGGTGGGGCCCACTGTCAGTGTCAGAACATCGTCTCCCAGCACAACCCCTGCGTCCGTCTGCTTCCTCCTGATCTCCGCAAGAACCTCGCCTCCTGCGCCAACGATTCTATACTCCGATTTATGTGACGCGCCGTCGATGATCCTGTACACCTCTCCGCTCAGAGCAACCTCGACCACGGCTCTGACATTGTATCGCCCTTCCTTCTTCAGAATCTTGTACTCCTTCTGCACCCTGAACCATGGCTGATCTTCCATGGTTGCAGCAGCATCGCCATTATTGTTGTTGCAGCAGGAGTAGCCTTGCCATGTCTTGAACACTCCAAAATTCTGCAATTTTTTTTTCAGATTCACAGGACACAAATGTTAATATGTTATGTTACTACCAATGCTGTAATTTCCTATGAGAAGTTTTATCAGCAACCAAACGATATATTTGCAAACAATAATTAATTTGTGAATAAAACTTTTATGTACGTGTTCTTAGCGAACTAAAAGTAAAGGCTGAAAAATAAACTTCGATAAGAAAACCTCAAAATCAGCTTCAAATTTAAGGTTGAAAATTCAAATCTTGGCTGATAAGTTTAAGCATAAGCGAAAAGACGAGGCCGTCAATTTCACATCTTCAATGTACCTTCTTGAGTAGCTTCAAGAGCGTCTTGCCGCCGCTGTCCATGACGAACACCTCGCGGCTGCGCCTGCAGGCGTAGTTGTCGACGCGGTAGGCGGCGCGGCCGTCCTGGCCGTACACCGTGCATCCGCGGCCGTTGAACACCAGCGATTTCATCCACACCGTGTAACAAACCTGCTTCTTCTCCTGATGATCTGAATCCTTAGGGCTAGCAGAGGAGTGCAGGTGTGCAGAGACCGGCTGGATCCTAGGAGGAGCAATGGCCATTTCCTGACGAAATGAGGCGATGGCTGATGAGTTCAGGTTGATCAGGTTCAGGTTCAGATTTGCAGATTTGCAATGGCTCAGATGAATTAATACATTAGATGCATATATATATATAGCCATGGCTCATGCAGTTCAGCAATGTGCGTTGCATGGTCTGGTGACTGCAATAATGCTCACTTTTGTGTCAAAGATATCTGTTTTTCTTAGAATTAGATTGATTATTCTGCATGCAATGTTCACAAGGGTTTTATGAGCAAGATTTGTTTAGCTAGCCAGGGATCAGATACTGTACTGGTAGTGTACTAGCCCCTCTTTTGTTGGCTTTTGAAGTGGATGCTACATGTGTAGTACTATAATACATTCTCTACATTTGTACATATATCACGTGGATTTCCATGTGTGTATATGTGTAGTATAATATACTACCTGAATCCTTTTCAAGCGTGGTGTGCTCTTTTCTTTGCGTGTATCGATTCAGGCGAACTGCTCAAACGTGAAAAATTATAATTTATATCAGAAAAACAGTGTCTTTTATGGCTTTTGTAGTAGTGTGTCTGAGGGTGTGTTTAGTTGGGGAAAAGAAAATTTTTTGGTGTCACATCGGACGTTTGATCGGATGTCGGAAGGGGTTTTCAGACTCGAATGAAAAAACTAATTTCAGAACTCGCCGGGAAACCGCGAGACGAATCTTTTGAACCTAATTAAGCTGTCATTAGCACACGTGGGTTACTGTAGCACTTATGGCTAATCACGGACTAATTAGGCTCAAAAGATTCGTCTCGCTATTTCCCCCATAACTGTGCAATTAGTTTTTCTTTTTATTTGTATTTAATACTCCATGTATGTGTCCAAAGATTCAATATGATGTTTTTGCGAAAAACTTTTTGGAAACTAGACGGGCCCTGAATGAGAGGATCTGTATTTCAGGTTTCAGTCTTTCAGAGGGAGTATCCAGAAAACAGTGTGGTTGCTAACTTTTCTTGACTTGTGGTTGGTCACTTGTTCTAGATCTGTCTTTCAGAGGTTGGTCACTTGTTCTATTTCAGGTTTCAGTCTTTCAGAGGAAGTATCCAGAAAACAATTGTTCATGCTCTGCACAAGATACACATTGCTTTAGCCCTCTCAAACTTCGATTTCTTCATGTGATCGCTCTATATGTGTTAGTAGCTTTACACTTCTATGAGAAAGGGAGAATATTGTAGCTTTGCAATTTAGTACTACTACAGGAGAATAACTGTGCATCATGCAAGACATTGGACAGGTGAATTTCTTCTTTTTGAAAAGTGATCACTCCATGGATATGCCTTTATTTTTTTCTTCTTTCAAAATGCTGCCCTCTTTACTAGTAGTACTAGGCTGTGTTTAGATCCAAAGTTTAGATCCAAACTTCAATCATTTTCCATCACATCAACCTGTCATACACACACAACTTTTCAGTCACATCATCTTCAATTTCAACCAAAATCCAAACTTTGTACTGAACTAAACACAGCCCTAGTTAAAATAAGACCAGAATGTTCCTACAAGCAGTTACACAAAATTGTTATTTGACCAACTGTCTGAAGAGCAACCATGGAATCTGTACATGAAAAATGATCCTTTATTCCTTTAATTTTTCACCAACAGCTATCCATCAATTTACATTGATCTGATTAATAGCATGTTAAAGTCGCAGGGTATAAAAACAATTTCAGTCAGACACTTGTTATGTTTAAGGCATCACAGAACTCATTTGAAACTCCAACATTCCAAACAAGCCTTAAAAACTATCACTATTAAACAATTTTATAATATGCAAACAATGGCATTACGTACTGTACTAATCCAAACGTTAAGGTGTCATTTTCTTTTAATTTCTTTTAGTTTGCGCGAGAGAAGTTTGGAGAAAAAGCGTAAGGTTCGGTCAGCAAAGGTTTGGTTTTCTTTGCTGATTAGCTAATATTAAATCCCATCTTCGCTTGCTGAATTTCATTTCCCAGAAAGATTCGATCTGTCCCATATAAATTATATTAGTACTGTATTATGTAAGCATGGGTTTTGTGCCTTGGAACAAAATAATTCAAAGTCTTCCAAAGTTCAATGGCACATCTCAGGGTGCTACCATATCTACCAAATAATTTATGCTCATTATTAGCTTGGTAAACTGCACAAGACTCCCAGTTTTTTGGCAGCCCTTGCTTTGTTTAGTGCTGTACCTTGTGAGCATCTTGTCCATACTACTAATGAAAATTAAAATAGAAGATGATTTGCTTAATTCAATACTACTAATGATCGGCATGTATGTCCATTTTATGCCATCACCAGGATTAGACATTTCCCAAAAAGCAGGAAGCTCTTGAAACCTAACAAAATAAAAACCTGACAAATTAAACAAGTGCATGCATTGTAGGCAAGATTAGGAAAACTTTAGTGATTAATTTTATGGTACTCTGTCATGTGTGGATAAGTGATCTTCGTAAGCAAAGTAGGATGAGAAGGTGAGACACTGAGACTGTTGATGACATCAGAGAAAGTTGGAACAACAATAGAAATTAAATCGGCCTCCCAGACGAGTCCATGAAAGATGAGAGAAAATTAAGCTTTACTTAGGTCTGGGTACTTATCCTGGTTTATATATTGTCACCAAATTAATAGAACAATCTGCAGTTACGATCGATGTGATCAGTTCGATCGCACATGTTACACATTTCGAGTGATGACCTTTGTTCTAAAAAAATGCTACACATTTCGATGAGATGGAAGTTCAAGCTCTCTGTACTATGCAACAGTGTTAATTATCATCTTCTCAGCAACTTCTGCTGCTAAATTATGAGAGCAGATCGTCCTTGATTGAAGGAGCACTACGTACTTGTATATTTGTGTGGAAAATTCAACAGAAGAACTTGCTTTCATTTTTATGGATTCATTTACACTTCAAACCTTTTCTCCCTAGCTTTCGGAGCGCATGTGAACACGCCTGTCAAAGCACACGTCCACACACTGAGCTGTAACCTGTTAACTACCTTTTCCAAATCTTGCACATACTAGTAGCCAGGAGTAGTATTTACCTCTGTAAGCACAACCGTGTGCTTCTAATTTGTACCCCATGATTTGTTCAGTTAAATAGGGGAACATATCATATGCATATAGGTCTTCACGTGCACTACATATTGTTGAAATTAACTAATAAATATTCAAAAAAGATATTGAAAAAAAGTTCATATGTACCTTTTTATATTACAACTATGTGTAAAAAAAGTCTCATGTTCAAACTTATCATATATAGGGAAAAAGATAGAATTCTACCATATTTATACTCTTAAAACTATCATATTTTTTATTTTTTAAAACTAAAATATAATGAACTTGAGATTAAAACTTTACACATGAGTATAATATTATTGGAACAGACACAATTTTTTTTAGAATTATTTGTTACCTTTGTTAGTTGGTATGCACGATTTAGGTTTATGTTAACTAATATTACATTTAAGCTATCTTTTTGAAACTAGTACCCACAAGGGCCCCAATAGAATATTACAGGATTTTTTTTATAGAGATTAAGTAAAAAGTTCTAATATATTTTAAAAATCCTTTGCTCTAAAGAAACCACAAACATGAAATTAGTCTGAGCAAGAGTGCACTAGGCAAAAATGTGATGCTAATCGCTCAATTAATAGTACAGTCTACGGAGAATAGTGAGTGACTAGTCCAAAGCTAGATCGAGCATAAACAAATTTAGCATTAACACTTTATTCTATCATATCGCGTGACACATACGAGTGCGTACCCAAATTTAATTTAATCCTCCAAAAAACAGATTTTAAAAAAAAATTAGAACACAACCACCTTTAAATACGCGAGGCCACAGCCACTGACACCATCCATCCTCCCTAACCATCTCATTGCTGCCGCAGCAGCAGCCGAGCAATCATCTTCTCGATCGATCCCGGCAATGGCCAAGATCCAGCCCCTTCCGGCAGCCTCGCCGTCGGCGGAGTGGCACCATGGCGACGGCGGCGGCGGCGGTGTGCAGGGGAAGCAGGCGGTGTACACGGTGTGGATGAAGTCGCTGGTGTTCAACGGCCATGGCTGCACGGTGTACGGCTCCGACGGCCGCGTCGCCTTCCGCGTCGACAACTACGGCTGCAGGGGCAGCCGCGACGTCTTCTTCATGGACACCGCCGGCACCACCCTCATCGGAATCCAAACCAAGGTACCAATCGATATATGAGGCTGTTCATGAGAGATTTTAGCTGCTACAGCTTCTTTTAGAATTAAAAGTTCCCTAAACAATATAGCTTTGCTTTTAGTTCAGATAATAAGAAGCTGTAATTTTAGAATCTAGAAAATAAACTAAAAGTTACGAGCTAGGAAACCCAACTTTTCCAGATTATCTCCTAGATTATCGTAAACTTGCTAGTGATATGTTTTTAGCCTGATTCGCTTAGCCAATCGATCGCCATTGTTGTGCGTGCAGAGCTTCGGGATGATGAAGAGATGGGAGGCGAGCCGGCACCACGGCGGCGAGAAGGAGACGACGACGGCGACGGTGACGACGCCGTGGTTCAGAGTGCAGAGGGGCCGAGGTCCAGGAGGAGCCATGGCCACCGTGACGCTGCATGGCGGCGTCGGGATGGCGTACAGGATCGACGGGTGCCCGAGCAAATCGGAGTACAGGATCAGCCGCGGCGGCGGCGGCGGCGGCGGCGGCGACGGCGAGGTGGTGGCGGAGGTGGCGAGGAAGCAGACGGCGTCGGGGGTGGTGCTCGGTGAGGACGTGCTGACGCTGACAGTGGGCCCGGGTGCGGATCACCTCCTCGTCTTGGGATTGGTCGTCGTGTGTGGCCTCATCAGCCGTGCTATGTGACTCTACAACCACAAGAACGAATTTGTTCTTGTTTTTTTCCTTTTTTTTCTTTTCTTTTATTTTAAAAACTTCTTTTAAAAAATATATTTTATTGCTGGTTTAGATGGTAGATGAAGACACCAGTTTGAAATTGGGATTGAGTTTGTTTGTAGGGAACAGTTTAGACAAGGTTTTTCACCAAGCTGTGGACGGTAGTCCCTCTTGTGGTGGATGTTTTTTTTCCCCTTCTAGGGGTTTGTCTGAACAATCATTAAGATTGGAATATATAAGTACAGAGTTTTTTTTTTTGGTGATGATGTAATTTCTCTTCTCTAATGTTTTCTCATTGCTATTGCTGTCATACAATTATTATGTGGCCATGCTTTGACATACTAATAGGGAAAAGGGTATCACTTTCAGAGTTTACAGGTTAAGAACTAGGTGCTTCTCATCATCCAAGTTCATGCACCCTGGACTCGGCCTACATGGATAACATATCCACAAATATTTTAGTACAATGCTCTTAAGACCCAATTTGGACTCTGTTTATGTCCTTTATGATAACAATTCGGTACTGAGAGTACAGCAGGACAGTGACTCAACTACACAAGACAGTCTATCATATTCAGTGTGATTACTATACCACAAAACATATGATACAGCCTACAGAAGGCGTAGTTTACCAGGACGAGAGGTTCATTACGGCACACAACCACAAATACACTGCATATATAAACAAATCGCCATCTCACTTTAAAACTTAGGGCTGGTTTGGTTTGATATCTAAATTAGTCTTACCAATATTTGATAATTTTAATAGTGTTTAGTGTCTACTTGGTTTGAAGCCAAATTTTAGCATGCCTAAAAAATAGGCCATTTTAATAGTGAGTTTAGGCTATTTTGGTTTTAATCCAAACATAACTTTACCTTACTAAAATTAGTCATGTCAAAACTTATCAAAATTTAGCATTGATAAATTTGGTAATATCTATTTAGACCAGAAACCAAACCAACCCTTAATTAAACAACGTCCGTCCATTTCGTTGTATTATTAAACGCATCGGTTTAAGTTTTATAATTAAGGTTGCCTGGCTGGCTGCTTACTGCAGAAACGAGCGGCACGCATGTGAGCTGAGAAATCAAAAGAGTTTTGATGCTGCTGCTGCTGATTACGCCATGAAAGCTACGCGCGAGCAGCAGCAGCAGCAGAGGCGGCAAGGAGGGAAGGGAATACTAGGCTAGCTAGCGAATTGCTTGCATCATGTAGCGTTGTCGTGTTGCATTCCTATGTACAGGTTGGTCAGGTCTCGCCAGCTAACTATGCCGGCGATGGACGTGTGTGTGTCGGGTGGTCTATGTACACTAGCTTACCAAGGTTGGGTTCCATTCCGGTGATCACTCGAAGCCGGGTGATATATGCCACAGTACTGGTATAAGTGGTGGAGCCAGCGAAATCATCGAAATGCTATCGCACAAATATGTTTGGTTAAATTACCACTTTCAATCGCGGTGTCTGTATCAAAATATCATTCCGGATGAACTTGCTCGTGGGCTCTTTTTTTTCGAGGGAAAAGAACAGGAGCTCTGTCAATTTCAATTTAGGGGGGAGAAAAAACAAAGTTTTTACAACATACAGCCTCCAGGATTAGGTGAACTCCCTGGAAGAAATACTCATGGGCTTTTATTCTTCCTCCCTCCAGTACCATTTGTATTGTTGAAGAAGCGGCGGCAACCGTGCACTACGGGTAAGCCTCCACCTTAGCCCTGCTGAAGTTGCACGGGACAGGAAGAGGAAGGAGGAGCACAAGAGCCTTGAGCGAGCTAGGCGTCGTCGCTAGGCCTCCACCACTAGTGTCCTATGCTTGCATGCTCACCACACCGGTGCCATCCATCATGTGTTGCAGTTAGCAAGATGTATCGAGCCGCTGTTGATCCCTAAGTTAGTTACCGCCACTCCCATGAAAACCCTAGCCTCGATAACTTATTGCCGGTTAGTACGGGGAGGACCACCCTTATAACATGTGGTATAGGGTTTAATTGGAAAGGGTCAGCAGCTCCAACTAGCCATCTTGGTCGTCCATCTCGATTTGGCTCGCGCACTCCTCAGATTCTCTCCAACCATTAGGGAAGATGATAGAGTTGAGGATGATGAGGACAGTTTCCATCCTAAAATGGTATTGCATTATATGCTATTCCCTCTATCTTAAGATATAAGCATTTTTAGAATAGTGTAAAGTCAAACTTTTTAAATTTTGACTATTAATAGCAAAAAGTCTAAAAAGATTAATCATATAAATTTGATGTTACTATATTTATCATTAAATGAACTATCATAATATGCAACTTTTTTTATTTGAAATATTTTACTTTTGTAGATATTATTGGTCAAAGTAATATCTTGTAGACCGTGTCGAGACTCAAAAATGCTTATCTTTTGAGGAAGCCCATTTATGCATTGATATTTTGGTGGAGCTTATCTTTTTTTAGGCATAATCCTAAATTCCTCGCCATTAAGCTTGTATGAATCAAAACACTCAAGTTTATATGACGCCGCGTAACATTTCATCATCGTTCATCTTATTAATTTTTTTAATTTTGTTGTGACGTGTTTTATCATAAAAAAATCTATAATGGATCTGTTTGGAGGATATTTGCTGCGGCGCTGGGCCATCCTAGATTTGAACGAGAGACCTAGCTCACCCGTGAAGTAAATCACCGTCCCTACGATCCAACCAATTGGCTATGCTTGTATTGTACTATTGTTGCTGTAGCAGCTGCGGCGTCATATTCCAATCATAACTTATCATTTTACATATTTAAATTATTCTTTTAATAAATAAAACGAACGATACAATGTGATACCAAATGTTAGACAACATCCTACATTTCACCGTTTCGGAACGGAGGGATAATAAGGCCTTATTTAGTCAAAAAAAATTTTGTCTAAAAACGTCACATCGAATATTTGAACACATGCATGAAGCATTAAATATAAATTAAAAAAATAATTGCACAATTTGTATGGAAATCGCGAGACGAATCTTTTGAGCCTAGTTAGTTCATGATTAGCTATAAGTGTTACAGTAACCTAGATATGCTAATGACGGATTAATTAGGCTTAATAAATTCGTCTCGCAGTTTTCAGGCGAGTTATGAAATTAGTTTTTTCATTCGTGTCTGAAAACCCTTCCAACATCCAGTCAAACATCAGATATGACATCCAAAACTTTACTTTTTGCGAACTAAATAGGGCCTTAGTAGAGTACTCCGCCCGTCTCCTAATATAAGGGATTTTGATATTTTGCTTACACTGTTTGACTATTCGTCTTATAATTTTTTTTGGAATTATTATTTATTTTATTTGTGACTTACTTTATTATCAAAGTATTTTAAGTATAACTTTTATTTTTTATATTTGCATAAATTTTTTGAATAAGATGAGTGATTAAATAGTGCAAGTAGAGGGAGTACGTTTTAGCATGAAGAGAGTAGGCTATTTATCGCTTTGACTGTTCTACATCTTGCCTCGCCGTGCACCGCAGTCCGCCGCACTACCAGCGCCGGCGCTTACCGTCGTTACCGACGCAGCCTCGCCTACACTACACCCTCGATCCTTCCCCAACCACCACCGCAGCAAATACACCGCCGCGGCGCCGCGCCTCTTGGAGGCTTCGACGCGCGCCCAAAAAGCGACCGCGGCTTCCCGTTCCCGAACACCACCACCCCTCCCCCGAATCGAATCCAATCAAATCCAATCGAATCGCCTCTCCGTCCTCCGCGGCGGCGGGCCGCCATGCCGCTGCCGACGATGACCCACTCCTCCTCCTTCCTCCGCCTCCCCGCCACCTCCTCGCCGCACCCGCCGCCCGCGGATGATGCTTCCGCGGCCTACGCCGTCGTCGTCCTCAACCAGCGCCTGCCCCGCTTCGCCCCCCTCCTCTGGGACCGCGGTATCCTTCTTCTTCTTTGCCTCGATGATGCCCTTCGTTCGCTTTTTTAGGTTTGGTGTGGGCTGGCTGACTGATGATGACGTGGTTTGTGGTGTGTCGTGGTGGGTGGCGAGAGCAGCGCGGCTGCGGGTGTGCGCCGACGGGGGTGCCAACCGGGTGTTCGATGGAATGCCGGAGCTGCTGCCCGCCGAGGACCCGGACCAGGTCCGCATGAGGTGACCGATAGTTTCCAGCTTTATTTATCCCCCCCCCCCCCCCCCCCCCCCTACTGTTCTTTGTTTGCATGTGTCCTCTCCTCGCGCGTTTTGAGTCAGGCTTGGCGGTCATGATGGAATGCGTGGGAGGCGAGTGAATCTTGTTTTCGTTAGTATTTCATTATGCAGAGGAGTGAAACTGTAAATGTTGTCATGGAAGCGAGTACTGTCTAGCTGAACCAGATACCACTAGTTAAGTGTTATTTCTCGATATGTTTATCTCCCATGCTTTACATGTTTCCGTTATTATATGTTTAAGCAAATGCTGAAGTTCCCCTGATATGTTCAAGTTGAGTAATTTAGTATGCAACACCTTATAGATGTTAATTTCCTGTTGGGTTATGGTTTAGTGCTTTAGCTAACGAAGTGCTCTTTCATTTGATGAACTCTGTTAAAAGTTTTGTTCTTATCTGCATGATTGCTAGTTTTGTTTTCGGTGAGCTTAGAATAACATTCTTAAATTAGCCGAAGTTGCCCTCACAGACCTGAATGTACGCGATATTGCGCCAAAGGCTATCTGAAGCCACACAAAATTACTCAAAATCTGGGATGAACTACAGGTCTAAAGCAGCTTCAACTTGTGTCTTCTTCACTATGAACTTTTTTTTCCTATCTTTGGTTGCCAAAGGTTTGGGAGACATTTATGCATCCAACAGAGGAGCATGGCTAGTTGATTTGCCATACCTGGTAGTTGGCAAGAGACTGTTTTCTTTAAATTGTTGGTTGGGTTTAAAGACAGCTTCTTTGTTGGGTGTTCATATATTTATTAATTTGTGCTCATCTTCCTGCAGGTACAAGCCAGATGTGATCAAAGGGGATATGGACTCAATAAGGCCAGAAGTGAAGGAATATTATTCCAATCTGGTAACTATTTTAAAAATCACTTCAAGTTGAAACTAGCTGCTAAGGCTGGATGTTAAACCAGCAATACTGTATGCAGCAACTGTCCAGGCAATTTTCACTGTAATGTGCAGAAATAAATTGATGTTGCTGGATGCAGTATTTTTGTATGTAATATATATTTGGAATTTTGGATGTCACAGGCTCACAGTTTAAGTCTTCTAATTTAGATGACTTTACTAATTACAGTAATATGTGAAGAATTATTTTCAATTTCCTTTGTGAAATCAGCATACTGAAATGATTTACAGTGACTAGGTTTTAAACATATCAATGTCCTTAAAAATCAGGAAGGTATAAACAGCATGCTTTATTTATATTTTAGCATTGCTGTTTAGGTAATCTGTATCTAAGAAAACAAAATGTGTATTGCATGGCCTGATACTGTATTATCTTTTTTTTTATTGAAATTGCATGCTCAGAGTACTGCTATATGTACGTCTCTATTTGTCTTTCTGGATATGTTGTTGATTGTCCACAAGAAGCTCATCTGCTTAACTAAAATATGTGCATTTTGTTTTGACCTGTTGACTGCTGTATATGTTATAACCACTTTCGAGAGGAACGATAGTAAGTTCAATAATGGGAGATCCGTATTTAGTTCAAGTTTTTTTTTTCTTTGTTTGCTATACACAGCTGATGCAATCTGCTTCAAGAATTAATATGTAACCTCCTAATTCTGATGAGCTTGACATTGTTCTTTGCCATCTAATAACACGCTGTTCTTCTGTTGCAGGGTGCCGAAATAGTTGATGAATCACATGATCAGGACACCACTGACCTGCATAAATGTGTATCATTTATCACCAGAAATCCACCTGGCTCTGAAGAGTCTAATGTACTGAGCTCAATTGTTAATCATAACAAGAATTTCAGAACCACCGACCACACAACATTAGCCTTACAAATTTTACTGTATTCTTTATCTGCAGCTGTATATTCTTGTTCTTGGTGCACTTGGAGGAAGGTTCGATCATGAGATGGGGAACATCAACGTGTTATATCGCTTCTCAAACATCAGGATTGTCCTCCTGTCTGATGACTGCTCAATCTTTCTGCTCCCAAAGACGCACAGCCACGAGATCCATATCGAGCGATCAATCGAGGGTCCTCATTGTGGATTGATTCCAATGGGTTCACCATCGGCTAGCACTACCACCACAGGGCTCCGGTGGAATTTAGGTATAAGCATCAAACTTTACAGTTCTTTGTTGTATCATGTATGGCAACAGCATCTGAACTGATAGTCATTCTGCACTTTGTCTTCAGATAATACTAGCATGAGCTACGGTGGACTGATAAGCACATCTAACATCGTGGAAGAGGAAACAGTTAGGATCACTTCAGATTCTGATCTGATTTGGACAATATCACTCCGGAACTGAGCTTTAAATTACCCATAAATGTATCTTGATCCAAATTTTGGCTCCTTAGTATAGCATGGATGGGCTACATTTTTGTAACTTAGATTTTTTTTTCACTGATCTACTGTTAGTAAACAGGAAAGGTATCCATATGTGTAAGCCTCTTGGACATGCATCCATTATAGAAAAAAATATTATTAACTGTGTTGTTCAATTCTCATTCCAGCCTTCTACTGCAATTTTCCTCCCCAAATTTTGAAGCATTTCATCGCAAAATTTAGAAGCTTTCGATGCAAAATTTGATTGTTTGATAGGGCATTTGGATGTTTCTAGGCGAGAAGCCACCATCATCCTACTAAGCAATTGACGCATATCATATGCAAGCAAGTGAAGTCCTTATCCACCCCAACCACCATCTCACTGCCAGTGGGCCCGAACCCCAGCAATTCGGAGGGGCCCCACCCTCAAATCCTGATATTTTTCCGGAGGCCCTCTTCCACTGCACCTGGGCCCCACATGGCCCCACCCCGTCGCGATCGCTTTTCTTCTCCCCCAAGACCAGAGATTACTTGCGCTTCGATTTGATTTTAGGTCAATGCTCGAAGCAATTTCTCCTCCTCGATCCTTCTAGAAGCCCGAATCGAAAGGCTAAAACCCTAGAAGCAGATACGCTTCAGCGCGAAACCCTAATCCCCAAATGGCCCCAATGGCGGGCGGCGGCGGGGTACCGTGGGGGGACCGGGCCAGGGTGGTCGGGGCGCAGATCCGCAGCAGGTTCCGCGTCGGCGTGGCGCCCGTGGACCGGCGGTGGCTGTGGCGGCGCGGGGACGGGCGCGTCGCCTCCGAGGCGGTCCGGCAGTGGACGGAACGCGTGCGGAGCCTGTGGCAGAGGGAGAAGAGTACGGATCAGATCTCCTCGTCTCCGGGGACGTCCCAGGTGGCGGCCGCGGCGAAGCCATCATCGAGTGCTTTGAGGTTCTACAGAAAGAAAGGTGCAATCCTCTTTTCTTATTTTGATCGATCTGATTCGCCTCTTGATGTGCCCTAATGATGTGTATTAATGGCTCGAATGGTATGCGCCTAATGCTATATAATGGTTCGATACTTCAATCGTCCATAGCTAATCAGTAAACACTCATTTCTTGTGATCTGATGTTTGTAACTTCATAGTATCTTGTCCTCTTTGATGTTGGTTGATTATGATTAATACCCCTCTGGCGGAAGAACCTGCGGAATAACCTGATTTTAGCCTTATGACTCGTGGTTTATTTTGCTGATGATGGATCATATGAATATACTTTGGTCTAAAAAAAATATTTGAGTAGATTTTTCCTTCTTTTTTTTCTGAATTATTTTGTTTCTGTCTATAGTGGGCAAGGAGGTTGATGGAATTGAAGATTCTGTTATTTTTCGGTCGCTTCAAGCATTGGCTGTTCCTCTTATTGGCAATGCTTGTCATATTTTTATGCATGGCCTCAACTCTGTTCAGGTATTGTGCTGGAGAGCACTTCTCATACTTGAATCTATACTGTTTCACTTGTCTAAACAAGGAATTCTTGCAGATTTATGGTGCAGAGAAACTTCAGCAGGCATTACAGGAGAGACCTAAAGGCAAGCCTCTCCTAACGGTATGTGATATTATAGTCACAACGCATACTCTGTTTCATGACAATATGGCATACTATTATGAGCTTGCTAAGTGGAATGACTGTATTATCTTCTTTTAGAAGATTATCAGTTGCCTACTTTTCTCAATGGATTGTGGTATCAAGTGATTTCAAATCATTCACCTAAAAACTCTAGTTGATATCTTCTTAGTATAACACATGTTCCAGCTCTCGTGTATACATTGTCCTGACCACTTTTCTGTTTCTATCTCGTGTATGTATTTCAGGTCAGCAATCATGTGGCAGCTATGGATGATCCCTTTGTAATTGCGTCAATTCTCCCACCATCAGTCATGTTGGAAGCTCAAAAGCTGAGATGGACATTATGTGCGAGTGATCGTTGCTTTACAAATCCAATTTTGTCTACATTCTTCAGGTCTGTTAAAGTGCTACCTGTTTCTCGTGGCGATGGCATCTACCAAAAGGTATCTTCATTGAGATTATTATGTTTGATTGCTGCTTAATGGTGTAAAATTGTTTCTTTAAATATTTCTGCAGCAGAGTGTCATGCTTGTTTGTGTTGATGAATACATTTATTGATGATTAGTGACCAAAAATGGTGTTTAAAAAATTGGCTGTTAAGCTGTCCTGTAAGGGTGTCGCTCTAAAGTGGACAGTTGGAAGCTACTCTATGAAATTTGCTTTAAACTACTCAACTTTCCTATAAATGACGAGCAATTTGAAGACTACATTCTTTTCAGTAGCTATAGTGCTATACTTGTGAGTAATATTGCTGGCACTGCATTGAAGCCACATGGGCATACTAAACCATTTTTTGGATCAGTATTCCAAGCTATCTAGTGTTTTGGGGTGTACTTTTCAGGAGGAGTATGCTTCATATATAAAAAATGATTTTCCCCTTTGAACCCAGATGTATAATGTATTGCATGCCTATATGCCCCTTTAGTGCATTATCAGGCTTGCTCTTCACTAATCACTACCATTATTTTATTTGTTCAGGGAATGGACATGGCACTTTCAAAGTTGAACAATGGTGGATGGGTTCATATTTTCCCAGAAGGAAGTCGTTCAAAGGATGGAGGGAAAACCGTCGCTCCTGCCAAGAGAGGTGTTGGAAGGTTAGAAGATCATTTGTACTGAACAACCTGTTATTAGCTGTCTTCTGTTTCTGCAATAAAACCTGCATTTTACATATAAATATACCATTTTGCAAAGTCTTCGGTTTATATAATTTTTATTTTTGTTGATTCTCAAGCACCCAGCCTAAGTCTCCCTTTTGTCTTGCCAGATTGGTAATGGACGCTGACAGCCTTCCAGTTGTAATACCCTTTGTCCATACAGGAATGCAGGATATAATGCCTGTCGGAAAACGTATTCCAAGAGCAGGCAAAAGGGTGTGTACTTTTGTACATATTAACTGATGCAAGTTTTATTGCTATGCTTGTGTGAATAGCAAGGTACTAACGTTGAAGCCATTTATTTTGTTTCTTTTAGGTGATTGTGGTTGTTGGTGATCCAATCAACTTCAACGACCTTATCATTGACAACAGCGATGAAACCCAACACATCTCTAGAGGCATTTTGTATGACAAAGCAACAGAAAGGATTGGGCAGAGACTGCAGGAACTGAAAGCCGAAGTCGATAGATTAGCAGCAGAGCAGAAATCTGAACTCCAACATCATCATGCCCGTGATACTGTCAACTATGGTACCCGACTGTGGCAGCAGGTTGATTGGGAAGCATTTGGCATGGAGAGTTCAATGCTGTCACCAGAACCTTCAGACGTGCAAGAGCCGTTGAAGAAAGCCAAGCCTGTACTACACCTGGAATCTGAACATGCCAAGCCTGAACTACACCTGGAACCTGAGCAAGCCAAGCATGAGCTACACACGGAACAATGCGTTCCTGCAGCTCCAAGTGCCGAGATCTGCTCCAATTTCGGTGTTCCGCTCTTCTTCAGACAGCACACGGACCCTTCTGAGCTCATGGGGTTTGCCGCCCGTGGCCTGCTCAAGAATGGCAGGTTCATGGAGGAGGAAGGCTACCGGGAATTGCAACGGCAGGGCGCAATGAACATGTTTTGGGGATCTCAGGCCAACAATACTGTACTATAGTGAGCGGCCTTACTCATGAATGTGGCCGCGCCCTCCTTTGTACATAAGTTTACTGAAGATGACACGCCGACACGAATTAGGACAGCTTCTTGTTTCTTTGCTGCATACAGTTTTGGAACAAACGAAGTGGACACACCTTCTTTCTCCTAGGGGCAACTTGAATGGCATATGCATTTCGCTTCTCAAGAATCATATAATACGCATGGTTTATATTATCATGTAAACATGGTTACATTCTAAATCAAGAGCCTCATCTTTTCGCTTATTCTTATCAGCTAAAATTTAAAATTTTAACTTTAAATTTGGAGTTGATTTTGGGGGGTTTTTTTATCAAAGTTTATTTTTCACCCTTTGCTTTTAGATTGTTAAGAACACGTATATAAAAGTTTTATTCATAAATTATTTTCTGTTTGCAAATATGTTGTTTGCTTATTCTACGAATAAGCGAAACGATAGGGCCGCAAGTCTAAGATGATCTCTGGGATTTCATAAGAAAGAATTTCACGTGAAAAATGTTCCAATCCCTGAGAAAAATCTGATGTTCACGACAGATCAAACGTGCATTTCGTGCTTCCTCTGGCAAATTTATTTGTCTACATTGAAATTTTTACCTAATATACGGCTTCTTCTCTTTATGCCATTGTAATTAAAAGAAGAGTGAAAAAATAAAAATCTCTGGATACTTTATGGCAACGGTACAAAGCCACGCAGCATCACGGCCTCCTCTCCCAACGTTCACTTGCGATTTCGAACATTTTATAGCCGTTACACTCCCAATCTCCTCGTTTAAAATTCCAAACCGCCCAACTCACCAAACGCATCAACTACTACCCCAAATTTTCTATCTCCAATTTCTTCACCCTTCTCAGATCGATCAGGAAGCAGCAAGCAAATCCATCATCCATGGCACTCCGCGCGCTCGACAACACGCTGCCGATGGCGTCGGCGGAGCGGCCCAAGAAGTTGCCCAAGCTGTCCGCCGCCGCCGCCGCCGTCGTCCCGGCGGCCTCACCCGAGGGGAAGAGGAAGAAGAACGACGAGAACTCGGCGCCCAAGGCCACAACGGAGCAGGCGGTGGAGTACGTCCGCTCCGAGGATCTCCAGCCGGTGCCCCACCCCAAGGCCAAGGCGGCGGGGTTGGTGGCGGAGCTTGACTCCAAGGACTGGATCCGGGCGTGCGACGCGCTCAACGACGCGCGCCGCCTCGCGATCCACCACCCCTCCCTCCTCAACCCCATCCTGTACGCGCTCCAGTTCATCCACAATTCACTGCTCTTGATTTTGAGCAGGAGAAGTGTTGGTGGGATTTTCAATTTGATTTGATTTGGTTTTGTGGCTAATCGAGCAGTGGCAAGGTGATGCTGGCGATCGTGAAGACGATGAAGAGCCCGCGCAGCGCGGTGTGCAAGACCTCCATCATGGCGTGCACCGACGTGTTCGACTCCTTCGGCAACCTCCTCTCCTCCGCCTCCGACGACGCCTTCGACAAGCTGGTACGTTCTTACAATGGCTGAACAATCTACAATCTTCAGTTCACTGAGCTGACAACAATTTGCGGTTGCAAAAATCACCGCAGCTGCTTCAGCTGCTGCTGAAGGCGTCGCAGGACAAGCGGTTCGTGGCGGAGGAGGCGGAGAAGGCGATGCGGGCGATGGCGGCGTCGATGCCTCCCCTTCCGCTCCTCAGGAAGCTCAAGGCGTACGTCCACCACGCCAACCTCAGGGTGAGGGCCAAGGCCGCCGTCGCCATGTCGCAGTGCGCGTCGAGGATGGACGTCGCGACGATGAAGGAGTTCGGGATGTCGGCGATGCTGCAGGTGGCGGCGGAGCTGCTGAGCGACCGGCTGCCGGAGGCGAGGGAGGCGGCGCGCGGGATGGTGAACTCGATGCACGCCGCCTTCTCCAAGGAGGCCGCCGCGGCGAGGGAGGAGGAGGAGGGCGCCGCCGCGGCCGCGGCCGCGTCGTGGGAGAGCCTCTGCGCGCTCAGCTTGCCGCCCATCTCGGCGCAATCCGTCGCCAAGATCGTCTCGCAGTCGCAGTCGCAGTAGCCATCCGTCGCCAAGATCATCTCGCTGATGGTTGTAGCTTTCGATTTGATTTGATGGATGGTTCGGCACGCACGCCGAGGCATTCAACTGCTTTGGTTTAGTTTAGTTTAGCTTCGTTTGAGTTGCTTACCGTGAGGGGGGCGATTTGTTTTTTTATGTCTTTGTTTATTATTAAAGCATGCTATCTCGCATGGTTGTTTGAATACTAGTAGTATTTTTCATTTAGGAATTGTTTATGTTTAGACTTTGGAATAACTCAAGTTGTATCGTTTTGATTGGGCTATTCCTCAACGTGGTCTCAAAATCAAATTCTATGTGCGATGGCCCCCTTTCTTCGGATTTATCATCGGATACATTTTCTTGACAGTTTTATTTTTAGCTTGAACCGCTTGTGTTTAAGCTAATACTCCTATGTGTTAAGTTTTATTTCTTAAAATATTTAATATTATACTCCTATAATTACATTGTATGTAATTCGTGAGAGTAATTAGGTGAATACCAGAGAAAAAAAAACTAAAATGTTCTTTACGTTTTCAAATTCTTATGTACTTGTCTCCCACATTTTCAAAATTCATTACATAATATATTGATTGCCTTAAAAGATTACAGACTCTTTCTAGACAAATGAAGGAAAAAAAAGAAGTATTTGAAGGACGGGGTAGGTCACAATGTGAGTATAACATGGAAAAAAAACAGTATGGGACTATGTATGGCACTGTTGACATATTTTAAGCCAAAAATATGTTAGTGTAGCTACATCCTAGTTACATTCCACTTACACTATAATTACACTCTGTAAGTAGTATGTAACTGAGTTTGAAACATAGAAACAATACTAGCTTGGTGGTAAGGAAGGTTAGGGGCTATTTCTCCAATCACATCTACAACGAAAATTGGAACAAATCTGAAAAAATTGACAGATTTCTTTCAGAAAAACTGGTCGCAAGATTTTTAGCAATTCCCAAAAAAAAAAATACTGTTAGTACAGTACTCCAACAATTTGACTGTGCTGAGTTCAGCGGAATGGCTACAAAACGTGAATCTCCGGAAAACGACGACACTATAACACTCGGCGTGATCCACACAACCGCCAAAAATAAAAAAAAAAAAAGGCGAGCATTATGTTCGCCACGCTCGTGACACCGCCAGGTGTGCCCCACCTGTCACCCTCCAGCGATTCAATCATGTTAGCCTCGGCGCGGGCTTCGTTGGAGAGGAGGAGAGAGACAAGCGAAGCGAGGAGCAAGTAGCCAGCCAGCTAGCCGACGAGGGCGACGAGCTATTATTGATTGTTTTTCGTGAACGTCATTGTATTAGAGCTATTGATTGATTGATTGCTGATCGCTTCCAGTTCCAGCAATCCGTCGGAATATCTCTCCCCGATCTCCTCTTCTTCTTATCCACGCGCGGCACGACACGAGCAGCTTTTTGCCTGCGGCCGCTGCTGCTTCTGTGTGAGATTGTTCGCTGGGGATGGACGGCGGTGGCCAGGGCGTCGCGCGGCGGCACGGCGCGGTGGCGGAGGAGGATCCCGACCGCCGCCGCGGCGACCGCTCGGGGAAAGAAGGTGACGACGACGGCGTCGACGTCGACGAGAAGGCGCCTCCGCCTCGCCGGACCAGCAGGCGGGTCGCGTCGCTCGACGTCTTCCGTGGCCTCACCGTCGCTGTAAGTAATACTACTAACATTTTTGGTCGGTTGCTGCTCATCATCTTGTTGTTTTGATGTGGTTGTGCTCGTCTGGGGGTGCAGCTGATGATACTGGTGGACGGCGCCGGCGGCGAGTGGCCGGTGATAGGCCACGCGCCGTGGAACGGATGCAACCTCGCCGACTTCGTCATGCCCTTCTTCCTCTTCATCGTTGGCATGGCTATTCCCCTCTCCCTCAAGGTCCTCCGCTCTCTTGTCTTCCATTTGAGTAGTCTGCAACTCTGCATCTCATTTCAGTTTGGGACTTATTTTATTATTTATACAAACTGAAACTATGTTGCATTACCGATTGTCAAATTTGAACTAACATTGAAGAACATAAATAGAAGAAAATAATCATATCCGATGCTTCTCTTCTGAACTTTTATGATTTTCTTTTTTAAAATTACTAGTAGCTGAGTTTTGATGTTTCTTGGCCTCAACCTTTTACCTGAAGCAAACATGCAGAGGATTCCAGACCGCGGTCGAGCTGTGAGGAGAGTAGTGCTCAGGACACTGAAGCTGCTTTTTTGGGGAATTCTGTTGCAAGGTCATTCTGCGTAATATGCCTTTCAGAACCATGAATTCCTCATCCTATCCACATAGACGAAGTCTTAACACATTGGTAGTTGTTTATGAAATTCAGGCGGTTACTCCCATGCCCCTGATGATTTGTCTTATGGAGTTGACATGAAGCACGTGAGATGGTGTGGTATTCTCCAAAGGATTGCTCTTGCATACTTGGTGGTTGCAGTTCTAGAGATCGTAACGAAGAATGCAAAGGTTCAGGACCAGTCAAGTTCGGGCTTCTCGATTTTCAGGATGTACTTCTCCCAGTGGTATGCGAGCTTTATGATCATGTAACCCATGATTTGTGAAAGATTTCAGTTCTAGACAACTAATTGAGGGTTCTGTGTACTTACCAGGATTGTTGCATGTTGCATCCTTGTGATCTACCTGTCCCTTGTATATGGGATTTATGTTCCTGACTGGGATTTCAGAGTGTCAGATGTTAAAAATCCAAACTTCGGCAAAATCTTGACGGTATGAGAGTACTCAATTTTGGCATATTTGTTTAATTGTTCTACTAAAGTAAGCTTGATACACTAGTAAGCTACTATAAATCATAAAGCTGAAATGGTAGTATGTATTTGTCGCACTCCAACATTACATTCTTTTGTGAAAATTGTAGCTCATACTTGATGTTTCCTAATGTCTTAGGTGACATGTGGTACACGGGGAAAATTAAGTCCTCCTTGCAATGCTGTAGGTTATATTGACCGTAAAGTTCTTGGTATCAATCATATGTACCACAGGCCAGCATGGAGGAGGCACAAGGTGTGTGTTTTGATTCTGAAAAAAAAAAAAAAACTAGTGCTATTCTGAAAGTTTATCTTCACATGTTTATCAACTTCTGTACTGGTTCATGCAGGACTGTACTGATGATTCCCCACATGAGGGACCTTTTAAAACTGATTCCCCGGCGTGGTGTTATGCACCATTTGAACCTGAAGGGTTACTAAGGTATTATTCATACTTCCACCATAACTAATCTCATAAGAATTTGTGATGTTTCAGTTCCCAGTTTACATTGTTCATTCGTTGATTTTGTAGCTCACTGTCCGCGGTGTTGAGTACGATCATCGGGGTGCATTATGGGCATGTGCTTGTTCATATGAAGGTTATTTCTGTTTCATGTTTCAGACCTTTTATGTTGTAAAGGGTGTAGGCTAGAACACAATTATGACAGTTTATTTTTCCTGAAACCACAGAGCCACACGGACAGACTAAAGCAGTGGTCTATCATGGGCATAACTCTCCTCATTCTTGGGCTTACTCTGCACTTTTCACATGGTATAGCATATAAAGTATAGTAACTATGATTTCTCTTACCTCCTCTTGTTTCATCATGGTATTCTCTCATTTTTCTTGCAGCAATTCCTTTGAACAAGCAACTGTACACCTTCAGTTATATCTGTGTTACTGCCGGTGCGGCTGGAATCGTGTTCTGCATGTTCTACTTCCTGGTAAAAATCCTCAAGAATCCTTAAAGTGGTGTGCAAAAAATTTCGGAAAGAAAAACCAAAGATTCAAATCGTATGCTACCATACATGTACAATTAATCGATCGACTGTTCAAGCTCCTAGAACTACTAAAACCACACAATCAAGTCCTTGCCCTCGAGCTCACTGGCAAAGATTCAGCAAATGGCATGATACTTCAGTGAATCGAGCTTCAGTCTTGTGCAATGTTCAGTTCCAGCTCACTGACCAGCTGAATAACTACACTCTAAACTTACCTACATATTGTAGGTTGACATCCTGAATCTGCACTACCCATTCGCACCCCTGAAATGGACCGGCATGAACGCGATGCTGGTGTACGTGATGGCGGCGGCAGGCATCTTCGAAGGGTTCTTGAACGGGTGGTACTACGAGGGCACCAACAACACACTGGTAGAATTAAGCTCTAGCACAACTGAACTTTGTTGGTTTTGGGATTTCTTCAGATAAAGCTCATCCTGCTGCTGCTGCTGCTGATGATGATGATGATATTGCAGGTTTACTGGGTGAGGAAGCATGTGTTCGTGAAGGTGTGGCATTCCACCCGTGTGGGCATCCTCCTCTACGTCCTCTTCGCGCAGATCTTGTTCTGGGCCCTTGTCGCCGGCCTCCTCCACCGTGCTCGCCTCTACTGGAAGCTCTAGCACTGCACTGGTACACTACACTACACTACAGCGTTTACACAGGGGCTGTTCGGATTGATGTCATTTTCAACCGAACTATTTTTTTTAAAATTACCAAAAAGAAGTGTTGCATTTAGTTTGTTGCCAAACTTTGATAAATACATAAGAAATCCTACCAAAATTTTGATAACATTGTTAACTTGTCAAAATTTGGTAAGGTTTATTTTCGCTACAATCTGAATAGCCTAGTCTTCAGATTTCTCGTTGATGGAATTGTGCATTTAGCCGTGATTAAAATTTGAAACCACAAGTGCAATTGGGATCTTGTGCAGTCTCAATCCTGACTCCTAACTCCAAAGTGCCTCTGGTAAAAAAATTTCCGAATTCGTTCGAATTTTAGCAAAAAAAAAGTGCTAAAATTCGGCGAAATTTTGCTCAAAATTCAAATCTTCTCGTTCGGGATATAGTTTGCTGCAGCATGTGGTAGAGACGGTATGTGGCAGTGAGATACTGCATCATGTCTACCGCCATTGCCAGCCGATCGGATCGCGTCGCGTCTCGTCGACAAGTCAAAATTGTTAGCGGCAAAACGAAAAACTGTAGCTTGTCTGGCAAAACAGAAACAGAGCAACACAGAGTATTTTGGCGCTGCATTAACTGGCAGCTTTTCTGGATTAGAGCTTAACCTTAAATAGCAAATTACAAGAAAGTTAAACGTGGCCATAGTGGCCTCCTAATTGTGCGTGCCACACTCCTTGCCACTTCGCGTCATCCCACGAAATGGAGCACACCACGCACGACACCACGGACTCCGCACGAACGCAGCGTGCGTCAAGCCCACTATGCACACAAACAGGATGAACAGATCATGTGCAAGACTCAACGTAAAAACAGAGGGAAACTAACTACTCTGAGCAGCTAGACTTATTACTAACAAATCACCCCCTTAAGTCTGACTGCTCTTGTCAAGAGAACAGACACCGATCTTTGAACGAAGCTCCTGAAACCTGGTTCTGCCCAGAGATTTGGTGAATATATCACCGAGCTGCTCCGCAGTTCCCACGAACATCATTTCGATCAGTTTCTTTTCTGCACACTCCCGGATATAATGATATTTGACATCGATATGCTTACTCCGGTCATGATGCACTGGATTTTTTATCAATGATATTGTGGACTGGTTGTCCACCTTCAGCAGCGGTGTGGCGATCTCGTCGCCCAGCACCTCCGCTAACAGCCGCGCGAGCCATACTCCTTGACATGTTGCGGCGGCTGCGGCGATGTACTCGGCCTCACAGGAGGACAATGCCACCACCTTCTGCTTGGAGGACTGCCAAGTGACAGGCCCGCCATTGATGAAGAAAATCTGGCCGGACGTGCTCTTTCGCTCATCTGGATCGCCAGCCAGATCACTCTCAGAGTAACCAACCAGCATTGGCAAAGCGCACCGTGCACCTGGGCCAAATCAAATTCCCCAGCAGCGAGTGCCTACCACATAGCGCAGTATGCGTCGAACGACAGCAAGATGGTCTTCCCTGGGTGACTCCATGAAGCGACTGACATACCCAACAGAGAATGCCAGGTCGGGTCGCGTGTTGACGAGATAGCGCAGACTCCCAACCAAGCTGCGATACAGTGTAGCATCCACAAGTGGAAAATCTGAACCCTTTCTCAATTTCAAACGTACCTCCATGGGAGTCTGACAGGGATTGCAGTCCTTGAGTCCTGCCTTCTCAAGAATCTTGCTGGCATATGCGGCTTGCCCCAGCGTGATCCCATCACTGTCCTGGGTAACCTCGATGCCGAGGTAGTATCTGAGTGCCCCCAAATCACTCATCTTGAAGAGCTTCATCATCTCTCCCTTGAAGCTGCGGATCTCGTCGTCATGATCGCCGGTGATGATGAGGTCATCGACGTAGACGCCCACCGTCAGTCGTCTTCCTCCCCTGGTGCGTGTGTACACACCATGCTCGGAGCTGCTGCGGTGAAAGCCGAGTGACAGCAAGGAGCTATCAAATTTGGCATTCCACGCGCGAGGCGCCTGGCGCAAGCCGTAAAGAGCTTTGTGCAGGCGATACACCTTGTTCTTGTGGTTGTCGTCGACGAAACCCGGCGGCTGCGAGACATAAACTTCCTCGAGCAGCTCGCCGTTGAGGAATGCCGACTTGACGTCCATGTGGTGGACTTGCCACCCTTGGTGCACGGCGACGACGAGAAGGAGGCGCACCGATTCCAGCCGGGCGACAGGTGCGAAGACCTCGTCGAAGTCCACCCCCTGTCGCTGGACGTACCCCTTAGCGACGAGGCGCGCCTTGTAGCGCACGATCGCCCCCTGTTCGTCACGTTTCAGCTTGTAGACCCATTTTAGCCCAATTGCACGGTGGCCATGGGGTAGGTCAGTGAGCGACCAAGTGTCGTTGTCGACGATCGCGTTAAGCTCATCTTGCATGGCGCCACGCCAGTTTGGATCCGCCTCAGCCTCAGCCAGTGAAGCAGGTTCGTTGGCGCTCACAACATGGAGCTCGAGCTGTTCCAGCACCCGCGGAGCGTGTCCGGGCGGTGAGGCATTCCCCAGCAGGTTATCCACCAGGCGGTAGCGAGGCACGACGTCGTCATCTGCGTCGACGTCCAGGATGGAATCCTGGGTAGGCGGCGTGACAAACTCAACCGCCTCCGGCGACGGAGGTGACGGAGGTGCCGGCGTCGTGGGGGCCGACGGAGCCGGCGATGGTGGCGAGGGCGGAGTCGGCGACGAAGCAGGTGCCGTCCCGATGGTGGTCGTCACCACCTGTTCAACGGTGAACGGCTTGAGCTAGGGAGCACCATCAGGTGTCACTGGTCCCCAGTCCCAGGCGGCGTCTTCATCAAACACCACGTCCCTGGACACATGGACGCGCTCGCTGACTGGATCATAGAGCCGGTAGGCCTTCGAGCCTTGCTCGTAGCCGAGGAGCACCATTGGCGCACTCCGGTCATCGAGTTTCTTCAGCCCAGGCTTGGTGATCTTGACGTGCCCCACGCACCCGAAAGTGCGCAGGAAATGCACAGCGGGCCGTTGGCCATACCATGCTTCATAGGGCGTCTGGTTGTCCAAGCTTTTCGTCGGCGAACGATTCAAGAGAAAGACCGCTGTGGACATGGCCTCTCCCCAGAACCGCCCAGGAACACCCTTCGCCTTCATCATGCTGCGGGCAGTGGCGATGATGGTTTGGTTTCGACGCTCCACTACTCCGTTCTGCTGCGGGGAGTAGGGCGCCGTCAACTGCCGACCAACTCCGAGATTGGCGCAGTATTCCCCAAATTCGATTGAGGTGAATTCGCCGCCACGATCCGTGCGCAGTGCACGGAGTTTGCGCCCGGACTCCACCTCTGCACGGGCCTGAAAGTGCTTGATGGCGTTCGCGGACTCATCCTTGCTCCTGATCAAGGTTAGCCACATATAGCGGCTCATGTCATCGACAAGCAACAAAAAATACCGATTACCAGCCGGCGTTGCAGGTTCGATCGGCCCACAGAGATCGCCGTGGACGAGCTCCAGGTGTTCGTCAGCGCGGTACTTGGACTGCGTCGGGAACGCCGCTCGCCGCTGCTTCCTGAGCAAACAGCCATCGCAGACTTGAGTGACTTGTTGCAGCAGCGGCAGCCCACGAACCATTTCCTGTTGCGCGAGCTTGCGGAGAGTAGGAAAGTTGAGGTGGTCGTACCTGGCGTGCCACCGCCACGCCGGCTCGGCGCTCCTTGCCGCGAGGCAGACCGGACGGTCGATGTCCAGCTTGATGGTGTAGAGGCAGTCGTCGGAGCGTCGGACACGGACGAGTAGGTGCCCTCGAGGATCCCACACGCGCAGGACGCCGTGATGAATCAGTACCTTGCTGCCGGAACGATCCAGCTGTCCAAGGCTGACGATGTTCGCCGTGAGCCGCGGGATGTAGTAGACCCCGGCGATGCCGCGGTGTTCCCCGAACCTGCAGGAGAACAGGATGGTGCCGCGGCCCTCGATGCGAACCACCGAGCCGTCGCCAAACCTGACAGTGCCGGTGACCGCCGTGTCGAGCTCGGCGAAAGCGGAGCGGGACCCGGTCATATGGTTGGTTGCGCCAGTATCCAGGATCCACATCGCCGGATCATGTTCGCCACCGCCGTCTAGCTGCGCGAAGACCTTGGCCTCGACCACGGCGAGTTCGCCCATCGGCGACAGCGCCCTCGGCGCGCTCGGTGGCGAGACGACGTTTGTCGGTGCAGCGACGCGAGGACGCGGCGGATCCAGCTGCACCTTGGCCAGGAGCAGAGCAGGCTCTTCGTCCTCCTCCTGGGCTACGTAAGCTTGCTGGGCCTTGGGCTTGCTGCGACAGTCTTTGGCCCAATGTCCCCTCTTGCCGCAATTCTTGCAATTTCCCAGGTTACGGCCTCCCGGGTTGGCTGGCTTGGGCTGGGCCTCCTTCGGGGCTCCATCGTCCTTCTTCCCACGCCCTCGACCCCGGCGGTCGCCGTTGCCGCCGGAGGAGTGAGCGGCGTCTTGCAGAGAGGCCGCCTTGCGGAATTTCGCCAGCCATTCTTCCTCGGTGAAGAGGAGACGGCCATTGGCATCGACCCGACTCGATGCCGCCGCAGTCTTGCGCTGCTTGCGTTGCTCGACGGAGCGCAGACGCCCAGTAACCTCCTCGAGAGACAGCTCATTGACGTCGAGCAAGGTCTCAATCGAGATGGCTATTTGCTGGAGATGTTCTGGGACAACCTGCAACAATTTCTGAACGACCTTAGCTTCAGTGATATTATCACCTAAGGTGCGAAGGTTGTTGGCGAGGCCGCCGATCCGCATCGAGAAGTCGTCGACGGTTTCACCGTCCTTGAAGAGGATATCACCGAATTCTCGGCCAGCTGCTGTGCATTCGCCTCACGCACGCGCTGCACACCGATACGGCGAGTCTTGATCGCTTCCCACGCCTCCTGCGCCGTCTCCTTGACAGCAAGCGTGGCGAGCATCTCGGCGGGCACGGCGCGAAGTATCGCGGCGAGCGCCTGCCGGTCCTGCCGGTAGTCGACGAGATCATCGCCCTCCGGCTCCACCGCGCCCCACAGACCTTGGGCCTGCATGTTCACCCGCATTACCAGCGCCCAGTCTTGGTAATTTGTGCGGGTGAGTGTCGGGTAGACGACGCTGCTCGTGGTCGCCTCGCGGATGACGCGTTCCACCACGACTTGGTCGCGGCCGCCATGACGGCCACGGCGCGGAGACGGCGAGCGCCAGCGACGACGCGGTGGTGAGTGGGAGACACGCGGCGTTGGTAGCGACATCAGGAACCCCGGCGATCACCGAAGGCTCTGATACCAATTGTTAGCGGCAAAACGAAAAACTGTAGCTTGTCTGGCAAAATAGAAACAGAGCAACACAGAGTATTTTGGCGCTGCATTAACTGGCAGCTTTTCTGGATTAGAGCTTAACCTTAAATAGCAAATTACAAGAAAGTTAAACGTGGCCATAGTGGCCTCCTAATTGTGCGTGCCACACTCCTTGCCACTTCGCGTCATCCCACGAACTGGAGCACACCACGTACGACACCACGGACTCCGCACGAACGCAGCGTGCGTCAAGCCCACTATGCACACAAACATGATGAACAGATCATGTGCAAGACTCAACGTAAAAACAAAGGGAAACTAACTACTCTGAGCAGCTAGACTTATTACTAACAAAAATATCGAGAAAATTATTCGGTATTGTGTTCGGTCCTAATCCGAATCCGAATTGCGTTCGGAAAATTATTTGGCAATATGCTGTTCTTATTATTTTTCTTGATGATTACTGACGAGCTAGCTACAGAAGTGTGCGGCCGCCGTCGACGCAGATGACCTGGCCGGTGATGTAGGAGGCGGCCGGCATGCAGAGGAAGACGACGGCGGCGGCGACCTCCTCGGGCTCGCCGATGCGGCGGATGGGGACGCGGTCCATGGCGCCGGCGTCCGCCAGCCTGCGCCTCGTCTTCTCGCCCAGCGCCACGCCGCTGGTGTCGCAGATGTCGGTGCGGGTGGCCCCCGGCGCGACGGCGTTGACGCGCACGCCGTCGCGCGCCCACTCGGCGGCGAGGCACCGGGTGAGCTGGTTCATGCCGCCCTTGGTCGCCGAGTACACCGCCAGGTGCGGCGCGGCGTAGAACGCCGCGGTGGAGGAGATGTTCACCACGCTCGCGGCGGCGCCGCCGCCCGCCGCCGCGTCGCGGAGGAGATGGTGCGCGAGCTGGGCGAGGTGGAAGCAGGACTCGAGGTTGGTGGCCATGAGGCGCGCGTACTCCTCCGGCGCGGTCTCCGCGGCCGGGCCGACGACCACCTGGCCGGCGTTGTTGACGAGCATGTCGAGCCGCCCGCCGAGCGCGGCGCGCGCCGCGGCCACCAGCGCCTCCCTGTCGCCGCGCACGGACACGTCGCAGACGGACCCCGTGACGAGCGCCGCCGCGCCGCCACCTTCGCCGGCGGCGTTCCACCGGCGGAGGCAGTCCTGCAGGTCGGCGTCGTGGCGTGAACACGTGTGCACCCTCACCCCGAACCCGGCGAGCTCCTCCACGATCGCGCGCCTGATGACGACGAGATCAACCAAACAAACACTTGCGAAATCAACATCGCGTTGCACACATGATCTCATACAAGAACGTAGGTACGTACCCGATGCCCTTGGTGCCGCCGGTGACGAGCGCCGTCTTGCCGGCGAGGCTCCACCGCCGTGCTCTGCTCGCCGCCGCCATGCGCGACTTGTGCTCGAGCTCTAATGCACCAAAATATATTCGGTCTTCCTCCTGGACGCACAAGGCCCAGCCAAGGCACGCCTCTTTCTCCAAATAAGACACTGACGATCCCTTTCTCCTCCTCCCCCTACGCTCTTCCAGTCTTCCTCTTGACAAAACACTCTCTGATGTACAGTCAGAGAAACGTGTGGTTGACATGTGGACATCTTAATATAAAACATCAGTAAGACCTGACCGTTTCAAAAAAAAGACATGTGGACACCTTCGGTCCACGTATAAATGACCACGTCAGTGGGAAGTTATGTTAGTTAGAGGAGCCTCTCCTGGTGAACCCCATCTTTACCCCTCCGTATAGTGTTAATGTTTTTAAACTTTGCTAAAAGATACAACAAATTTGCTTGTTTATTCTTTGTGTCTCGGTTCGAGATGTTGGGTGTATGCACTCATGTATCCTTTGGCCGTGTGTATATCCAAACTATAGAAATAGATGTCGGGTTTCTATCCATTATCTAACAAAAGATACAACGGATACAATTCAAAATTTCAAACCATGGGGATACCAAGCTCGTATAATGCTATTTATTGGCCTAAACTTTACCGACTTATCTTGCCAACCTGATACACTAGATGGATATAAATAATATATATGGCCTTAAAACTCCTATAATAAGTTGTTTACAGTAAGAAATTTTTGATTGCCACCTGACTCCACTAATTTATTGCTGATTCAACCAATAGGTTGGTTATCCCCTTCCTTATTTTCTCGGTTGCAATAAGAGATTATTGGGAAGTTGTTCATTAGTAGGCTTGGTCTTGCCCAAAGCCCAATTGACATATTAGGTTGATCTGTAGACTATAAAAATACAAGTTGATAACAATAAGAAAATATTGTTTGCCATCCTGATTACACCTCGTCAGCTGGCTCTACCCCAATCCCAGGTTGGTTAGCCCTTCATTTTTCTTTTCTTGGTTGCAATCAGAGTTAGTTTGCATAATATGATAATACCTATTTTTTTTCATTAATAGACTTGGACTTTGCTGAATAGGGCTTCTTTGAAACATCGGATTGAAAAAAAAAAGGGAGAAAAAACATGTGAATTCTACTGGAATTGATAGTATATTATAAAACATAGGAATGGTCATTTAATTTAATTAGGCCACATGAAAGATAAAAAAAATCAAATGATAGATAGACTTAAAAGAAATTTTTTAAGAGGTTAGAGCTCTTACTAACTTTTCTCCAATATTTTTATAGGGCTGTTCATTCCATAAAAAAATTAAAAAAAAGATTTAATCTTTTGTTTCAAAAACCTTCGTAGGATTTTCTTTTTAAAAAAATAGAACTGCAATCCTTCAAATTTTCTATGTTCTTTCTACAAATCAAAAGGGGCATTATCTTGCCCATGTCCATGTGGCACATTAGGTGTATCTAAAGATTATATTGGCCCGGTAGTAAATTATATCCGATTTGTTTAGACATAATGAAACATTACAAATCAACAAATATGACCTCAGAATGAAGTTTTGAGGGACTAAATTATATGTAGGGCGGTAGATTGATAATGGTTTATAGAGATTTGCTCCGATCAAATAAAAAATATCTTGAGGTATCGGTACCTCACGGTACTAAATCTTTTCTAATTGTTGGATTTGACGATACCTATCCTACCGAGCTATATCTAGTGATCAGAGATGATTTGGTACCGTGAGGTACCGGTACTTCGAGATATTTTTTTGCTAGACTGGAGCAAATATCTGGTTTATATGATCGGTAACGAGAGCAAAGCAAAATATGTTTTAGGAATTCTGGATTCATTAGCCTAGCTGCCTAGGCGGTGATGGTGCGGCCACCGTCGACGCAGATGACCTGCCCGGTGATGTACGGCGCCGCCGGCATGCAGAGGAACGCGACGAGCGACGCCACCTCCTCGGGCTCGCCGATGCGGCCCATGACGACCCGCGCCGCCTCCCTCTCCTCCATCGCCCGCGCCGCCCCCGGCTCCAGCGCCACGCCGCTGCTGCCGGCGATATCGGTCCGGACGCCGCCCGGCGCGACGCAGTTGACGCGGATGCCGTCGCGCGCCCACTCGGCGGCGAGGCTCCGCGTGAGCTGGTTCATGGCGCCCTTCGTCGCCGAGTAGACGGACAGCGCCGGGTAGGCGATGAACCCTGCGACGGAGGAGATGTTCACCACGCTCGCGGCGGCGCCGCCGGCGCCGAGGAGGAGAGGGTGCGCGAGCTGGGCGAGGTGGAAGCAGGACTCGAGGTTGGTCGCCATGATGCGCGCGTAGTCCTCCGCCGCGCACGCCGCGGCCGCGCCGAACAGCGTCTGGCCGACGTTGTTGACGAGTATGTCCAGCCTCCCGCCGAGCGCGGCGCGCGCCGCCGCCACCAGCGCCTCCCTGTCGCCGCGCACCGACACGTCGCAGACGGACGCCGTGACGGGCGCCGCCGCGCCGCCGCCGAGGCCGCCACCGTCGGCGGCGTTCCACCGGCGGAGGCAGTCCTGCAGGTCGGCGTCGTGGCGTGAACACGTGTGCACCCTCACCCCGAACCCGGCGAGCTCCTCCACGATCGCGCGCCTGCCAATTAAACCAAGCAACACACGAACACGACGTAACGCATGACGTCAGCAATCCGCCATGCATGCGTGCACACGTAGTACTACTGTGTAAGGAGACGGTGACGGCGGCGAGTGCACACGGTACCCGATGCCTTTGGTGCCGCCGGTGACGAGCGCCGTCTTGCCGGCGAGGCTCCACCGCCGCTCTCTGCTCGCCGCCGGCGTCGACGCTGCCATCTCTCTCACCCCTCGTCGCTACACTACTGATCGCATGGAGGATACTTGTAGGAGTGTCACGCTATGTGTGTACTCCTTCCGTAAAAAAAAATTAACTAAATGGAGATTTAACACCACCTTAATTCGTCGTTGTTTCAGGTGATGTTAAATCTCCAATTAGTTACTTCCTCCGTTTCACAATGTAAATTATTTTAACTTTATTCATATTCATATTGATATTAATAAATCTAAACATATGAATGAAAAAAATAGAATAACTTACATTGTGAAACGGAGGGAGTAGTGTTTGTTAGGTGGAGTAGGTGGCAGGTGAAAGCCACGGGGAGGATACGGCGAGCGGTGCAAAGCATAGATGCTTTCGTCCACGTTTGTCTCTTGTGGATGCATCAGAGTGTATGTCGTCGTGTGCAGGTTGCAGGCAGACGCCGGCCGCCCGGCCCATATTCCAGAGAAAATCTGGTCAAATTTTGTCAAAAATTCAGTTTGATTTTTCTTGAACTTACCTAAAAACCGAGCAGTTTGAGTATTTGGGCCGGTCCGCAAAGTCTGCATTTTCATAAACTGAGTTTTGTAAACCCTACGTGGTGTACCCTCTTTGTCAGTACTAGTTGAATGTCTGTGCGTTGCAATGGAAATTTAAAAAAGAAAATCTTATTATACACATGTTAGAAGCGCTAAACAAATTATCTCTATTATTTTTCTCTAATCATCTAAGTTGCTTTTGCCATCACTTTCATATATGGAAAATTGGAAGGCACATACACTCTGCAACAAGGACCCCACTTGTCAAGGAGTTGGTGGTGATGAGTGGTGAATCTACCACCCACCACCACCATTGGAATCCTTTAAAGTTGTATAGATCATCTAAGCTGCTTTTGCCATCACTTTCATATGTTAATTTGGAAGTCACATACACCCTGACAACAAGGACCCCACTTATCAGGGAGTTGGTGGTTGTGGGTGGCTAATTCATCACTCACCACCACCATTGGAATCTATTAAAATTGTACTATAGAGTATAGATACCAAACGATGGTTACGAAAAAAATCTCATAATATTTGATGACATTGTTTTATACCACATAATCTGTATTTCGTGTGCAGGAGCAAGTCCTGAGTAAATATATGTGTGACAGAGAGCCAGACCAGGTGACTTCCTCTCTGCTTAACTCTTGCTACAATGTCTTTCAAGAATTTTAACTCTTGCTATAATGTTACTGCCAAATCAGGTGTATGCAACTCATTGCTGAGCTCGTGACTCTGCTGCTGCCATGGCGAGCTCACTCTGATCAACATCCATCTCCCTGTTCTTGAGGAAGCCGGAGTACCAGCGAGCGGAGAGCCTCGCCTGCCGCGGCCGCGACTCGTCGGCGAAGTCGACGCGGTAGAGGCCGTACGATTGGCCGTACCCCGTCAGGTACTCGAACACGTCCACGAATGACCACACGAAGTAGCCTTTCACGTTGGCGCCATTCCTGCAGAGAGGAGTTCTTCCTGATCAAAATGTCTGAAGAATTTCAGAGCAAACTGCAAAGCATTTGCCTGAAAATTATCCGATCTGTTTCCTCTTTTTGGCGATGTTTTCACCTTAGTGCAGTCAGGATACTCCCTATATAGCTCTTCAGGTAATCAACCCTGTCATTGTCATGGACAGTGTCATTGCTTGATCCATAACCTGAAGAGAAGGGCGAAGAGAAACCAAATATGTAAGGTAAAAAAGAACAGTACAAGTCTGCATAAACATTGGCAAATTTTCAGTGGAGTAACTGAACCACAACAAATAACTTGCCATTCTCGAGGATATAAATGGGAAGGTTCCCATAGGTTTCTTGTAGGTACTGCACCATCAATCTCAATCCTTGTGGGTCAGGTCCAATAGATGTTGGAGCGGCCTGCGCTCCGCAATAAAAAATAAGATCTGTCACAACTCACAGCTCGAATAATGGGTGCAATTTTGTTCCTTCCAAATTGTATTATCTTTTTTAAGTGTGTATTGCATATTTGCTTTTAATATGTTGAATTAGATGAAAATTCCTATTTTGGTATTTTTCAGGTTTGAAACAGTTCAACACAGCAGCATATCTAACAGACATCGATGGGAAACCATACCTTACCAGGTGGTGGATCTGTCTTGGAACCTGAATCAGAGGGATTTGATTAGATTTTGCACATGCTACATACTCCCCCCATTTCATATTATAAGACTTTCTAGCATTGCTCATATTTATATAGATGTTAATAAATCTAAATACATATATATACATACTCCCCCCATTTCATATTATAAGACTTTCTAGCATTGCTCATATTCATATCGATGTTAATAAATCTAAACACATATATATGTCTAGATTTATTAACATATATATGAATATAGGCAATGCTAGAAAGTCTTATAATATGAAACGGAATGAGTAGATTTCATAAGATTGTAGGAGTATTTGATTATGTGTTGTTGCTAGTAGTTCTTTGAAAGGAAGATATTACCGCTAGACAAATGTACCAAAAATTCCTGCTCCTATGACTGGGGAAGTGCAGTGCAGCAATAAGCCAATAATGCCTTCATCGACAGAAAAGTTCTTACCTCTGTAGTAAATTGATATATCCGCTACAAAGTCGCGTGTGCCCTTACCCAAAGGACGATCATTCACATAGAGAGAGTAGTAGTGATTCATTCCAATGAAATCTAGAGAACCCTTGACATCTTCAGATTGGGCTTTTGTGAAGGATGGAAGGCGAGAACCGACAATGTTCTTCATTACTTGTGGGTAATCACCGAATACCAAGGGTCTTAGTACCCTAGAAAGAGCACCACAACTCTGTTTGCCCCATCTATTTTTTCACATTAATATTCAGATGCAAACATAAAGAGTCAACATGACATACCAGTGGACAATAAAGTCCTGACATCTTTTTGTTGCTTCTAAATCGACAGTAGAATTTGTTAATGGATAAGCCCAAAATGTGTAAACACTTATGCCGATAATTCCTTTTCCTGCGACCTATATGTAAAACTCTTTTATGAACACATAAAGATTTGGCCAATTGAACAATGCTACTACTAATTCTGAATACATGATAACTCACTTGGTATTTTTCTCTGTACAGTTTTGTGACTGATGCATGTGCCAGTAACATGTTATGAACTGCTATATATGGCTCCACAGATGAGTTCCCTACTGTACATTTTCTTATTCCAAAAGGATCAGAGCAACGCCCAGGGGCCAATTGTCCGGAATCATAAGACCCAATTGAAGCAACATTAGGTTCATCAATTGTAATCCAGTGTGCAACCCTGTCTCCAAACTCCTTGAAGCACACATCTGCATATGCTTTGAAATCCTCCCTGCGTTTGCAGTGACACTGGAGATTAGGATTTCAGGTCCACTCTCTATGAAATATCACTAGGTAACTTGTGATCATTTCTATAACATCCTATGATCAATTCGCTCAATTCCCTGTCGCTGGGCCCCTGGAGCATCTCTTTTAGTTTTTTGTAAAGCCGTTAATTCATTGAGTACTTTGTTGTGCCCAACAAGTTTGTTTATATACTCCCTCTATTTGTTTTTATAAGGCGTACTATAAAGTCAAATAGTCAAATTGTATAAACTTTGACGGTTAGTACTCATAAACTATTTTGTTAATGTCTACAAGACCAATATTATATAATATTTGTAGTGTGGGTCGTTCAAAAAAATATTATAAAAATGCATTGAAGTATATTTTTTTATATAGTTTTACATGCCAAATATGCTTATAATTTTAGTTATTAATGTTCAAAGTTTACGAACTAGAATTGGACAAGATGAACTTCAGAGCAATACTATCAGCACAAGAGAAAGTTAAGGGGTCTTACAAAATTCTCGGACTCAACCATCCATCGTACTCGTCTTCCAGAACCTGAGGTAGGTCCAACTGATAAAGCATGATATGGACTTGAATCCCTGAAGAAATTGAAAATGCCATAGGGTTTAAAACAGTGCAACAAAAAGGTCAAAATGTGTGAAACGAATTTCCATTATTTAAGTTTTAGATTGTAAAAGGTGTTTTGTCACCATTCACCACTACTCCCTCCGGTTCTATAATTCTTGACGTTTCAGATATGATTAAGGTCAAACTTTTATAATTTTGACTATCAATAGCTTTATAAATATTTAGTTTAAAGTCACTAGAACAATATATATGTCTTACAAAGTACTATAATAAAAGTAAAAATATATTTATTTATTATATATCTCTACTATTATAAAAATTGAAGATGTTGTTACCAGTATTTTGGTACGTCATCCGTGTTTGAATCGGTTTTAATTTTATGTTTCAGTTTTAATCTTTATCTCTACTCCTCAAAAAGAACCAGCAAATTTCGTTGTCTGTAAAAAATAAAAAAAACCCGACGCAAAAACGTAAAAAAAAGTCCGACTCAAAAAGCGATAAAAAAAAGCCGTCCGTAAAAAAAACAATGTTATAAAAAAAATTATCCGACTCCCCCAAATAAAAGGAAAAAAAAAGTTCTCACCAGTAAAAAAAAGTCCGTTTGGTTTTTATTGACACCAGTATTTTTTTCCATTTTTTTTTGCACGTGAAAGAGTTTTTTTCGCACGCGCTAAGGCTCTTGGTTTTTCTTGTCCGGTTTTTTTAATCCGATCTATTCACCACGCACCTCCTGTGCACTTTTGGTTTTTTCATCCGGTTTTTTAATCCGATTTGTTTTAGCTGCACGTCTCCCGAGTTGAACCCTGGCGCCGTGCCGCCGTCATATTGATAGTGCGTTTCCTCCTCCAATTTTATTGTAAAAATGAATTCGCTACTCCTCTCCCATCATTTCCTCGATGATTTTCTCTTTTGATTCGTCTGTAATTCGTTAGATTTAATCTCCATCTAAGAGTTGCCGATGATGACAGCGATCTTCATCGGTTGTTTTATCCTGAGTTTTATGTTTTGGAAAAAAACAAAAAGAAGAGATCGAGTGGATCGAAAACCCTCAACCAATATTGGATGATGACGGCAATCTGGATCAAAAACCCTCAATTGGATGATGACGGCAATCTTTCCTGGTCATTTTTATCCTGAGTTTTACACTCTGATATTGGAAAAAAACAGGAAGAGAAGATCGAGTGGATCGATAACCCTCAAGCAATTTTGGGTGATTGAGAAAGATTCGGCCGAATTTGATGGGGAGATTTGCTCCGGCAACCGTACGGGCACAGGATTATCTTCTGGAGGGAGTTGGGTTACGCGTACGGGACTTTGGGAGGTAGTTGGGTTTACGGCTCCACTTGTGGCTGGGTCGAAGGGAAGCAGGCCAAACGGAGGGAGGGACTATCTTCGGGAGAGAGTTGGGCTTACGCGTACGGGACTTCGGGAGGAAGTTGGGCTTACAGCTCCACTTGTGGCTGGGTCGAAGGGAAGCAGGCCAAACGGATGGAGGGAGCGGACTGCACTAGGGCTAAAAAAAGGAAGGAAGGCTTTCGGCTCAAAACCCAGGAAAGATTTTCATTAACTTTTTCAATTATAATGCATAGCGATCCCAATATTTTAATTTATTGATCATTTCTTAATATAAGACTAAAAAAACGTCTTTACCCATTGCAACGCACAGGCATTTTTTTCAGTATTATAATAAAAAAAACATAGTCAAACATATATTTGGAGACTATGTCATTGTCCAAAACATTAAGAATTATGGTACCAGAGAGGGAATACACCAAAACTTCATAGGTTAATGCAAATAGGCATACCATTTTTCACTAGCCCATCTATGATGTCATTGTAGTATTGTAGCCCTTTTGGATTGACATCACCCCTCCCATCTGAAAAACGTTAGTTTCAAAAACAAGAAATTAGAAATAATGTTGAAAATTCTTGCATACAAGTACAACAATAAAAAATCTTCTGAAATGCTCATACTTGGAATAATCCTCGACCAGGAGATGGATAATCTATAAGCCTCTAGGTTGGTGTCAACCATCAGCTTCAAATCATCCTGAACCATCATAATAAATCATGTCAAAACAACTTAAAACAGGTTAGAGCTTTCATTTCAGAACATCAAAGTACTTGGCCATGACATCTGAATATTTTTCCTTCCAGACATTGAGTTGAGGACAGATCAGACAGAAGCCACAAATCTTCAGGTACAATATAGCAGATAAATTGATAAGAGGATTTACATCCAGAGAAAATTGAGCTATACTTTGTACTTGTGGTACCCGTCGGCGGCGACATCAGCTGTGCTTCTGCCCGGCATTTTCCCTGTTATCACAAACAAGAACATCATTTTTAGATATTTGTCACACAATAACATATACTCCATCCGTTTTTAAATATTTGTCGCCGTTGACTTTTTTAAACATATTTAACCGTTCGTCTTATTAAAAAAATTTAAGTAATTATTAATTATTTTTTATCATTGTTAAATATATTTTTATGTATACATATAGTTTTACATATTTCACAAAAGTTTTTGAATAAGACGAACGATCAAACATGTGCTTAAAAATTTAACGGTGCCAAATATTTAGAAACGGAGGGAGTATTTGTCAAAAAAAAAAAACAAGGGCAGAATCCCAGCCTTGTCAGTTAATTACCTTGATGAGTGAAGATGTCCCAGTTGCTTGGGCTCCTACCATCCTCATCAAAACCACCCTCATACTACCAGACAGACAAAAATTTCACCACCCAAAACAATCAGAATTTTCATAGAGCCCAGTAGAAATTCTCAAATGAAAACAGGAACCAGCTGATAGCCAAGAAGATCTCGCTCCAACCGAAGCTGCGTGAGTTGCTACTTGCTACTACCTGGTACGACGAGGTGGCGGATCCGAAGACGAAATCCTCCGGGAAATCCCCTCGCGTGTAGCCAAGAACTGCCGGCGCCGCGCCATGCAGCAGCAGCAGCAGTAGGGAGAGGTAGACGACGGCAATGGCTGCAGCCATGCGAGTGAGTACGTGTGGTTGTGGTGGTTTGATTTCCAGTTTCATCCAGGCATATACAAACACTTGTCCATGTCCAAAAGTGGGCCAATGGATAAGGAGGCTGATTTTTTTTGTTTCTCTTAGATAGGTATTTTTTTTCACAATCTTTACATTCAATCGGATATATAAAATCATTTTAGATTGAGAATTTACCCCCATCAAATAACTCAATTTGAAATTTTCTCCATTTAATCCATCAAACAACCCAATCTAAAATTTGCTACTGTGAATATTTGAACTTAGAGATTTAGAGCTTTAGAGTACTGTCCAGGTCAATGTAACTGGTAAACTACATTGCCTTTCGCGCCAGGATAAAAAAGGCTAATGGGTTCTCACACCATCACCAACCAAACGCAGTGAATTGTACAGTATTGATATTAGTACACTACAGTAGCAACTATTAACACAAGAATCGCGTGCTGGCTAATCAAACATGGTTGCTGCCTAGTACACATCGATCTCAAAAAAAAAAAAGTGCCTAACTACAGATCAAACAGTTGCTTATTCCTCTAGCATGCCCAACAGATTTGCTAAATGAATCCCAATCCTAATATTAGGGGATTTTTTTTTTTGAGAAATCTAATCCAACAGTCTCCCAATTCTCAGGCCCAATAGTTATGATTCCCAAATCCTGGTTTCTCGCTCTGTACAGCTGTGTTCGGCAACCTGGGTTGGAATCCATATCCCACGCACGAAAAATGGAGCGGTCCATTAAAGCATCACCAACAGATTATCTATAATTTTCTCTTAAAATTTTGTTTTTGGTTTTCTAAACTGAAAATAGGAAGTGAAAAAACCCCTCTCTCCAACAGATAGCCTAAATTCAATCCCCGAAACTTAAAAGTGGGCCCTTATATTAAACTGCCAAGAGAAAATTCCGTTTTTTTCTTTCACGCACAGAAAGATCGCTATCTCCCACGCGCGGGAACAAAGAAGAGAGCCGGGATTGCGTGATTGGGAGCGACTTTCGCGCCCGCATATAAACAGAGCGAGGAACCGGGGGAAGGGAACTCCAAAACTTGGGTAAAAGAGTAGAGGATATGTTGGAGCTGATTCTTGGACTAAAATCCCTCAAAATTAGTTTTAGAAATCATATAGGTAGACTGTTGGTGATGCTCAGTCTATCTATTCCATCCCCAATCCTTTTTTTTGGGGGGATTTTGGTTAAAAAAAATGGTCCAACATATTCCCAAAAGAGCTCTGGACGTTTTGGAGTTCACATCTCCAATTTTCTCGGTACGTGTATTTGAGGGCGAGAGAACGACTCCCAATCCCCCTTCTTCCACGCGTTTCTCCCCTCCTTCCACGTTTCTCCTCTCCTTCCCGTATCGGGGCGATCTCCTTCTGTGCACAGGAAAGGAAAAAAACTAGAATTTCTGTTGGTAGTTTAACAGAAGGGCCCACTTTTAGTTTTTGAGATTGAATTTAGGCTATCTCTTGGAAGAAGGGGTTTTTCACCACCTATTTTCAGTTTAGGAAACTCAAAAATTAAATTTTAGGGATAGATTATTGTTAGACTGTTGGTGATGCTCTTAGCACGTAATTATTTAAGTATTAGCTAATTATTTTTTTAAAAATGAATCAATATGATTTTTTAAATAATTTTTATATAAAAATATTTTGCAAAAAACACACCATTTAGCAATTTAAAAGCGTGCGCGGAAAATGAGAGGTAATTGGGAACGGGGGCAACAGCATGGTCTCTGTGGCTTGGCGCCTCCCCATCATCCCGCTCAACCGCCGTCCTCCAACATTCAGGCGGCGACAGAGGACAGAGGGGACCAGCCAGCCTCCCTGGTTTGGGAGGTCAGGCACTACCATGGCTTGGTCGGTTGGTATACACTGAAATCATCTGTGCATGCTGTTTTTTTTGGTACTTGCTATAGGGGTATACACTGAAAATATTTGCAGGAAGTATAAGAGTAAATATTAACAGGAAGTATATGCTGATGTTTTTTCGTGGGTATGTGCTGTGGTGTATGTACTGGTGCTGCTGAATGCTGATTGCTGCACTTGTTCTAAAATGTTGATTGCTGCAGCTGTTCTGAAATGCTGCTGAAACGATGCTAAATTGCTACTGATTGCTATTGGAATAAATCTGCATGCATTTATCAGTTATCAGGTTTTTTTTTTTTTGCGGCAGAAGAGCTGTCGTTCATGATCAATAGCTTGTCGTTTGGCTAGGGCTCAACGGATCACTGACATTGGCTAGGGGATTACCTCCTTGATAACACGAATGGCTACGGTATACTCTCAGTGCTTCGTTTTTCAACAGATTAAGATAAGAACAGCAGTCCGATCACTGGTTGGCTGGAGGCGATCGCGACGAACTGTGAGGTGGCTCCACCTGCAGGCAGGGGAGAGGAGGATCGGGTGTGCGTACATGGAGGGGGGAAGAGGCCGATCAACTAAAAAGGTTGGACACAAATAAATGACTTGGTGTCAATGGACAATAGTTTTAAGAAGGATGAGGTAAATATTTTTTCTAGTGAGCGTGCTCGACAAGGGTCGAATCCGGACCGACGGGGGTGCATGCCAGCGATCCCTGCCACTGCGCTACGAGCGCATCTCGAGGCCGATCAACTTCCAAGTGGTCCCATGCTTATGTGGCAAACCAACAAATTACTGGAATTTAATTGTTGGGTTTCTCTTGGAGGAGGGAATTAACTGGTTGATGAGCCCAATTTTTATTTTGATAGTCCCAATTTAGAATTTTTGGGAGTTAAATATTAGACTGTGCCAATGCAGAATTGCAAAGCCTATAGTTGTGGGCATTAGCCCCTCCTATCAACCGTTGATTTAAAATGGACGGACTAGATCGGATGCTAGAACAACGATGGCTAAGGTAAATCGCTACAGCATTTCAAAACGGTAAATCCAGCACTGTTTCACCAGTACTGACGAACACCACTGTTCGCGTAAACTCAAATTAGCAGGTACAATAGTCTTATTTCAGCAGGCTATAAGAGTTACAAAAATATATTTATGTTGAGTTGAAAGAGAGAATGCAATGAAAGAGAAAAGCGGACGCTTGATTTATCGCCGGCTGCAGCGTAAACCCCAACGCAAGTTAAGGGGTCCAAAACTGGCTCGGGGGGCCTGAGTGGTGTTGACCAATGGGACGGCGACAAGCTGAATGATGGTGTAGCTCGTTTAGTCTCTGTACTTGTGCAGAGATAGCACTAGCAGCCAGCTATTGTACTTATCAGTTTTTTTATGCCGTTTTGCTTATGTGAAATATTTTTGGAGTAAACAATCGACAACACTATTAAACTTGTTATTACTGTTCAAATAGCCCCTCTCTATATATTCAGTACTGCATATGATTGGGATCCGTGTCGGATCTGGTCCTAATTGCCGAAATGATATAGTGTGGCATATTTACCGCTACCGTTGGTGTTTACCTTGTAAATTTACCGCTATCGTCGGTGTTTTTGTTAATGGAATTAGCAAGTTTGATCTCTAAAAAAAATTAAAACCTGAAAAAATTTCTTAATATACACATAAAAAATGAACGAGTTTGACAGCTATCATGGACATTCTTTACCTGGCATCTACATTCAACCGGATATATGTAACCTTTTAATTGTAAATTTAGCCTCTCAAACAACCTTTATCTGGTCTTTACATCCAACCGGATATATACAATATTTTAATTGGGAATTTAACTTCTCAAACAACCTAATCTGGAATTCGCTCATATAAATATTTGAACTCAGAACCTTATGTGCTACTCATATTACTGTAACCAATGCAACCACTAGATTACATGTTTTTCGCATTATTTTTTGGATACATCATCTCTTAGTCTCTATATTATTTTTTATTGATATGTGGATCCTCTTACCACTATTATTTTTTCTTATCATTGGTAGCGAGGGTGGTTGACATGTAGGCGCTCTAGTCTCATGTATTATTTCTTCATTTCAAAAGATTGTTGGTGGCGGGGGTGGTGATAGATTAATGACTCACCAAGTCACCATCATTTTAAAGTTGTATAGAAATGTATAATCCAGACATATTGATTCGACATCACTAGTCAAATTTAGCAACAAAAGTGGCATATTTGTATTTTTTGGATGAAATAGCGCAATTGAAAAAAATTTGGCAGATTTAACAGATTATTCTAAAAAGTAATACGCTATTTTCTCGGACAGTCGTAGGCGCTGTATTGTAGGACAGTTGGGCTTATCCTTACTGCCAGACATGGATGTAGGCTTTTTTAGGAACTGCTCATCCCATTTTAAGCGTAACCAAAAGTTTTCATGTCCAATTTAGATCGTCCGTCTTGTTTAATTTTTTTCATAAAGTACTATTTATTTTTTATCATCTAATAACAATAAAAATACTAATCATAATAAAATTTAAATAAGACGGTAAATAAGACGGACACAGAAACTCATGGTTGTGTTTAAAATGGGATGGAGGGAGTAGCTAAATGCTCTACGGATAAAAGGAAAAAAAATATACTATTATAATATTACCTAAAATAAATGCTAAAAGAGCTTATTTTTTGATAATATATTACCCACCTTTTTCTAAAAGGAATACTCATATCAATTTAATTTTATGTGTGGTTATCCATTTATAACTAGTTGTTATGTAATATTATGAAATTTAAGAGGTAATATGTAAAAACTACAACTAGAATAGGTGGGGTGACTACCACCAGCAAGATTTTTTTAGACTAGTTTGGATAATTGGATGGGCCAATGTACATGCATTGAACTAGATTGTGGCCCTTTTATGTACTGCATATTGGTTGCGATTTCAGCCCATCTAGACAAGGGCCTAAAGGATTCACTATTTCAACTTTGAAGCGACATTCGCTGAACCAGTGTCCATTTTGAGTCTTTTTTTGAGAATACATCCATTTTGAGTCTTGATCTTACAAATTATATACATGGAGATGAAGGAGATGATGCAAACAACCTGCCTTCTTAGTGGAAGAAGTGAGTGGTAATGAACTAGTGCTAGTAAAGGAACAAGTGCTATAGCTTTTCTCGACAGATCAGTTCAGAGAAAAGATCGAGTGTACAACTTGCACAAAAAGAGGATTAAGCAGATTGACAAAGCAGCTACACTCCTATTATATTATCGGTTGTTAGACAAGACAGAGTTGTGCATTCTTAGCACAACAGATTAATCAACCCAAAACCATGAATCCACCATTATATTCATGTTAGGCACTAACAGAAAAAAAAAAAGTAGATGTTGAAAAGGGGAGCAAAAGGCAAGCACAATAGCCCTGGTAATAATGTTTGCTTGTGTTGTGCGATGTTCTTTCGGCACTGCACTTTTCTGAACTTTATTTCAGATAATTCTCTGAACCCTTTTTGTTCGCTTTGCAGGACAGATTGAAGATGAGATCGAGCAGTTTGCAGAGAAGTGGCGTTATGATTGATGGTTTGTTCATGCTAATCTATAGGTGTCAAGCTCGGATAAGCACACGATCGACAATCCGTGGAAACTGAACATTCAAGCAGAGCCTGAAACTCTCATCAGTAATAACAGCTGTGCTACTGTCTGAAAGCTGTAAGAAATCAAATGGAGCACCTTCAGAATTTCAGATGCAACTCAGCACTGATAGTATTCAGATAAAACATGTATGCTGAAATGCAGATGCTAATGCTACGTAGAAACAGGGTTACTCGTTCACAGCATGGTAGTAGTACAGAGAAAAAAAAATTCCATTCTTGAGCCTTGACGCCTTGTACAGTACTGATCAAGCAGACAGCTGCAGAAATTCTTCTCCCGTTCGCATAGAACAGGTGAAGTATCACATACTTCGATCGATCCACGAAGCTAACTGGACCGACTTTTGCAGTGGGACAGCCCAAGCTGCTGCCTGTTTTTCCTTCAAACTTTGTGTTATTAAGCTGTAACACACTAGTTCAGACTATCAGAGTAAGACAATTTACCTTAATTTAATCCTGATTCCTAGCTACTACTAAGCGGCTAAGAAGTAAAAAAGATCCTAGCTTTGGTTCCAAGTCAAGGTCACGAGTGTGAGCATCCCCTGAATTGGTGGCTCTGCTCAATGTCGTGAGAAGAAATTAGAAATCAATCAATCGTCCACTGATTCTGATCGTTTCTTCGCATTATTTTTCCTTTCGATATAATATGCTCTTCTGCTTTTTCCTGTGGTCTCTGAAAGTGACGCCGCTGATGATCATGTGGCAACGTTCTGAGGCGAAATGTGTGATGAGAATGCGAGGTGATGGCTCATGGCTACCGCTTTTGAGGCTGATCCGGGGTTAAGGAAAGAAGACACCGGCGACACGTGGCTGCCGTGGACAACATTGCTGCTATTGCCATGGTCTTACTAGCTACTGTGTTGCCGTCGAGAAAAGGAGCGATTTGCTTATCTGAATTTTGAAAACCTACCAATTCAGTCACAGTTCACTTCCGAGTACTCCCCCATCCATAAAAAACGAATCTATAATAAGGTGTGACATATTTTAATATTACGAATCTGTATATATATGTTACATCCTGTACTGACTAAGTGACCAGTGACCACTAATGAATTTTCTGCTAATAACTGATAAACAGTACTCTACATAGAAAAAATTGCCCATGCAGTAATTACAACTCTTATCTGTTTGTTAGCTTATCAGCTGTAACAAAAATTCGAATTTTACCTGGCAAGAACCAAATTTTTCTGGAAGTCTATTTTCTAGCCATAACTTTTAAACTGCTAACAATAGATATATAAACTTACCCATAAATATTTTTTTTTGCTTTGTTTTTTCTTTTTCCTATGGCTTATCAGTCGTAGCTCAACCTATAAGAGGCCTAAATATATACCCCTCCGTTTCATATGATAAGTTGTTTGACTTTTTTTCTAGTCAAACTTGTCTGAGTTTGACTAAGTTTATAGAAAAATATAGTAGTATTTTTAACACAAAATAAACATATTATTGAAATATACTAAATATTAGATTTAATAAAACTAATTTGATTTATTAGATACTGCTAAATTTTACTATAAACTTGATCAAACTTAATTAAGTTTGACTAGGAAAAAAAGTCAAACGACTTATAATATAAAATGGAGGGAGTACTTACATTATTAGTCCATTGTCTATCCAAACTGAGCACTAATTCGAATATTTGCTTTGCAGAATTCAAACAACTTGACGAATTCCTTTGCATGCTTTTGCTGATTAAAGGCAACAAGGAGTTTGAAGCGGAGGCGCCACCTACCGGAAAAGGCATCGCCAAAATGTCCACGCTCCCCCTCCTTCTGCTGCCTTCCTGGTTAAGAAAAAAATTTCATTTTTTCTGACAGCTTTTGCCCTCTCCCCCTTGCGTGCTCTATTCATCGTTTAAATCCCTACTCCTATATACGGAGTATATATACACCACCTCACCACCAATCAACCCAATGCAAATGCCATTTCTTGCAATCCATCGAATGATCATTCGATCGATCCATGCAACAACATCCTGATTTGTTTTTCTCCCTTCCCCTTCCCCTGACATAAGCCGGCCTGGCTGATTGCGTTGTGTAACTATAACTCTTATCTTCTAATATATTAACGTGTAATTCTTTTTGCGCGTTCGCGGAAAAAAACAGCATCCTGATTTGATCTTGATTCTTGGGAAGCTTTTCTTGGCAATGGAGGTGGAGTCGGCGGCGAGGAGGATGTGGGGATACCTGCGGGCGGTGTTCTTCATGGTGAGGAAAGGGGTGATCTCCAAGCGGAGGCTGCTGCTCGGCATGCAGCTCGCCATGCGGCTCAAGCGCCGGAACCGCGCCGTCGCGCGCTCGGTGGCCAGCCTCCTCTCCCACCACCACGGCGGCGGCGGCGGCGGCGCGCTGCGCCGGCGGCGGGAGTACGAGTTCTCGTGCAGCAACAGCCCCGACGTCGTGCATGGAGGTGCGGCGTCGAGGCGGCGGCTCGCCTACTTCCCTTGCCTCAGCGCGGAGGACGACGTCGTCGACGCCGGCGCGAGCGCGACGGCGGCAGCGGCGTTGCAGAGGATCGAGTACTATGGATACGCCGCGGCGGCGGCGTCCTCCCCGGCGCCGTCCTCGCCGGGGTTCATGGTGCGGGATGAGCTGCTCGCACCGGGGGACGAGTGCAGCACGCCGGGGCTCTCGCCGCTGCTGGGCACCACCGGCGGCTACTCCGTGCGGGTCTCCAACTACTCGTCGGAGGAGGAGGAGGACGGCGACTACGGCCACGCCGACGGCGGCGGCGGCGGCGAGGCCGTGGACGACGAGGCGGAGGAGTTCATCAGGCGCTTCTACGAGCAGCTGCGCCGCCAGAACCACGTCGCGCTGCTCCCCTACATGACGGAATCCGCCCCGTGATCGGTCGAACGTTCGTCCCGTCCACGCCGCGCCGCGCCGCGTCGCGCCACGCGCGCCCAGAGCACGAACGCCGGCGAGGCCGCGCGCGAGCTCGATCACGCGGTGGCCCATCGCCTCGCCGCCATGGCGCCATCGATCATGTACACATACGAGTCATGTATACGGAGCTTGAATTACATGGTGCGTACGTAATGCGAAGATCTGAAGGGAGTCCCCATGGTTTTGGTTGCTGCAGGGACAGATGTAAATCTTGTGCAAATCTTTGTGTATTTTGAGCTTATTTGTAATTTGTAATGAAAAATATTATGTCATCTCTCTCGTCTAATTAATATATGTAATGTGCAGTAATTAATATATATATTCTTCTTCTTGAAATCAATCGAATACTGCTCTGCATAGGGTTGTACACTCATCTATATATCTGACAAATTATGGGGATAATAGAAGAAGAGACAACAAGTTCTTGCTCCCTTTTGGGTGGCAAAAATGCAGATAATTAAAAGCATCAAGCTAAAGACGCCAACTTAATGGACTAATTAGTATAAACGGTAGATAAACGAATATCTGTCTGATTCTTGATGGCTCCATCTCATTGTATCCGTGTGTTTGGTTGGTGGGTAGCGAATACAGTGATCAACCTATTGCCAGCAACAAGACTATGCATGCATGATAATTAACCAATCGATGTGCATCGTCGGTGCAGAACAATTTATTTAAACGACGAATTAATGATACTATTTAATTAACTCCCAAGTCCCAACTATGTAGCAGGTAGCATTATCTCTGAACGCAGATGATAGCATATCCATTTTCTGAATGATACTGAACATGTTCAGAAATCAGAAACATGCATGCAGCTGCAGGTACTACTCAGTTTGATTGGCTTTTTTTGGCGGTATGCCTTGATGTATCCAATTATTCATACTGTTTTTAGCTTTATTACTTATTAGATTAGCTAATGGATTTTCTGCTTTGCACTTTAGCGAAAGCAGTGGATTATTGGGGCCACCTGACAGCACAGTACTGTCGTTTGTTTGTTGGACAGCAGCATGATCAGTACTACTTAGAGGTGGTACAATAAGCTGACACAGCAGGCTGCAAAAATTTCCACGTCATGCTATTCTTACGTGGAGAAGAGAAAACGAAGGAGAGAGAATAAAGAGAGCGACATATCTGCAGAGCTCGCGTGCAGTCGATCTCGCGGATTAAAAACACGTATTGTGGGCCTCATCACCACCACTTCAGCCCTTCCGATCCCATGCGCCAGATTCACGCCATGGCGTGGCACTGGTACTTATTTTCAGGCGACAATACAACTACCTACAGAGACTGAGTTCACTCTTGATCATACGCAAGTATGTGCATGCTTAATTAATTCCCGGATTATGAAACTGTAATTAGCATAGTATAGCCATTCTATTGTATAGGTTGGCTCTATTATTAACTGTAAAATGACATGGATGTAATTGGAACCAACTGCTGGCTATACTATTGACCTTGCTCCTAGTATTACAATAGCTGGGCAATGATGAACAGCTTAGCTCTAACAATAACATATATGAACAACCTGGCCAGCTGTATGTACCAGCTTATCTACATACTTCTTGCATGATAAGAACATTAGCATCGTGTGACCTAATTAATTCCACGCGGAAAAACAAACTCTCGAGTCATTCGTTTAGCATTTTGTCAGCTGCTTGCCTGCTTAATCCCTTGTTGATCATCATCAGATGTGTGGAGCATGCGATCGAGCAGCTATGATTTGTCGATCTGCTGAAAATTAAGTCTATGCCTTCCGAGCAGATTGACAGCCACATCGTTTTGCCTATAATCTTAGCAGTCATAATACCGAAAAGCAACTATAAGATTACTGTAATTTAAATCTTAGCTGCAGCTGATAAGCTGAAAAGCAAACGATGGAGTTGTAAGCTAGTTGTGGAATCTGACTTGCTTGCCGCAAACAGACGCTGTCGGTTCAGTTGATCGAAATGATCAATTCCAGCTTGATTCCAATTGGTGTTGCTCCGAGTAGCTGTACATGTTTCCTTCTGGGAAACCTTTGCTGTTTCCTGCCATAATCTTTCTTTTATATTCCCTTACAAAGCCAGGGTTTTTCCTGACTGAAGCAATCATTTTTAAGCTCACAACCCCAAACTATTATATTCAGTGTTCATGCACGTTACTCGTGTAGTCTTGTGTTGAAAGATACTTCAATCATACCGGCGTGATGATTTGTTGAGCCACATGAGGTGCAGTGGTGTAGTTTGAAGTCCTGATCCTCATGGTTACGTTTACATAGAGTGCGTTTTTAACTGAAATTTCGTGAGATTAGAGACCTATCGTTAGCCTCCGTCTATTTAAGCAGATTGCAGAAAGATCAAAACAGCTTGTGAATTCTGAAATCGAATCGGCAATGTGCGTCTTGCGAGTCGAAGTTTGTGTGTGCTCCAAAATAAAACAGAGATGGAAAAGAGAGGAGAGAGAGGGAGAGAGAGAGAGAGAGAGAGAGAGAGGAGGGGGAAGAGAGGAGTCGCTGACAGCGAGTCAACCACAGTCAATCTACCACATTAGCAAAATACCGTTTCCCAAACCGTCGAAGGAGTCTATTTGCATCAGTTTTCAAAGATGAGGGATGCGTTACACCTGGTTTTACGGTTGAGGAACACAATTCAATCATGAGTAAGCGATGAGAGAGGTAAAATAGACTTATTCTAAAATTCATTCGTATCAAGCCCCACAAGGTAGAATCCTGTTCCTTTCCAACCCAACACATTCCCATTCTTGGGCCATCCCGGCTCAGCCAATCCCGTTATTGGGCCGCAAGTAATCGAAATCCCCTTCCGGCCCAATTATTATGGGCCACAAGTCAGAATCCTGTTCGCCCCCAACCAATATGGGCCGCACGTAGTAACTCGAGATCCCGTTCCGGCCCATTCCCCGCACGCAGCCTGGAATGCCGTTCCGGCCCAACTCAGCATCGGTTTCGCCATTTGTTCTCGCGGCGGAGGCCAGCAACGGCGGTGCGCGCGGCGGCGGAGGCTTGCCGCGCCGGCGGCGACCCCTCCGATTCCCTGGCGGCTCCTGGACGGCGCGACCTTCGCCGCGAATCGGTGGTATACGCTCTTCTCGCCGCGCCCGTTCGTCGATCTCCTCCTCCTCCTCCTCCTCCTCCTTGTTTGATCTCGCTGGAAATTATGTCGGAATCGCAGGAATGGAGACGCGGATTGGTGGCTTGGCAAGTCGTAGCGGAGATGGGATGCTGGAGCATGTGGATTGGGGTTCCTGGGCGGAATGCATAGGTACGATCTCTCGATGTCCCGTGGATTTTGCTTCTCTCATCACATGCCTCTGAACTGTTCGATGGAATGCCTCTGCGCCAACTTCTTGCTAGTTTCCTCACCTGTCCCGAACTCGCGTTCGATTGGCACCATGGAATTGCTCCTGTGCATCGATTTGAGCTTTGGTATACTGATACCGAACCTGGAGTCAATCATGCACAGTTGCCTTTCCTTTCAGAATCGCACACAAGATAAATACTCCCTCCGTTCTCACATTCATATTGATGTTAATCTAGATAGCATTCATTAACATCAATATGAATGTGGGAAATGCTAGAATGACTTACATTGTGAAACGGAAGAAGTATGATATATGCTGGTCCTTCAACCTTTTTGATTATTTCAACTTTTCAAGTACCAACACTCTTACAGTACAATAAATATGCTAGATTACTATCAATCTCTAGGGACGTTTCATATTGATCAAAATAACAAGTTATTCTTCCTGTGTATTAGTGTATATGCTATACTACTATACAATCTATGTTACATATTGAAGTTCTGATTCTCCAAAAGAAAACGTCATACGAATCTCCATGCATGTTCTGTGGTATGGTCAGGATTAGGAATGCTGATTTCTCATCCCCTCCTTTTTTTGCTTGTGCATTTCCTCACTCAGCACTGAGAACAACATCTTCTATGCGATAATTAGTTACTGAGTACTTACTCAGATTTCCAAGAACATCACCATCAGTCTAGATCTCGTACGTCATTCCTACCCGCAACAGTCTATTATGGGGAACACATGTGATCTTCTCTGGTTGCCTGAAGTTCTTCCTAATGAAATTGTAGACATAATCAACTATTATTTTCTTAAGGAAATCGGCGTTTGGTTCTGCCACCACATTAGTTTCTCCCAGCAGATGGACTACACCATTCCCCATCTCTTTGTGAATTGACTGTATCTCATCCATGCATCCATTTCTTGGTTCCGTCGTGTGTTGGTCTGAATTGTTTCTGGATGACATTGCATCTTGAACTTCAGAGGTAGGATCCGTTACACCTCCTATTTCTTTTATTGATTCTCCTTCAAGGGAATGACTACTTTGGCTGTAGAGGGATTCCTCGTGGATGAATTGCTTCAAGTTTTCAATAACTAAGCTCTCAAATTCTGCTGGATCTTCTACTTTATCATTGTATCCATAGCGCACCACACATCGGAATACCCTGTATTCTTTTGGCTCCACATATCGGAAGAGAAACCGTTCCTTTGTTTCTATCTTGCTGATCGGTAAGTACTTTATGGAGATAATCACAAGTACTGAATGAATGGAAGGTACTTTTTCCACCAAATGAGGAAGTATGGGTGGGATGCCTTGCACAAGTTCAGAGTATAGAAAACCTATTCCTGGCAGCCTGGCAAGATTTTGCTTTACTGCCAACTCTGCCACATAATTGTTTGATACTTTGTTCCGGAGCTCATATTTGTACCGATGAACGTGAACATAATGCCATGTGGCCATTATAAACATCAAAATGGCTGAAAAAACTAGTGGCAAGTATCCACCTTGAGTAAACTTGTAGAATGCTGAAGATAAGTATATGAGCTCTGCACCACCAAATATTACTGGAAAGAGTGCAATCCACAAAAGACTTGTCTTCCATATCATGACCATCACTAGAGTGACTAGTAGTGTTGTTATAAACATCACAAAGACAACAGCAATACCTGCACAATATAGTGATGATATGAGATGTCTGATCATAAAACTGGTACATTAATAATGTTATCATAACATGTTGACAGATCATGTCCATCCTTGCTTTTTAAAGAACATTTGATAAAATCGTTGGTGTCACTGGATAAAGGGACTAATCTGTAGAATTTTGTTGATATATCTTATGCCGACACCGTCAATCTTACTTAGAATCTAGATTCTTGCTAAATACTGTAATATTTGTTAGGCTGAGTTCACAGCTTAAGCAGTACCATTCTGTTAATGTTACGATTTGCTTGCAGTCTTGCCTGATAGATTTGGGCAGTTATCAGGTCTAGAGAAATTATAGTATATATCTTTTTGGTTATTTAAGACACAGTAACATCAAATTACCTCAAATAATTGATGATTTTAGATGGGTTTGTGGAATTAAGAGAAACTGTACCAAACAGGAAACATATGGTTCTTGAGAAAGAATATTCTCTATCTTAGAGTAAAAATGCTCTGAGTTCAAGTATTGAATCACTTGTTCCATGTTTATATTGGGTTAGAACTTAGAAGGAAGGGATACTTGTTTCTCGAGCTGAGGCTTACCGTATGCATTGCCGATCTTGTCTGTAGTTTGGAAAATAGCTGTAACAGCTACACATAAAACCATCAATACATAATTGATCTCTGGAATGTACACTTGCCCATGAAACTTCGTTGAGGTGTGGATCACACGAACTCGTGGAAAACAACCTAGAATTTGGGACTGAGCAATGATTGCGAATGCACCAGATATCATAGCCTGGCTTGCAATTATGGCAGCTGCGACTGCCACCACAAATGTTGGCCAATATAATGGGTCTGATAACAATGCCAATGAGTTCTTTGTTAGTTCTAATATTTCAAATGTGCAAATCATGGCATTTGTTTGCTGTCTTTAGTTATTGTTTGTACCTGGAATTGATTTGTAGAATGTATCTGCAACGTGTTCTGGATAGATGCGAAGATATGCAGCTTGTCCAATGTATGCCAGTAGTACTGAAGGAAGGAGAACTACAGAAAAGCCAATCTGCAGCGCAACAAAAATATTTATTTTAAATGTCTTAAGTATAGTAGTATGAAAATCAAGAACAACAGTTACAAAGTTCAAATGGATCTCAATCCCTGTCTTATAGTACCCCTAGGAGGCTAGGAGTTTTGCTATTGGGTTGATTAGTTTTTGTGTGCATGCATTCAGAGGAAAAGTACTTCCTTACCTGAATGGCTCTCACATTGAAGTGACCAAGGTCAGCAAACATTGCTTCTGTCCCTGTTTCATCAAAGATGTGGTATACGTGTCAAAACTTATCTGTCAAAATCTTGTGGTGATAACATGGAGATTGGAGGCTTATTGCAAAGTAATAATGTTGGGGATCATGAGAGTAGTAGTACCTGTAATGCATAATATAACACCTCCAAGGGAAATCCAGCCTTGCTTCCCATTTCTTTCAAAATAGTCCACAATGTATTTGGGATTGAATGCTTTTAGAACACCAGTATCATGTTTGAACAGATTATAAACTCCAGTACCAGCAATAAAGATAAACCATGTCAAGATTATAGGGCCAAATGAGTAACCAACTTTGTCCGTGCCAAAACGCTGAACAAGGAAGAGGACAATCAGAATAGCAATTGCGATGCCAGCAATTTGTCCTGTTGATAGGGCCAAAAAGGTCAAATCAAATACATCCTGAGCAGTACTTGGCTTTTCAAGTCTCTCTCTGAAATACAGTGAGAAGCACATAATGATTGGTTTACCTTGAGTCAGGGACTTTGCTGATTCCTTGATCCCCCCAACAGCGCTAAGCACTATAATATTACCAAAAAGAAAAAAAATGCATGAGTTACTTTGAAACACTTCAGCATGTGTTCATGCAGTTCAGAAGGGAGATATCGTGTTTTTAATAACCCATGTCTGCTTCAATCATCCCTTCCATGCAACTTTACATTATAGCCATTTAATCATCAGCAATGAGTCCAGAAAGTGAAAGAAAACTCACCTGAAATACATGGAGTTAGTACGCCGTCACCAATCACCATAGATGTTGCCAGAATTGTTACTAGGAAAAGTATGATCTTAAAATTTGGACTGTTTTCCATCTTTTCCTTAATCCAATGAGCCCGCTTGACGCGATTTGAGGGGGACTCTAACTTGTAGTGTGAGACCATTGCATCTTCTGCCTGCTGATTGGGTATCAAGCTAATCCTAGCATACCGAGATATCAAGGAATAAAGTGCAAATGTTCCACCTGCAAGATTAAAAATTGATAAGAAATGTGAAATTATGATGAAATAAATCGTTGCATGCATATGGTTTCTAAGCCATAATTCTATTCAGGGAATTCATTTAAACACTGTGGTTGGAGTGTTTTTTTATATTTCTTTATGTTTGCCCCATTGATCATTCTTTTCTTGGTAAAGTTGCTTTTGAGTTTTTATCTTGCAGAAACTCTGCTTGCAATAAAAGCATAATTCTTTAGTTGTTCGAAGGACTTCTCTGTGGCCATATACATGTGTTCTGAAGATGAATGAAAGATGTTCACTCACCATCGCCATTGTCATTTGCTCTTAAAACAATGAAGCAGTATTTTATTAATGGGAGGAGAACCACAGTGTAGATAATCAGAGACATAACACCAAGGATGTCATTGGTGTCCTTGATCCCGTTGGTAAAGGTGCTGGAGAACACATAGAGGGGAGAAGTCCCCATGTCCCCATAAACCACGCCTATGCTCTGGAAGGCCAAGTGTAGTGTGGTCGCCCATCCAACCTGTGTTTCAGCATCAAGCATATTCTCAAATCAGATTGCATTCGGCTCACATGAAGATCTCTTCTTCTTGCTACACTAGTCATGCAAAACTTAAGATGATAAAGAAGATAGTATATTAGTTGCTGCAGAACATTTCTTTTCAAAATATTCTTCCTCCATTTTGTGAAGTTCTGGGAGTATTCTTATTAAGTTGAAGTTCATGAAAAAGTGTATACTGTTATAGGAATTCAATTGTCTGTTTGAAGAACAAACCTTGGCTGTATGGCTTTGGCCACCTGGAATCTTTCCAGCTTCCATGTGCAGTGAATCAAATCTCTGCAACCTTGTTGTTGTTTGCAGCGTCTTCTCCGATTCAAATGCAGCGTTTGGACCCCTTTCAGCGCCTCCATTGCTGCTTGTGTGCAGAGGCTCGGTCATTCTCAGTGTATGGAATGTTTGCTCAGGCCGACCTTCTGTGTTGTTTAAGCATGCGTGACTTGGCTTATATAGGCATGTATGGGTGGGGCCAAGCATGACACTTGTTATTTTCTTGCAAGTTGCAACCTTTGAGATCTTGTCTTATGAATTGTGATGCTGAAGTATGAATGGTGCCACAGGATAGACGGGAAATCAGTGCAACTAATTGGATTTTTCATTTTATGCTAGTGTAGTCAAATATTGTTATCATTTGCTTTACTCACGGAGTCTTCCTTCTGTGCTGCAGCTGTGAATCTTGTGATCTGCATTAACTAGTGAAGGTGGCTAAAGGGAGAAAGGCACGGTGACTTTTCTTCAGAAGCGCGTCCTGTCACCTGTGACTTGTGAGTTCTCGTGCTGAATACCAGTAAAACTTTCCATAAGCATTTCGTTTCAGTTCAGTTCCAACTTATCGTCTGCTTGCTTCATGAATGTGGAAAGAAACCTCATCTCCATGCCATTTCAACGGTTAAGAGTTTATCAGGAATTCAGGATATATGTCGCTTTGCTAGTTGGCCTGCAGAAATCATCACTTATCTCAGGAAAAATACTCTGTCTGCAGACTTAATCATCAAGTAGGGATAGATGCAAGGAATGCGAGATTTTAGATGTCACTCAATCCTTCCAGGCTACCAGTCCTTTTTGCACAAGGATGATCGAACTATTTTGCTGGGATATCTGCTGTCACTTAAAAAATTTTATATAGAAGTTTTTTTCAAATAATAATAATAAGATCTATTTTTTAAGTTTGTAATAGTCAACACTCAATTAATCATGCACTAATAACAAACCTAGTTGTGCAAATTGATTTTCACAAACGGCCATTAAAAAGAGGATCACCTACCTTAAACCTCACTTGGCTACTAGTGTGAAGTACAATTAGGAAAGTTTTGCCTTCAGCACGAGCAAGTCACGTTCGCATGAACGACCTTTTGGCCATTTGATTAGTCAGAAGCTTTGAACAGTGTATAACGGCCCAAGTTGTTGCCAAAAGTATGACTTCAATATTGTTGGGCGCTAACTTGAGCAGCTATCGTAGGCAAAGATGAGAAGCATCTTTCTGCAAGCTGGTTCTGTTAAGTTTTAACTCCCTTTCATGTTGAACTGCAACGTGGACTTGACCACTCGCTTCTTTCTCGTGCAGGATCCTTTCAAAGAAAGGGATTTCGATTCTCTGAAGCAAGTCAGAGAAGCACGGCTTGGTAGTTTTGAGCTAATCTTGCTCATCCATTCGAAGACAACGTGCTACAGTAGATGCAACTGCTACAGGTGCAGTAATGTTTGCTACAGGCAACTGATACATGTACAGTTCTCTCCCAGATTTTTTACTGATCCAGCCTTCCAGGTCATTTATTCACCGGTGACTTGTTTGTGTAGGATGGTGGCAAGTGTCAAGTGTGTGAATTCTTGAAAATTAAGGAAGACCTGCCTGACTAAGGTGGCATGTATCTATCACCGCGTGCGATTTCCAAGGTACGCAAGTCTTCAGCTAATGGCAGTGCACATCAATTCTACTTTGCTGCTTCTAGACTAGCGCACATCAATAGCATGCAAGACTTTTCCATGTTCAGTTTGATCTTGCTGCGTGACGTAGCTGGTAGATTAGTGCTGATAATAGTTCAAGCTCATCAGGAAATGAGCTTGGTAAAGCTTGGAACCAGCTTTGGAACTGTAATGTGCCCCCAAAAGTCAAGGTGTTTATGTGGAGAGCTGTCACTAACAGTCTGGCAACTATGGTGAATAAGAAGAAAAGGAATCTAGAGCAAAACTCCTTGTGTACCATCTGTGGAACAGAGGAAGAGGATGTTGCTCACGCTCTGTGTCGTTGTCCGCATGCGAAGTACCTGTGGGAAGCCATGGGAAACACCAATGCCATCTCCTGCAAACCGGACAGCAACTGGAAAGATTCTGACTGGATCCTTGACATTTCAGGGAGAGTTTCAAAGGAGGAGCGCATGGGGCTCATGATGCTGCTGTGGCGAATTTGGTATGTACGTAATGGGATTACTCATGGAAAGGCAGCAATTCCGGTGGAGGTTTCCCAACGTTTTATCATCAGTTATATGGCATCACTGTTGGAGATTCGACAACACCCGAATGCCAATTTGATTAAAGGGAAACATGTGGTTCAATATGGGTCGTCAATGCCTTTGCCAAGACAATGCAAGCCAAGTGCAGAATCCAGCTCTTGGATAAGACCACAGGAAGGCTGGATGAAGCTAAATGTTGATGGCTCATATTACCCTAGTGATGGGAAGGGAGGAACTGGCGCTGTTCTCAGGGACAGCTCTGGGAACCTAATTTTTGCGGCTTGTGGTGTTTTGCACAGACCGGCAAGTGCTCTGGAAGCTGAGATGGTAGATTGTAGGGAAGGGATCAGCATGGCGCTACAATGGACGCTGCTGCCCATCATTGTGGAAACGGACTGCTTGGAGATGGTGCAATTGATTCACTCTGATGAGAAGGCCATGTCCGATTTGGCATTCCTGATCAGGGAAGTTAAGCTCCTTCTTAAAGGAAATAGGGAGATTGTCATAAAAAAAGTTAGTCGTGGTCAAAGCAGAGACTGTCATGTCTTAGCAAATAAAGGTAGATGTGAGTCCTTAACTGCCTTTTGGCCGGATGATAATTGTAACTTTATCCCGCACGTTTTGGGTGCGGATGAGTAATATATCTCCCTTTTCCCCGCAAAAAAAAAAAAAAAGATTAGTGCTGCTGGTTTACCTTCACGGTTCTACGGCGAGCGATGAGCGAACATATAATCGTACGGTAGAATTTGCTGGGACGATAAGAGTGCCTTGGTATCTTTGGGCTTATTTTCCGTTCTCCTTTTGAATAAAACCACATGAGGTGGCAAAGGTGCAGGTTGGGTTATATCTTACTGATTAAGATACTTAATTTTAATTTGAGCTTGCTAGTAGGCCAGTGGGGTTATTCAAGAAGCAACAATGAGCAATCCATGAATGCTTAGCAGTACCTGCTTTGACGGGCAGTTTTGTTCTGTTCGTGCTTCGTCACGTATATAACTATGCCCGCGCGTGTGATGTCGTCACCGTTGTTTGGTGTCCAGTTGCAGCCTCGCGTCCTTATTGAATGTTGACCGTGTTCGTCTTCCCTTGCACAAGAAGAAAAAAGATATTTTCAAAATCCTTTTTATCAAAAAATAAAATAAAATAGTAAAAAGGACACCGCAATTTTAAGGGACAGTTGTGATGCCACTATGGTTGACGAAGCATAGCAATCCGTACCACTGACGATGATGATGGTGCGGTAATGGCCACAGTGGCATGCCAAAAGATAAAAAAGTGTAGATGAGTTAGTTTTAAGAGTGTTATTAGAAAAGTTTTCAAATAAATAAATAAATATTTGCCTGCAGGAGTTGCAGAAATTAGCGAGTAGTCGACTTCTTATTTTTTTGGTCACTCTGCCCTCTTCTTCCTTCCTGGGGATAAGCCCTTGGCTTTTTCATGCTCGGCTCTCTTAGCCGATGTAAATCAACTTTGTATTTGCTCTTTTCTTCACAAATCTTAATGAAATTGGTCGGCCTCCTTCGGCCGACCCAGCAAAAAAAAAATTGTCTGCAGGAGCAAGGGTTTTACCGGTTATTAGTGTGTAATAATTACTGTCAGGGAGTATGCGGTCTATTTTGGTTTCTCGAAAAGTGGATTTGCTTGTTACTGCCTCGTTGTGCTAGGAGAGGTTGTCTTTTTTTTTGGGACGGATGGAGTATGCATGATTTTGACATGTAAAAACTCATATTGGTTCTTGCTTGTCATATCCAGTAGATATCATAATATTATATTTTTATGGGCATATATGTGGTTATCAGTGACTTATGGATTTTAGAATATAATCGCAAACATTACATTACATCGTCTTATCATGGTACTGGAAAATGCACCTGATGGTCAAGGAAAAAATATATGGTGGAAACCACATTGTAATGAAAACTACCATTGGATAAAAAAATGGACGTCCGAGATTTGTTCACGTCACTATGAGTAATAAATCCGTGAGTAAATTTTTTACTCGTGATGACGTGGACGAATCTCGAACGTCTATTTTTCGATCAAGCGGTAGTTTCTAGGTTTCCATTGTATACGTGGTTTCCACCGCATATTTTCCCGATGATCAATGCCCTGAAAGAAACCCAGAATGCCATGCCATATTAGCTTGGAACTTGTCGGTTTAAACGGAGTCCAAAAGCCCATTGGGTGAGGATTAGTGGGCCGTTGAAATTTTATAGCCCAAAGAGGAAAATCCTTAGGTTGAATGTTAAGCTTATTGGCTGGCCCATTAAGTTTTGTTGACGTTCTTTCTGATTGCTTGGATGGTATTGGTCACTGAGAATAGTGTAGTTTTGTGCTTAAGAGAGTGTGATAGGGTAGCAGATAAAACTGGCTGCTTTTGTTGCTGCGTTCGTATGGGCCAAATCTATCTTCATGTCTTGAATTCTTGATGAGGCTCTTGAGTGCGTGCTTGATTTGGTTTCCGCTGATTTAGTTGGAACCAAAGTTTAACGGAATCCTGAATTCCTCCAACAAAAGCCCCCAAAAATAAATCCTACATGATTTCTACTCCATTCTATTACTTTTAGAAGGGTAGATTCTATCAAAATTGATGTCAACATATGGTGGTAACTGGTAAACTTCTCAGTTCTTATATGCCAACTTATATAACTGATATGGTATGATGATGTCCACTTCCTAGCTATAGAGGATCAGCACCAAGCTACTTTTTCATTTTTTTCCCGCAAATAATGGTATTGACTTTCCACAAATGAACCGTGGACGTTGCGACCATGTAAATTATGACCTAACTCCATTGAAATAAATATTTGAGCAGCCTCGATTTGATATGCTTGTTGCTCATGGAAGTCGTTTTCAGTGTCACGAATCAGGGAATTTATATACTAGAGGTACATAGGGCGGCTCCACTGAAAATATGCTGCAATTGGTAGTGGAATTCCAGAGGATATATATGTGTCTTGTCTTTTTTACAAGTGGGTCTTGTTTCTTGCTTTGTTCTTTCCTCCTTTTCGAAGCAATTCATTTTCATCTTCGGCTTTAGGTAATACTATATGCTAGTATTTCATTCCCGTGCACGTGGCAATTCTAAGCACGGTACAGTTTAGGGGGGAATCTGCAAGCACATTAAAAGATGATGCAACCAGATCACCTGAGCTGTGTTTGCATTTGACTAGTCCTAGATAAAACCTTACATGACATATATATATATATATATATATATATATATATATATATATATATATAATGGTATAAGGTTATCAAATAATGATTCTGTTTTCCATTTATGGGCATGTTGTATGTATTATAAATATTCATGTGAACGCTCCTGTAGATAGGCCTGAGCAAAATGTTCCAAAGTCAGCTTTGAAGTTTGAACACAGTTTATCTTCTTCATTTAAAATAGAACAGGTTACTACCATTCAAAGCTTCTGCAAGATTATCCGATAAAAGGTTTCCCATATCGCTGTCGTATGCTTCCAAGTTCCAACTGATTGCTGATATTTCCTTTTAAAAAACTTCTTTTTTTTTTGCGAGTGAGGGGAAAAAACGGATTGCTGATATGATATAGGTATTAGGTGCTGTAGTGGTTCAAAGCTTAGATAACGATGACGAGGAGGTAGTTGTTTTGCGTGGATGCTGAGAAGAACCAGCGAAATGTCAAAGTCGAAGTCTTGGGGGGGTAATCTTATGTATTTCATGATTTTCAGTTTTGGTTTTATAGTTTTAAAGATTCAGATTGACTCTATGACAAAAGGAGGAGGATGAATTGGCTTTGCACACACACTCACTTTTGCACCAGTATAAATTTAAGTTTGAACATTCAATAACAATTTAGTGAGATCAAGAATATGTCGTTAGTCATCGTCTTCTTGAGCATCTATTAGGGGTCGTATTCACCGCTCTATACGTCCGTAGTCCATAGAGGTGTGTGTCAGCCGTGGTGATGTTTCTCCGAGTAACTGCAAAAAAGTGCATCATATAAACTGCAAAACATTGTATTATTTCTTTTTAAGTCTAGCTAAAATTAGAGTTGCACTTTATATTCGTTTACCTCTATTTTTATGATACAATGATATTTTGCGGAGAATGTAGTGGCTCATTTTAGCCTTCTCGTTATTTGTGGATATGATATGGAGTAAAAGATATCTATAGTTTTTTAGGGTGTGTTCGGTGGTGTTGAGGGTTAGGAACCCTTCCTCCCAGTAAAAAAAAAGGATGAATTATTAATGTATAATTGATTAAGAGTAAAGTCCATCACCGGTCCCTAAACTTGTACCGTTGTGTCATCCCGGTCCCTAAACTCACAAATCGACCGTTCAGGTCCTCAAACTTGTTCTATTGTGTCATCCCGCTCCCCATACTTGCAGATCACTCGTTTAGATCCTCCAACTTGTTCAGTTGTGTCACCCCGGTCTCTAAACTTGGATTTGAATATCATATGGGTCAAATAGGACGATATAAATACTTTATATTTAAAAATAATTCATAACTTTTTCATGTGAACTCTAATGAAAACGAATTTTATATCAAAATTGTAGCCCTCGACGCGATCTACATCTTTGTAGTTGAAATTTTTTTATTTTAAGTCATTTTTTTGTCCCAAAATGTAATTTTAAAATTAAAATTTCAAAATCTATAAACATGCAACAATATTTTGGGATCCTAAACAGTTTTAATTCAAAAAATTTTCAACTACAAAGTTGTAGGTCGCGTCGAGGGCTACAATTTTGATATAAAGTTTGTCTTCATTAGAGTTCACATGAAAAAGTTATGAATTATTTTTTGATACAAAAGTTTTTAGACTGTCCTGTTTAGGGTCCGGGGTGACACAACTAAACAAGTTGGAGGACCTAAACGAGTGATCTATAAGCTTAGGGACCGGGATGACATAGTCGAACAAGTTTGAGGACTTGATGGTTGATTTGCGAGTTTAGGAATCGGGATGATACAGCGGTATAAGTTTAGAGACTGGTGATGTACTTTACTCATGGATTAAGTACTAATTGGGAAGGGAGAGCATAGAACACACCCTGGCACAACTTCGATGCAAAAGTGAAATCCACTTTAACTCTAATACAAAGTGCAACGACGAAGTGTGATCAACTCCCTAACCTGACTTGCGCAGCAGTTCACTCCCAGCACCGTTACGAACACGAGGAAGACTCGCCCACTAGGCCCAGAGAAACAACACATAGTACCATACACTAAAAACGCTTAGTTGAGGGATAACATCAATCACTAGCCAGTCAATTTCCACACTTAATTGTGATGGATAACCTATCCTCTTGGAGAAACCCTCGTTTCAATTCCAGCCTGCATAATAGAAGAATAAAAAAGGCTCGAGGAATTGGAGATGATTAGATGAAGAAGTAAGGAGAGAGATAGGAGTATATAATGGCGACAGCAACCGGGGACTCCAGGAGGAGGCCGACCAAGCGAAGAGTGCACGCGAGCACAATCGCACGCACACACGAACGAACTGAATTTTTTTTTTCCGATCGTTTGCGACAAAATTTAATTGGTCAAGCCCATGTGCGGGGTTTGGTCAAAGCCAGTACGAAACGTCGCGGCTTAGCTGTTGACAACCCAACCTTCGCTGCAGCATCTCACAAACTAAAACGATAGCAGTACTGTTCCTATGAAAGAAACTTTATACCCGCAGTATATTAGACTAGTACCCCTCCGTCTGTAGTTATAGGTTTCCGTGTCCAATATTTAACTATTCATTTTATTTAAATTTTTTTATGATTAATATTTTTTGTTGCTATTAGATAATGCGTGATTTAATTTTTTTTCATAAATTTTTAAATAAGATGGATGATCAAACGTTAGACACAAAACTCACAGCTACGTTTTAAAATAGGATGGAGGGAGTACTTTTGTTACTTATTCTGCAACTATTTTCACTGGTGATTCAGGATCCGGTGTACCGGATCAAGGGACCTTAATTTTATTAAGGTTATTGCAGCTATTTATAGTTTCTATGTTGACAGGATTGCCAGTTTGGCACATCAGAATTAGCTGGAAACCAGCTGGTAAAATACTGTTTGGGAGGGGTTAATGAAATGGGATGAAATGTGTGGTTTTGGAGTTTAATAAGTTTTAAATAAAGTAAAGAGTTTAAGGGTCGAAATGACTTATTCATCATTTTCTGCTCTAAACCCATCGATTCCTCTAAAGAGTTAAGGGTCTGTTTAGTTCTCATCCACATGTTATCACCATTTGCTAACAGAAGTTAGTAAACTTGATTAAGGCTATATGCTCGAAAATATTTACCACACTTTAGTAAACTTAAGATAATATTATCGCACTTTTCCGAGTCATTGATGGTAGAACTTAATTTGTGCAAGAAAATTTTATCATAACTGTAGCTAATCTTAGGAGTGACAAACAGTAAACAAGTTATGGTTAGCAACCAAAAAGACCTAAGTCCCAAACATGCTCATGTGTTTCTTGAGCTGTTGATTTAGAATTCTTAAGCCGATCTTGAATTTTAATCAAAACTACAGTATGTTTTTTTTTGTCAATTTTTATATTCACCGTTAAAAGTAAGAACATTTTCCCACGCTTTGCGGTTTGAGGCGTTGTTGTCATATGGTGCGGTGGCTTTTATGTTATTTCCTCTTTTTTTCAGTTATAGTTCCCTAGATTATAGGATTATTTTTTTTCTTTTGCTATATTGATATAAACTTCTAGATGTGATTCGTTAAAAATCCCAGAGTCCAAAAATACCATACTATTTTTTATTGGGAAAAATAAAAAACCATCGTATAAGCCACATGAAGTTTGACATTCCATCCATAAGTTATTTTGTTATAAATGTTCATCTTTCTATTTAGTTATGTTGTAAAAACTGCTCCATCACATATGTGCTTTAGCCAAATCAATATGAGAGGGTAAAGCCAAGGCATAAACCCCGAAGCAGACGAAACGAACACTGTGAGAGCATGTACAATCAGGGTTCAAGTTATCATGCAGTAATTGCGGTTATCGCACTTACGCAGGGGAGGGGATCGGTTACCGGGGATTAGGGTTTAAGAAATTTTGAGTAAATTCAAATTTTCAGAAAAAAAATCATGGATGTAGTTCGTGATTCTTAATGGTAGACGGTGAAGAATTTTTTTTGAAAAAAGAGTAAGATAGAATCAAATTTGAGGGCAAAACCAATAATTGTTTAGGAAATAGAAAAAGAAAAAATATATTGGGCTTCATTTTTGTATTTTACATCCACAAACTAGGTTTGCAAATGTCCTATATATTCTTCCTCAATTTCTACACACATTTAAGTGATTTTTCTTTTTTTTAGTTCCTTTTCATTTTTTCATGTTTTCTGCAAATATCACGGTTACCACGTCAAAACGTGTGGTAACCGCGAAACCGCCAAATTTTTGAAGACGAAATTCACACGGTTTTTGGCGGTTACCACCTTACCATGGGTGGCGATAACCTCCTCCAAAACGTTAAGTTAAACCCTGGGTACAATAACATATTATAAACACATGTCAAGGAGATAAAATAGGAGAGAGAAGAGCAGCGGGCTATATATTTGTACCCAATTGCAGTATGGATTCCAAGACGCAATACATGTATGATAAGTGAGACCGGGTATTAATAGTGTAATATATATTTATATATAACTATTGTATATATGAGTTATCTATTAAAATTGACTATAAATAATTTAGAGTTATTAGTTAGTTATACTACTACGTATTAAAACTTGCTCTGAAGTGGACGAAACAAGAAGCGGCAGCAGGCGACAGTAACGAAGACATGCCAGCAAGCTGCTCATCGAAACAACAAACAAGAACAAGGACGGCCAAAGCCAGGCCAAGCAAAACAAACTAACAAAGCAGCCTCCTCTTCCTTTCTTGTCTCGCTCTCATCACCTCCATCGTGCGTCGCTCGTGCGCCACGAGGCGGGGACTTCTGGGAAGCTTCGCATCCCGCTCCCGCCTCGTCTCAACTCCGTTGATCCCGTCTCGTCCGCCCCTCGGACCACGCGACTAGTCGCCGGCGACAGCGACGCCGCGCGTACGACACAGGGTGGGCGCAGTGTACTACTCGCCTGCCTCTTTTCTCATAAAAAAACGTGACCACCACCACCGCCACATAGACGTAGCGGAACTCATATTTACGCTTATATTTATACTTATTAACTAAATTTTAAAATTTTAATCTTAAATTTAAAATTGATTTAAGATTTTTTTTATCGAAGATCATTTTTCAGTCTTTACTTTTAAATAAATAAGAACATGTATATAATCTTTTTTCATAAAGTACTTTTTATTTATAAATATATGTCTTTTAACTTATTTCACGAATAAACAAAACGATGGGTGTGGAGACGAGTAGACGACGACGTCGACGGGAGGGCGGCCGGCTACGGGCTACGTACGTGGTTGCGTGGTGGTCGCACGCACCGCCCCGTCCGTTCGATGATCCACGCGAAAGCCCAACCCGCCACGCCACTCTCTCTCTCTCAACTCTCTCAACGCGGTGGTCTGGTCAATGGCCGCTTCGCCGGGATCCGGAGAGAGATCGCCGGCCGACCAGCCGCCTCGCCCGATCTGCTTGCCAGATAATCTCGGCAACCAACGAACTCCAAACTGTACTGTATAAGCCTACGGCCTCGCACGAGCTGTTAGGTGTGTTCTTCTTGTGCTAAGTATTTATTATTTAAGTGTACAAATGAATCATGCCCTGTTTAGATCTCCCGATAAAATTTTACACCCTGCCATATCAAATATTTAGGTACATACAATATGAAGTATTAAATATAAATGAAAAAATAATGAATTACACAGATTGCGTGTAAATTGCGCGACAAATCTTTTAAACCTAATTGCGCAATGATTTGATAATATGGTGTTACAGTAAACATTTGCTAATGATGGATTAATTAGGCTTAATAAATTCGTTGCTAATGACGAATTAATTAGGCTTTATAGTAGTTTGTTTTGTTATTAGAATATGTTTAATACTTTAAATGTGTCTCCGTATACAATGTGATACGCCAAAACTTTACAATCTAAACACAGTTGAACAATAGAAAGTTTTTTAAATAGTAATGTTCTTAAAAAGATCGTTGCTTGGAAAACTTGCTAGATGATCCATTCAAATGAGATTGGGGCAGGTTGGAGTTGGGGACTTTGGCGGTGAACATTGAACAACACAGCTCGACAAAGTCCAGGACGAAACTGACTAGTATTAGGCTATGTTTAGTTCGGTGCAAAGTTTAAATTTTAATTAAAATTAAAAATAATATGACTGAAAAGTTATGTGTATATAACAGGTTAATGTGATGGAAAAGAACTATTATTATGGATTTGGGAGATGGGAGATCGCGATTCGTTCTGCTCAACTACCAGCCAGCAAGATCCCACTCAATCCGCTGGGAGACCGGCTAAAAAAATTCATTTTTTTCTCCCTTTCTTCCACCATTCACTCGCCCTCTTGTCATGTGCTGTTGTTCAATTGGCAGGCAAGAAACCAAACAACAGGGAACCCAGAAGTTCTTGGCAAGAAACAGGAGATCGATTTTGAGTGAACCGATTACATGGTACAGCTCCATATCATCATCATCATCATCATGTTTATGTACACAAACATCTTCTTTACAAGTACAGCCATGGATTTTTCTTTTTACATGGCAGTAGTAGAGTAGCACTAGTAGTATGGTGATGGCTCAAGCAAGCCCTTTATCTCTCTCACCATGGACAAGAACAACATATATCTACAAAACACCTCACCTGACCTGACTCTTCCATCTCAACGAACACAAGACTTGAGATCCAGAAACCAATTCAGTAAAAAAAAAAGAAGAACAATAATTGATTAAAAATCCTCTCCTCCTCCGTGGTTGGTTTGATCATCCTCCTGTGCATCGGGCGATCGTTTCTAAACTCCTTTTTTTCCTTAATTAACCTCCCTACTATCTGCTGTTAATAAAACCGTACTAAAAATTACTTTATATACTTCACCATGGTGACTGCGAACGCGGCCGGCGAAAACTGTACAAGATTGAGGATTTTACGTTCCCTTTGGGACAGGCGGTTCGTCGGCGAGCCGCCGCCGGCGGATCAGGCGCGGGCGGACAGCACGCGGCCGCCGCCGCCGCTGCCGTGCGAGCTCCGGCAGGCGGCGACGTCGAACCCCTGGATCCTCACCGCCGGCGCGAACGACGGGGCAAAACTGCTGCTGCTGCTGTACGCGGGGTGGTGGCCGTGGTGGGTGCTCCGGTGGTCAAAAATCGAGAGCTCCGGCGCGGCGGCGGCGGCGGCGGCGTGGGGGCGCTGGTTGAGCAGGAAGTGCGGGTCGTGGACGAGCGGGTTGTCCGCCCTCGCCGGCGGCGACCCTCCGAACATCTCCCACCTCCCCTCCTCCTCCTCCTCCTTACTCTTCCCTTCCCTTTGCTGCATCAACCAAACAAAATTTACAGATCTTTGGTCAGACAAGATGAACAAACATAAAAAAAGAAAAGAAAAGAGATGAGATGATTTATGATGAACAAACATAAAAAGAAAAGAAAGGAGAAGAGATGATTTAACATGAACAAACATAAAAAAGGAGAAGAGAAAGAGATGAGTTGAATTTTGTTTGGGATTTTTGAGAGAGAGATCTGACCTTGTTGGTGTTGTTGGAGGAGAGGAGGAAAGGAGGAGGGCCGAGGATGAGGTCAGCGCTGCAAGGGTGCACCTGGACCCTCCTCGGCCGCGGCGCGCACAGCACCGCCGCCTCCCTGCCGGAGTTCGACGCCGCCGCCGACGACGACGACTCAACGAACAGCCTCTTCATCGCCCCGGTCGGCATCTCCTCTCTCTCTCTCTCTCTCTCTCTAAAGATCCAAGAACAACAAAAAATCCCTCCTTTTGAAGCTAGTATCGATCACTACCTATATCTGTCTACCTATCAATCTCTCTCTCCTCCGCGGCCTCCTCTTGCCAAGTCGCCTCTGGGTGATAAATTTAGGGCGACGAGGTGAAGCATCGGAGGAGAGGAGATGGAGGAGGAGGAATAAGAAGAAGCTCAAGATTTGGCCTTTGCCTCTTCTCTCTCTCTATATGGCTTGGCTTTTGGTTGGTTTGGATCCAAGAACGCAAATGCGGTGCTGACCGCCTCCACCACCACAAATATACCACCCAACCAACCGCCTCGACCTGCTTGGCTTTGCCTTAGCTAGCTGGACTACGTCTCTCTCAGAGCAAGTTTAATTAATATTATTTGGCTTCAATTCATCTGTAGTCAATCTAATAACTTATTTATACAATAGTTACATACTATACTATTAATACCTAGTCTCACTTGTTATACACACATTGTGTCTTAGATTCTGTGCTACAGCTGGCTACAAATCTATAGCTAGCTGCTCTTATCTCTCTTTATTTATCTCCTTAAAATATATTTGCAGCTGGTTTATAGCTTGCTATTCTACCTGCTCTCATCTCATCTCACACGCTCTTTCGTTTCTTTTATTTTCTTGCAATTATTATTTGGTTATTACTCCCTCTCATTTTTTTAATATATATGACACCATTAACTTTGTTAGTAACGTTAGATTATTTATTTTATTTAATTATTTTGCAAATACAAAAATATTTATACCATACTTAAAAAAATATTTGATGATAATTTAGGCCATAATAAAATAAATAATAATTATATATTTTGTAATAAGATGTATGATCAATCGCATATATTAAAAAAGAGTGATCAATTGATCGTTTATTGAATCTGTTTACTTCACCACCGCTTCTGGGCTAAACAAATGGTTTACCACCACAAGGACAGGTCTACGAGACCAAAATATCCTCGGCTTCTTTAAAGTTGAGCTATTTGTGATTTGTGTGCGCCGTGCCGACCACACACACTTTCTCTTGCCTTTTTGCCATCACCCGTTTTAGACAGTACTACTAGTAGTAAAAAGTCCAATATTTACCGTCCCACTAAGGCCGTGTTTAGTTTCAGGAAAATAAAATTAACGTATACGGATACACATTTAAAGTGTTAAATGTAGACTAATAATAAAATAAATTACATATTCTGACTATAAACTGCGAGATAAATCTTTTGAGTCTAATTAATCTATCATTAGCACATGTGGAGTACTGTAGCATTTATTGCTAATCATGGACTAATTAGGCTCAAAAGATTTATCTCACGATTTACAGTCGGACTGTGCAATTAGTTTTTCTTTTTATCTATACTTGATGCTCTTATACATACATGTGTCCAAATATTTGATATGACAGAAAAGTTAAAAGTTTGAAGAAAAAAGTTGAAATCTAAACACAGCCTAATAAACAAAATGATCAGTCAGCTTGTAGTACATGTCTTCCCTTTTTATATAACACACTAAAAAGAAAAAGGAGAAAATTAGTACGAACACAACACCGTTTGTGTATTGAAAGATTCAGCTGCCGCACCGCATCGGCGTCACATGCAGCTTGGATTGGCTGTCTCCTGATTGTCCCTTGAAACTAGAACCCTGATTTTTCTTTTATTTTTCTCTGGTGTAGAAGTACTCTAAATAATGATAATGAAGATTAAATCGACACATATTAAAAAAGAAAATCATTAGCATATAGTTAATTAATTTTTAATTATTATAAACTTAGCAAACGAGTATATTTGATATTTTAAAGTAAATTCTATATAAAAAGTATTCTCACAAAATATACTGTTTAGTAGTTCGGTAAACGTGATAATGAAAATCGAGATAAAGCCTAAATCTTAAGCTCCGTTTAGTTCCCCAAATTTTTTTTCCTAAAAACAGCACATCAAATCTTTAGACACATGCATGGAGCATTAAATATAGATTAAAAGAAAAACTAATGGCACGGTTAGGGGATCTTTTGAGCCTAATTAGTCCATGATTAGCCATAAGTGCTACAGTACCCACATGTGCTAATGACGGATTAATTAGGCTCAAAAGATTCGTCTCGCGGTTTCCAGGCGAGTTATGAAATTATTTTTTCATTCGTGTCCAAAAATGTGACACCAAAAATTTTCATTTCGCAAACTAAACATGCCCTTAATAAATAAAAAAAAAGACAAAACCTAAGTTGATGCGACTCTCAAGAACTAATCGACATCATTTATTATAAAATACTCCATCTGTCCCATAATATAAGGGATTTTAAGTTTTTACTTGCAACATTTGATCACTCGTCTTATTCAATTTTTTTTTGAAATTATTATTTATTTTATTTTTGACTTACTTTATTATCTACCGTACTTTAAACACAACTTTTTATTTTTTATATTTATAAAAAATATTTAAATAAGACGAGTGGTCAAACGTTTCAATCAAAAACTTAAAATTCTTTACGGAGAGAGAGTACAAGAAAAGAAATAAAAAGAATTAATAGTGTTTTGTTTGCTGGTATCGAGGCGCCTCGGATCTGACGCCCCACATGGCAGCCTGCCCCCGGATCTTGCTTGCCCTCCCACGCCCTGACACGCACCACGCACCGACCGCCTCCCCCCCGGCCCCACCGCCAACGCAGATATTTCCTCCCGCCAAATTACCAAACTACCCCTCTCATCTAGCAACCGTCGGATCGGTGCTGGACGGCGCAGATCTATCTGACTCTCCCTGGGAGCGGTGGTGTTTGGTGGTGGGCCTCTCGTTCGCGTGGGCTTCAGGCCCATGTGAATTATTATTATCATCATCAATCCATTGATTTTCTTCTCTTTTTTTTTGGTTGGGGATGACTTTTCTGCTCGCTTAAGCAAGCGATCCACACCACCGCGCCACGTGAAACAGAAAAGGCTACAGCACCGCTTGCTGCTATTGCTTCGGCTTTGCGGGTGCGACGAAATGCACCAACTAACCCTCACCTAACATAACGTTCAGCTATCATTAAGTCACTAGTTAATTATAGGAGTACTCAACTTCTAGTTATGGTACGACTAATACTAGTGATTGATTAATTAGGGACAAGTACGTCTGGCCTGCCATGCGTGTGGGCCTCGAAGCCCATCTTGAAGGGAGCGTGGGCTTCACAGATTGGGCTTATAGATTAAATTAGGCTGTGTTCGTTGGAGTGAGTTAGCACATAATTAATTAAGTATTAGCAATTTTTTTAAAAAAAATAATATGATTATTTAAATCAAGTTTTATATAGAATCTTTTTTAAAAAACACACCGTTTGACAGCGGCATCAGCGACGGCGGCCGACTTGCAGCGGCCGTGACTGAGGAGACGGTGGCGACGTCGAAGGATGCGGCAGTGGAGGCGGGGAAGGAGTTGGGTGTGAGGTGACGGCGACGACGGTGAGGTGGTGACCGTGACGGTGGTGGGAGGAGGCATGGCAGCCTCGGACGGCTTGCCGAGGGCGTGGCAGACGGCTGCATCGACCGGCGCAGCATCGTTTGGAGGAGGGGTCGGAGACCGGCTGGACGCAGAGTGGCGTAGCCAATGGCAGCGGAGGCCGGCTCGGCGCGAGAGGCGCGGGCGGCGGAGATGGAGGCCGGCTTGGCGCGAGAGGCGCAGCCGATGGAGGGAGGCCGGATTGGCGTGAGAGGCACGTCTGGTGGAGGAGGCCGGCTTGGCGCGAGAGGCGCGACCGGCGGTGGAAGAGGCGACCTCGGTGCGTGGTGGAGCTGCCGGTGGGTGTGGCGCGGTCTTCGGCACACGAAGGCTGGCCGGCGGGGGCGTCGGTGCAAGGGCCCCACATGTTGGCAGAGTTTGAGTGGTGGTGGAGCATCGGTGCATCAGCCATAGATTCGCAGGTGGTGAGCGGCGGGTGAAAACCCAGCCCGGCCTTGGCCGGACCGACAACGATGAATTCCCCCTCCTAAGGGCGTTGTCGTGCTGTCTCACCCCTCAAGGGTGATTGCCGGGCGAAAGCCCAGTCTTGGCTCCTTTGAGCCCTGATGGACGGCGGCGGCGGTCTTCCGTCGCTTCTCTTCTTGAAGACGTCGTTTCGGCACCCCGTTGCTGTAGGGCGATTTCATCTGTGTTCCTTTGTTGGTCTAGCGGCGGCCGGTCCGGTGCTAACCTTCTCCTGGTCGTGTGTGTTGGTGCTGCCGGTGTGTGGGTGGTGGTATATTTTTTTCTTTCTCTTGGTTATGACCCTCCAGGGTTATAATCTTGTAATTTTTTCCTGCTCTATTAATAGAACTTCGCATCGTCTCGTGCGAGTCGTTCAAAAAAAACTTTGTTCGTATGTTTGGGCATAGTCAGCCTTGTGAGCTATGTTGTACATGTAATAGCAGAAGAAATATATAAAATACAAATAGGACTGAAAAATTAACCGTACCTAAAACTCGAGACATAGAAGATTTCTCCATTCATCTGTACAAAGCTTGTTTCAGATAATCAGATGCAAGCTATCACCCTGTCGTCCATAGTTAACAAAAAGGAAAGAAATGTTCAGTGGCACTGGCTACAAGCGCCTAGAGTAACCAGAACCTGAACACTTCTTGCATAGTATTAACCCTGCATGAAAAACGCAGTCAGAGAGGACAGAAGGCATGCACATTTCATACATAACTTCGTATACGGTTTGCAAATTTGTATCAGTCCTAAGCTAGGATATGCAGGGCAAAATAATTAATCCTCAAACTTGTAGATTTTTAGAATAAAGAGGATGCGGCTATGCATTCATAAACCAAGGATCATGAAATGAAGAAGATAACCTGCTCCTTTGCATACACGGCACTCGACTACTCCATTTTCAACCTTCATCTTGCCGTCGTTGCAAAAGACACACTTTGTGCCTCCTAAGGTACCAAAATTGAAGAACCATCAGCAAACTATGCATGCACAAGACGCTTCTGAATTGTGCAAAATACTTGGTGTATGTGATGACTGATGAATGAACATTCATGTCAATAAGTGAAGCATGCATGCTCATATATTGACTAATTTCTTTAATTATAACGAACTTCGAATGGCATTCCCACAAGTTCAGACCCAGTATTCATGTTCTTGCCATATTGTGACAGTTTCAGAAAATTATCATGAGAAGATCAGAACAAAGACGATGAAAATAACAAGGAGAATTTGTAAATGAGATATACCATTCCCGGCGCACCTTTCGCACGGCACCGGATCACCCTGAAACAAACAAACAAACACGAAAAGAAAAAGAAAAATTGCAGCAAAGCACATGGTTTGGCTAACGATATAGTATATATATAGAGAGAGAGAAAATTCAGAGCAGACAGCGCGAGCGAGCGGGCGACAACCTTGAGGCCGAGGACGAGGGAGAGGGAGACGGCGGAGACGACGGCGGCGGAGATGAGGAGCGTCTGCGTGTCGAAGGGCCTCATCAGCACGTCGCCGCCGTAACCGTAGGCGGCGGCCGCGGCGACGGAGCGAGGGCGGGGAGGAGACGACGGGGCGGGAGACGCCAGTGGGGCGCTGGGCTGGGGCCGCCGCCTGGAGGGGAAGGAGGAGGAGAGTAGGGAGGAGTAGGAGGCGGCGGCGGCAGGGCAGAGGAGGGACGCCATGGGAGTGGAGTGGCTGCGGCTGAGCGAGCGAGAAGAGTGATCGATCGGGGGAGACGACGGGATAGCGTTATCGATTTGGGTTTTTTTTTTCGCAGAAAGGCTCTCGTTTCCAGGAAATTACTGCACAGTACTACTCCGGGTGAGCTGATTCCATCCAAATTTTGACATTTTAACTCTTTGCAAAAACTAATTATACGAATGAACCGTGGTCAAAAACTTATTTAAAAATAACCTTTTTATTCAGCGCCAAATCGCATGGCGCTGAATTTAAACATCTCAGTGCCACGTCAACTGGCGTTTGTCGGTGATATGGACCCAGGGGTATCACGTCTAGAGGGAGGAGGCCGCCCTCAAACCCACGTGGCTCTCCCCGAGGGGGGGGGGGTCGAGCCCGGGGTGTTGCGACGGCTGCCCCCTCCCAGCTTGGGGTCGGGCCGCCCCCAAACCCACGTGGCTCCCCCCGAGGGGGGTCGAGCCCGGGGTGGCGCGGCGGCTACCCCCTCCCAGCTAGAGGGAGGAGGCCGCCCTCAAACCCACGTGGTTCCCCCCGAGGGGGGTCGAGCCCGGGGTGGCGCGGCGGCTGCCCCTCCAAGCTAGAGGGAGGAGGCCGCCCTCGCTTGGGGTCGAGCTGCCCCGACCCCCACCACGTATCAGCCCACGTGTACAGGGTTAGATGGGCGCGCCTAACGCCCACCTAACTGCATTTAAAGCGGTCTATGCAACCGCGCCATGCCGCATTTAATGCGGCGTGCTGCGCATCTGACCGGTCTGTGACCGGTTGAATGACCGATGGGACGGCGACTGTGTACCCCCGCCCTGTCAGTGTGTCAGGCGGCAAGCGGCGTGCTCCGTCCCGTCCCATCATTATGATGAGGGGCTTCACAGCCTCTTACCTCGGTCAGAGCTGGTCCAACCACTCTGAACTGACCCGGGTTCCTATTTTCTGGTGTGAACGAGAACCCGGAAGTACTCATCCATTAAATGGCGAATGACAAAGGCGTCCTGCATGATTTGATGGGCCCCGCGCAGCAACCGACGTGCAGATAGCTTCTGGGCTAAGGCACAAGATATGTAATTAATATAGAGAATATTTTCCCTTCTCCCTAGGTAGCACTCGCAGCACATGTGGTATCCCCTTAGAGTATAAAAGGAGGACCATGCCTAGCGAGGAAGGGGGATCGGACTGAGGATCCCTGAGCCAAAGCTTGTCTAACCCTAGCTTGCATACCAGGGATACAGGGACTTTCTAAGCACAGAAGAATCATACACACAGGAGTAGGGTATTATGCTTCATAGCGGCCCGAACCTGTATAAACTTCTTTTGTCTCATCGTCTTGGAGGGGCCTCCGAGATCAAGATCACACACAGTTTCGCTCACCAAATCCTCGAATCTCACCCGCTGCCCCCGGCCGAACTCACAAAGGGGGGCCTCACGGTTCCCTGGTGAAGGAGTTCATTCTCCGACAGCGTTGAATGCCGTGCCACCGCGGATGGGAGTCTGAGTCGGCGTGCCAGTGTGCATTCAGCGCCACGCTATTTGGCGCTGAGGTGTCTAAATCCAGCGCCATGCTATTTGACGCTGAACAAAAGGGTCATTTTTTAAATAAGTTTTGGCCACGATTCATTTGTATATTTAGTTTTTGCAAAATGGTCAAATTGTCAAAATTTGTGCTGATTCCACCACAAGAAACTGTCATGTTCACGGGAGGTTCTAGCAGTTGAAGATTCTCCTAAAATTACAGTTGCTAGAAGCTATCTTAAAAAGTTTAAATTTTCACTTGTAGTTGTAAAATCAAGAAAATGAACCAGAAGTCAGAAGTTGGGTTTTCCAGCTCCTTAAGATTCTCACCAGCTAGTTTCTCCCCACTTGCTTCTCAAAATTTTAAACTACTCCAAACAAAGCACTAATCAGTTAATTTACACTCACTTTATATTGTCAATGTTGATGATATCATCATAATCTCATTATAAAAGTAATTAAATTAGTTATCATTTCTCTGGATATTTAGACTTAATTCAGGGTGGACTGGTTATACCATAAAGAACTTATCCGGTTGAGCAACGCTCGGTTTTGTATTATCGGTATTGATACTATGATATCGTCGTAATCTCATTACAAAGTATTTGAATTAGTTGTCATTTCTTTGAATTACTATGTTAAATCAACAATGTAAACATGATTGTGGCTTGTTTTTCGTTGTGAGACATTCTTTTCCGAGGATTTATTCCGATAATTATTTTTTAAAAAATTATTTCTCAGTGTTTCAGTAGTACTGGTTATCGTTTTCGGCTTTACTGCTCCGGTTTCATTTCTAAGGGGAAAATTGTGGATAGTTTGAGCATTTTTCAAAGGGAAAAGTCCATTTTACACCCTCGAACTCTTATGCTTGTCTAAAATACACCCCCGAACTACAAAACCGGGTATAATACACTCTCATACTGTCAATACCGAACAATTAACCCTCCCCGGGCTGTTTTTACCGTGGTTTTTGCCACGTCAGCACACAAGGTAATATGGGCCAATCCCATACTCTGCTCATTCTTCTCTCCCTCCCTGTTCGTTCTTCTCTTCCTCACGACCGCTGGCGGCGGCGCAGAGCTGCTGCGAGGGCGGCAGTGCTGCGAAGGTTGAAAATGAAAACATTTTATGTTTTTGTAAATGGAACCTGGTAGATTGAAAAAAAAGAGAGTTGAAAAGAATGCATCACTTTGAGCATTTGATGTATATACTTTGTTCCTCGAAATTTGCACAGAGGAATCGGCCACTAAACTATCCTGCTTAGCCGCAAGAAGATCGGCCCTCTTACGGCAAAGCACACACATGCAAACAACCATCATCAATCGTCTCAAACACAATCAATCTTCCAAAGCACGATAAAAAATTCCTGTCCTTCCACAGATCAACAACGGGCACCGCCTTTCCTCTCAGATTGAACAACTCCACCCCCTGCAGAGATTTCGCGAGCTCTTTCACCGGCGCCGCAGCTGCCTCCCCGGTCGTCCCTGCAAATATCATCACACATATTAGCGGTTCAGCACCATGCACGCAAGGGGAAGGAGGAGCGGGGCCTGGAGGCTTACCGACGGCCTCGGGCTTTGCGGCTGCTACTGGCGCAACAGAGAAGCGGAGGCGGCGCGGGTGGAGGAGGGAGCCGCACTGGCCCCTCGCGCGGAGGAGACTCAACGGCGCAGCCGGTCACGAGCTGGTGGCAGCCACGTGCAGAACGGGGAGCCGCCGCCGCCGCTCCGCCCTCGCAGCAGCTCCGCGCCGCCGCCGCAGCCGTCGTCGCCGCCGCCACCAGCGGTCGTGAGGAAGAGAAGAACGAACAAGGGAGGGAGAGAAGAACGAATAGAGTATGGGCTTGGCCCATATTACCTTGTGTGCTGACGTGGCATCCGACGTGGCAAAAACCACGGTAAAAACTTTTTACAGCTCGGGAGGTTAAGTGTCCGGTATTGACAGTTCAAGGGTGTAATATACCCGGTTTTGTAGTTTGGGGGAGTATTTTAGACAAGCATAAGAATTCAAGGGTGTAAAATGGACTTTTCCCTTTTTCAAAACGTTTCCATCCCTACCCGTATGTCAACCGAAAATAAAAGAGTGGAGATGTACGATGGACTGTATGCTAGAAAATTTGATAATTCCTCTAAAAGAAATTAGCTTGCAAATAGTGGTTAGGAGTATTTATGCCCTCTTTGGCACAACCCTGGATCTAATATTTCTTAGAGCTAGATATTCCTAGCTCCACAAATACGTGGATCTATATCTATGATTATGTTGATAATATTTACATTTCATATGAAATTTAAAATTTTAAACCACTATGATTTTAACATACAAACTACGAATCAATCCATGTCAAACATGGCCTCCCAAACTCCTAACTTTCCATCACATCACATCACATCCAAAACTTTCCTACTCATGTAAACTTCTAATTTTTTTTTCAAACTACCAACTTTCTCTAAACTTCTCCCCAATTTAAAAAACTAAACACAGCCTTAGTTTGTGAAAATCGTAAACGTGATGTGCATAGGCCGTCATGCTGTAACTTGTTTGCGTAACCTCCCAAATTACTGGTGAGAATCAGGTAGTTCCCGCTGCCGAGCGGTGGTCAAATCCAATCCTGATAAACTCGTCAAGTTAATCTCCTCCAAACAGCGACCTAACTTGCTAACATTGCCAGCTTAAATTATATCATGACACAGTTGTTGTGGTGCGCTAATTATACTCGTTTTCAGCTAAATATCAGAGATCATCATTGGGAAATTAATGGCCGCAGGCAAGGTTGGCATAGCTGCGGCGCTGTTGGTGATTGCGGCGACCATGCTGCCGGCGGCGGCGAGCGGCGACAGGGTTGTGGCGGCGCCGGCGTCGACGGGCGGCGCCGGCGGCGGCGAGGCGGACCAGTGCGTGAGCAGGTGCGTCGGCGAGATGCAGGCGTGCGAGGCCGAGGCGGCGTCCCGGTGCGCGGCCACGTTGTCGCGGCGCGGCGGCCCGTGCGGCGGCTGCGAAAACGAGTACCTCGGCTGCATCGACATCTGCTGAGCTAACCTACTAGTACTAATTAGTGTAATTTAATTACGATTAGTGAAATGCTGTTAGCAATTGATTATAGATTGCAAATTCAATTACAGGAGTAGAATTACTTTTGCCAGATCCAGATGTGTGCGATGTGAGCCTTGTGTCTATATCGATCGGAAACTGTGGCGCCATTTGCATGGCACCGACGGACGCCTAGTATAAGTTCAGTGCGTTGAGGTTGAAGAAGAAAATTGCGATGGATATAATATAGGTCCATCAAGAATAATTTTGGGCCCACCTCCAAATGTTGAATTTTTTTTTTGTACCTGACGGTTTGGGGGATGAGTCTCCTCTGACGTAAAGTCAGAGGGACTTTGTCACTGGCATGTGGGACCCACAAAGGTTGGGCCCACACGTCAGTGACCCACGTCCCTCTAACTTTACGTCAGAGTAGCGCGATCCGTTTTGGGGCTATGATGGATCGGTTTTGTTCAATTTCGCATGCACCCCCTTAATTTATTCAACGAATTCAACGAAAGGTCAAACATACTTCAGGCCTATCTTTTCACTTATACTTATGTTTATCAATCAAAATTTGAATTTTCAACCGTAAATTTAAAGCTGATTTTGAGGTTTTTTCATCAAAGTTTATTTTTCAGCTTTTGCTTTTAGATTGCTAAGAACATGTATATAAAAGTTTACAAATTACTTTTCGTTTGTAAATTTGCCGTTTCGCTTGTTATGATGGCTCCATTCAATTCTATGAATCAACACCGATCTGATATAAAATTCAGTTAATTTGTGTTCAGATCGAAGAATAGTGGTTAATTTAGGAAGCATAGGTCCATTCCGAATTAGCCTTGAGTTGGAATTGCAAGTCCGTCAAGGCTGTCTCTTGCTTCTCTCTCCTCGCTCTCCGGACTTCGCCATCGCTCACATCGGCCAAGGGGCACAACTTGTGAATCTTGTAGTTGTAGAGACGCACCCAGGTTCAGCTTCCAAGTACTGCATATATTGCTTCTGAATTTTCGTAGGTAGTCGGGTAACATGTACTAGCCACCTAGTCGGGCGTTGCGCGACTTTGGATACCCATTTTAAACCCCCTATATAAGAAAACTCTTATGCTGGAAATGTTATAATAGGTTGGTTTGTTTTGAATTTTGATCATTAAGTGTCATTGATGGATTACCTAAGTTGATAAGCATATGGCCTCAACTATATGTTCAAAATTTTATTACACAATTGATGTTGTAATGTACAATTCCACGTTCAACATAAACTCAAAACAATCCTATATCCCATCTATCTATTCACATGGGAAAACATATTTGTGCTGCTTGTAGCCAATATGCTGCTTCCTCCGTTTCATATTATAAGACTTTCTAGCATTGCCCACATTCATATATATGTCAATGAATCTAGACATATATATATATATATATCTATCTGTCTAGATTTTATATATGTCTATATTCATTGACATATATATATGAATGTGGGCAATGCTAGAAAGTCTTGTAATATGAGACGGGGGGAGTACTGTTTAAGTAAATATAACAATGACTATAAATCATCTTTTACTAATTCAGGAAAATAATAATAGGAAAATATTACTGTAACACTTATTCCTTTAGCCAGGAAGTTCTTCAAACCGCCTTATCATGACTTGTAGATTCAGACTATCCTGTACCAGTGTTATATCAAGTTCATATTATATTATACTACCTCCGTCCCAAAATAAGTGCAGTCGTGGATATCCGTGCCCAACGTTTGACCGTCCGTCTTATTTAAAAAATTTGTAAAAAAACTTGAAAATATTTAGTCACACATAAAGTACTATTCATGTTTTATCATCTAATAGCAAAAAAAATACTAATCATAAAAAAATTTCAAATAAGACGAATGGTCAAACGTTAAACGTGAATAGTGCAAAACTGCACTTATTTTGGGACGGAGGGAGTATATGCATAGCACAGAGCTCATCATCTTCCCTTTTGAAGGAGATAAAGCCGAAAGTAGTTAAGATTTAGAACATTAATATGTCACATATAATCTGAGATGAATTGGATTATACTTGACTTCTATTAGGACTGTCCTTAAGACACCCATCAAGGAAAAAAACATTTTTTATATAATGATTAAAAACCCATATTGTGAATGAAGCATTTAACTATACACATTCCAACTATTTAGAAAGGCGGAGTATTTATGCTCAGAAATTCTGAAGGTTGGCATGCAGGTCATGTAGTCATCAGATAGAATTCAGTGACAGGGGAAACAACCATTTTTAATCAGCATATTGCAGCCATGGTACCATCAGAGTATTTTGACTGATGTTTGAGATTACTGCTGATATGAAACCAAATGAACCTAGCTAAAAATTAACTGTTTTAATCTGAACAACTTCAAAATTTGTTGCAACTGCAATGACAAAATTACATGATATTTTATCTGAGCTTTCCTTGGTTATATTATGAGTATCATGAGACATCCAATAGATGTGGTTAAACATATGAACAATTTGAGCAAGCTAGCTGTGAGGAAATGTAAAAGAAAATGCAGAGACAATGATTTGGTACCGTAGCTAATGTTTGCCTGATTTCAGAATATATGTATGGATTGAAAAGCTACTGAATCAATTGCAAATAAAATCACATATCTGGTTATTTCGGAAGAGGATCTTTGACAACTCTCGTCATTGATGGAGACAAAGAATCAACGAACCAGCGTACCTCAGCTTCTAGCTTCTTGGGTCCAGTTATATCAAGGAATCAAGATCGTGGAATTCACTCAGCTTTTTGGCAATCAACAGGAACATCTCTAGTTTGCTATATGCCCTAGAGCTCACCGGCGAGGCGGTGCGTCTCCTCGGAGATGTGGTAGAAGCTGGCGCCCCATTTCATGGCGGCGAGCGGGCCGGGCGGCCTCCTGCCGCAGCGGGATTCGGTGGCTAGACCGATCTGTGGGTGGAGGACGGGGACGAGGTAGTGGAGACAGAGGCGGCATTGGTAGAGGGGAAGAGGAGGAGGAAGTGGTGGCAGGCAGAGGCGGATGAGGAACTTGCGCCAGCGACGTGGATATGGAGGGGGCGAGTGGGCGCGGTGGAGGAGGAGGGTGGAAGTGGAGGTGGAGGAGGCGACGGCAATGGGGAGGCGGCGATGGAAGCGAGGAGATGGGCAGGCGGCGGAGGCAGCGGTGGATTTTTTTTTCTTTTTCTTTTTCGGACCTTTTCACCTGCTCGGTGATTCTTCTTTTTTATACATCACGACGGCTTCTCCTATTCACGACGCCTCGGCTGGACCATGGACCGTTGGCCACTGGAGCATTCTACCATGGTCTAGATTTTTTTTTTCACTCAACTTTACTACTTCACATCTGATGGCTGGTGTTGAATTCATTGTGCATCCAACGGTCATTATTAAATTGATGACGTGGCGCAATGAGGTGACGAAACACTTTACTTTTTTTACTACTTTAGATCTGTCGGCAGGAGTCCCAGATCTGTATACTTTAGCTGGATTAGTTGGGTTTTGGATGGAGTAACTTTCTGCAGACTGCAACATTCTGAATCTAACTTTTTGAACGAACAAAATTCTGAATCTAACATATTCAGAGACTGACACACGTAGCAGCACAAAAGAGATGCGAACAAACTTGGACTGTTAACATGTCAACGCATAAAACTGAAAAAAAAAACCTGTCAAAATGCATAATAAATAAAACTGAAAAAAAATAAGAATAAATGTTGAGAGTGGGATTTGAACCCACGCCCTTTCGGACCAGAACCTTAATCTGGCGCCTTAGACCAACTCGGCCATCTCAACTTTTTGCTCTGTCATCCAAACAAAATTATAAGAAATCATATAATAATAACCAAGACTTGATGCCTCAGTAGTTTAGTTAAACTAATTTGAATTTGTTAGTACAGTTTGCATTTCAAATTGTTCCAATTTGGACGCCACGGCTGGTTTCAGTTGCTCACGACGCCTCACACACATATTTTGCTTCCTTGCTTGTGACACTAGGGCACAAAACTCCAACACTCAAACGACACTTCACGCATCTCTCCTGAAATCTTGCACCCCCCAACTCTGCATCCGTCGCGTATAAAATGCAGACCAAACCCCAGCTCAACTCTGCATCATCATCATCAGCTCGATAGAAAAAGAAAGAAATTAAAAAGAAAATCACGGCGCGTGAGCTTGCAGAGACAGCAATGGTGAGAGTTGGTGCCGCCGCGGCGGTGCTCGTGCTGGCGGCGGCGGCGGCGGCCATGGCCGCCGAGCCGCCCACCGATGACGGCGCGGTCCGGGTGGCGGCGGGGCTGACGAAGTGCGTGTCCGGGTGCGGTAGCAAGGTGACCTCCTGCTTGCTCGGCTGCTACGGCGGCGGCGGCGGCGCCGCCGCCGCCGCGACGGCGATGCCGTTCTGCGTCATCGGCTGCACCAGCGACGTCTTGTCCTGCGCCACCGGCTGCTCCACCTCGCTCTGATTAAGTACTAATGAAGTAATTAACCGCGCTAATTAATAATAAATCGCACCTACGTATGCCACATGTGGACTCGCTTGACTAATTAAATACTGCCATGCGAATGCGATTAGTGGATTATGAAAAGAGGAAATGTAAGAACTCATGGCTCTCTCTGTGCCATGCCTGTACTGCATTGAAATGAATCTGCATGCAGCCATGAACTGATATACAAATACGACCATGTTACCTGTAATCTCTCCATCATGTGGGGCTTTCATGCTTTAATAACGTGTGATATTGATATTATGTGATTAATTGTATGCATCGTTGGAGTTTCAACTAGTCTACTCTTGCCCTTTCCCTCTATTTTTAAATATATAATGTTGTTGGTTTTCGTATAACATTTGACCATTTCTCTTATTCAAAACTTATGCAAATATACACAAATATAAGTCACGATCAAAGTGTCTTTGATGATAAAAACAACAATCTATAATAAAAATAAATAGTACTTAGGTAGTTTTTCAGAATGAGATTAATAGGTAAACGCTATATACAAAATTCAACCATGTCATATACTCCCTCTGTTCCCTGAAAAAAAAAACTCTCTCTCTTTCATATTATAAGTAGATTTTGATTTTTTAGTTAAACTTTTTTAGTTTGACCAAGGTTATCAAAATATATTAAATGTTCGTTTTCATTAAACTAATCCGTTTTTTAAACGTTGTTGAATTTTTCTATAAACTTGGTCAAATTTTAACTAGTAAAAAGTCAAAGAGACTTATAATACGAAACGGAGGGAGTATGGTTGTATAATGGATGTTGTTCTTAAAAAAAGGAAATAAATAAATAAAGAAATGCGAATTAACAAAAAGAGACCGCCGGGGTCATCGTTTCGCTCGGCATATTTGTAAACGAAAAGTAATTTGTGAATAAAACTTTATATATGTGTTTTTAGCGATCTAAAAGCAAAAGCTGAAAAATAAACTTCCATGAAAACACCTCAAAATCTGCTCTAAATTTAAAGTTAAAAATTCAAATTTTGGCTGATAAGTATAAGCGAAAAGATAAGGCCACGCATGTCGTAGTTGACGTAGGCCCATCCTGAAGAAGCCCAGTACTCCTAGTTGGGCCTTACTGGGCCGGTTGGCGAGAGAGGCCGAGGAGAATGGGCCCTAATGGGTTTAACTCCAAGAAGCAATCGACGCGGCGCCGCCGCCGCCGCCGGAGGAGGAGCGGAGATGGGGAAGAAGGGGAAGGAGGCGGCGCGGGAGCGGCGGGAGCAGCGGCGGCGGGAGGTCACGCTCCTCCGCGCCGTGCCCTACGAGCCGCACCAGCGGTGGTGGGACGGCCTCGCTCCGCCGCCGCCGCCGCCGGGGCGCGCGGTGGCGGTGGTGACGGGGGCCAACCGCGGGATCGGCTACGAGGCCGCGCGCCAGCTCGCGACCCACGGCCTCCACGTCGTCCTCACCTCCCGCGACGCCGCGCGCGGAAGGGACGCCACGGAGCAGATCCGCGCGGCGGCGGGGAAGCCCGGGGTGAGCGTGGAGTGGCGGCAGCTCGACGTGACGGACGCCGCCTCGGTGGAGGGATTCGCGACCTGGGTGGAGCGCACCCATGGCGGCGTCCATGTCCTTGTAAGCGCAGGATTAACTGCTTTGCTTGCTCTCTACTAGGCATAATCTCAATTCGATTTACAATGTATGCATAATCTCAGGGCGGCCATTTTACACTCATCGGATTATTCGTTTGACTTTTGTGAATAGATAAGGAATTTAATTGAAAAAGGATTGGTGCTTAACTGCCTATGTTCCAATGAACTCTGAATATTTTTACAGTACAAATTGTTAGAGGATGTGCACTTTTTTTTCTGTTCTATATAGATTTAGGTTGAGAAAAGCCCAGGGGTCTTCCGGCTAGCTCCGCAAGGTGGTGGGCTAGACGACCTGGGTTCGAAGCCTCACCCCTTCTAATTATTTGATATTAGGTCATTCCCTAATATTCACGTCTTTTTTTATAGATTTAGGTTGTTCTGCCACACACAGGAGATATGCAATTGGTGCTTTTAGTGGTTGATGATAGTCTGAACTTCTGAAGATAATTTTATAACCCAACTACAGGTTAACAATGCAGGCGTAAACTTCAATAGAGGAGCAGATAACTCTGTTGAATTTGCTGAGCAAGTTATTGAGACAAATTACTTTGGCACAAAACGGATGATTGAAGCCATGATGCCACTAATGATAACTTCTCCTCATGGTGGTCGGATAGTGAATGTAAGCTCGAGGCTTGGTAGAGTCAATGGCAGACGCAATGTAAGTTCCCTCTACAGCTTCTTGTTGGTACATCTTGACCTTCTGGATATGTTCGAATTGCATATACCGCAATTTTTCTGCTTTAACGTCTTTGTTTCATTACATTGTCAGAGAATCGGTGATCCAAGCCTAAGAGAGCGACTATTAAATGATGATCACTTATCCGAGGAGTTGATTAATGAAATGGTCATGAAATTCCTCGAACAAACCAAGCAAGATAATTGGTCCTCCGGCAATGAGTGGCCTCAGATGTACACTGACTATTCGATCTCAAAGCTTGCTGTTAATGCTTATACAAGACTCTTGGCAAGGAGGCTGTTGGATAGGCCTGAGGGACAAAAGATCTACATTAACTGTTTCTGTCCTGGCTGGGTAAAGACTGCCATGACTGGTTGGGAAGGGAACATTTCAGCTGAAGAAGGTGCTGATACTGGAGTATGGCTCGCCCTAGTACCCCAGGAGCAAGCTACAATCGGGAAGTTCTTTGCTGAGAGACGTGAGATAAGTTTCTGAGGGGATCACTATTCAAACAGCAAAGTCAATTGCTCAAAAGAAATAAAAAAAGAATGTCAAAAGAGCCTTATGTTTATAAACTACTTCTACTTTGAGACGTGCTGACATGCTCTATTACAAGGCATTTCATATGCTCATTTACTGGAGGCAGTAAATTACCCATCTCTCAGAATTACTGTTCTGATGAAATTTACTTAATCAGGCCTATGCTAATCTATGAAGGCGAGTGATAACTGTTTAAAAGCAAACCAGATGTTGGCTGCAGGTTGTCAAGATCATTGACATACCACATTAATGGAAGGCCCATGATCTCTAATTTTCCTAATTTATGAGATCATACCAACTGTCTCTCGGTCATGAATGAAGTGGCTGAAAAAGTGGAATGTTCACCAGGACCACTGGGATGGCAATTGGGAAGCATGGCGAGCTGGCAGGTTCCTTGTTGTACCAAAAGGATGACCTGTATTGAACTGCACGTCCTATCAAAGATCTAGGCTGGATTTCTGGCAACTCCACTATCAAGCCGATAGTGTTGTGATTGCTTTGCAAATTCTTGGTCTTCACTATGCAGCATTGATGTACCAGTAAGTACCATTGCAGACTGAATGAATAGAAGTTTACAGCTGTGATTTTGGCGCATCAAGTAGAGTATAAATGGATTATTTGGACATTTTGGGAGAAGGTTGTAAGCATGTTGAAGATGCCAGAGTCAGTCCTCAATCGGTCAAATAATCTTATCCTCTACAGTTGGAGATGAACACTTGCCATATGGCTGCATAGCACATTCAATCTGTCAGGTCTGAAAATTCTGGAGAAAAGGCCATGAAACAAGACAGCATGATGTTGCCTAGCTGGTGTTAAATGCACCATGCCTCTGTGGGCGCCATCGGTTTCTAGAGAGGATGAGCCAAATTCGTCTTGTTTTGTAATTTCACTGCTCCCTTCACATGCGTTTGCCTCTGTCTTCCTGAACCATACTACATTGTTGCATTTGCATTTGCATCCTCTGATAGGAGCTGCAGTTGGACTTGTTCATGCATGGAGTAGCTTTGAGATTGTACGTTTTGGTTAGTTGATCGATGTAAGCTGGAGTTGGTGCTAGCTTCTGTTTGAGCTGTTCACATTTCTTCCTTTTCTGGCCCAGGATTAGTACATTTGCTGTATGGCTTTTCGCTAGGCCGTTTGGTACATAGATTAGGCTGTATCTAGCTTCTTGTTCCAGAAAAAGGATCAGTGTTTCACCATCAATCTCGATGCTGTGTCTCAGCAGTATTTTAAATGGTCCACGGCATGCAATGCTTAGTCAGCGAGATGTGTACATCAATTAGCAGAAAAATGCATAGCCAGGTAACTCTTTATAATCGACCTGGGCAAACCAGCGTACGTGCATATGCTAATTTCTGATACAGCTTTGTTATTTCTATATATAACGCATAATAATACTTATACAAATCATCGTACAAATAACAGTCTTGGTTATTATACACTACTTATAAAATTGTTTGGATGACAGGGCAACCAGTTGAGATGGCCGAGTTGGTCTAAGGCGCCAGATTAAGGTTCTGGTCCGAAAGGGCGTGGGTTCAAATCCCACTCTCAACATTTATTCTTTTTTTTTATTTCTTGCTTTCATAAGTCTATATTCGTTTATTATCTTCAGAATTTACTCAAAACATAGTGATCAATATTCTTGTTATATCGATCTTCATCTTAACACTATTCAAAATATCGATCGACCAGTAGTGATCATAATGATCGTTCTATAAAGTCCTATTATTGTCAGGGCAAAAATTTTAATTTGCCTCACGATTCCATTAGTTTCATATTCTTGGTACACTGACAGTATATAATACTCCCTCCGTTTTTAAATGTTTAACATCGTTGACTTTTTAGCACATGTTTGACCGTTCGTTTTATTTAAAAAAAATATGTGAAATATATAAAACTATATGTATACATGAAAGTATATTTAACAATGAATCAAATAATATGAAAAGAATTAATAATTACTTAATTTTTTAATAAGACAAATGGTCAAACATGTTTAAAAAAAAGTCAACGTTGTTAAATATTTAAAAACGGAGGGAGTATTTTTTTTACTAACTCAAACAGAAATTACAGGTTGATCTTCAATCTTTAGAATCGTATATAATATTTTCGATATGCTAAAAAATATATTCGATGAAATGATGGATGAGCTGTGCTCTCGGCTGTGTCCTGTGCTGCAGTGTGCTCACACTCCACACCTTTAATTGTTCTAGTGGGCCCAGCCATGAGTCTCAGTTCGTCCTTAACTAGAAGATTTTGGTTTTCAATTTAAGTACCTTGTCACCAAGGTGTAGAGAGCCTCTGCAATGGTTTGGCTAGAAGAAGAATACTACCTGTCTGTTAGAAAGTAGAATCAACGATGAACATAATAAGCCATCAATCAGCAGCAACCATCAGATTATTATAGGACATGATAAAAGTCATGCCTTTTTAGCTGTCATTGTTATGATCAAGTCATATCATATCTCCTTTTGCATGGATGCCAGGTATGACTGTCCTCACCGTCATTAACTAAAATTCAGTCTTCTGAATGTGGAGAGGACCTTTTGATTTACTTACTTCGTTCTAAAATATAACTCCTCCTTTCGTTTCAGAATAAGTTCACTTTTATATATAAATATAGACCTATTATATTCAGATTTTGAATTTATTTTGATACAGAGATAGTAGATTGCCCTTCATGAATTGTCCTAGTTGGTAAGAGGTGGGTGTGATTATTCAGATTCAAGGATTTTAGACATTTTATGATAGTAAACACCTTTGCTACTACTTTATAAAATAGCTATATTTTAGAATAAAATTTGAATACTATCAGTGGTGTAATTTAGAATGGAGGGAGTAGAAACGAGGATGACTGACAGCAGAATGCATGTTGGGGATAGAACGATAGACATGAGTGACGTACACTACTGAGACCTGCAAAATGTAGGCATGCAAGAAGTGCATGAATTGTTTCTCTCTCTATGCAAACGGCTCATCTCTCCAAAAACATTTAGTATTATTCTCTTCAAAAAGAAAAAAAAGAAATTGCAAACGGCTGACGTGTCACTAGCCTCCTCTGTGCTTGCTCACACCATGAGTCACTAGCAGCAGTAGTAGAGGATAGCTGTAAGCTACACTCACCAGCTGTGCTGCACTTGCACCACTGACCACTGCACGCTAACTCCAAGCTGCTGCTGCTGCTGTTCGATCGATGCAGAATTGCAGATAACTTCTCCCTGATGAGCCTAATCCAAGCATGAAGAAATCAAGAAATCCAAGTCCTGATCAATCCAAAGAAACGCCAGCAACAACAACTGACCAACCACCATAGAAGAGACCTCGAAGCTAGATGTGCACATTTGTTCATACTCCTACATGTCATTTTTTTTTTGCGGGGATACTCCTACATGTCATTGTTCAGAAGCAAAAAAGAAAGATGAAAGAATCAAACAAAAGGGCTTGTTTCTTTAAGAACAATCATGATAAAGAAAAGGGGAAAAAAACAAAGGTGAAAGAGAAATGGAGGAGATGCGGGTGTGTCATTCTGGTAAGAGAGCTGCCTTTTTCAGCAGGAACAACGTCACTGCACTGTCCTACTACTTGCTAATTAAGATATGCTATTTATTTCTCTCAAATAATTAGCATTGAAGATTAGTGGTAGTTCTTTGAAGAGCTATCAAATGATCTGAGGAGCTAGTGAGCTGTATGAATCATGCAATTAGGCAATTTGGTAACTGACTTTCTTTGTCATCTTACTTGAGGCATGGTCCATGCGAAAGCTAGCAGGCAGAAGCATGAGATAGTCCAACAGTGAGAGATACGGAATTAGAAACAAACAATTTTGCCAGCAGTAGATGCTACACTAGCAGCAGGAAAATGTGATCCCTGCATGTGAACACTGTCAAATCCATCAAAGATTTAGTAAATATGAATCTTTACTAGTAGCAGTAAACGGTGTAAGGGATGCATGGTGATTAGTTCTTCCAAACAAAGTTTTTAACTCTCTAATCTGGGATTAGAGTCAAGTAATCTGCTGATGTGACCAGAATACAGAAATGTTCAGAAGGGATAATAGTTCAGAGAGAGAGAGAGGTAGGTAGGTCTCTTTCTTTTATCTGATGATGAATCTGATGAGCAGCACCTGTCTGTCTGTCTGTCTTCCAGCTTGTTAAGCTCACATCATGTTGGGCTCTTTCCCAGCAATCATTGGCTCGGCTGCTTCTTTTCCATCTCAACCGCTTCTTTCTCCAAATTTCCTTCTTTTTTTTTTCAGATTGGTACAATAGAATAGTGTGAAAAGAGCAATTGGGAGAGAGAGAGAGATTCATAGGAGTAATATATATCTTGTCCAATAACAAATTTGATGATAAGAATGTAGGTGAAAAGAGTAGGCAAATACGGAGAGAAGAATCAAAGAAATTCGCTGCTGCATGCGTCGGCGCAGGTGTCGCCATCTCGACGAATTGTCGCCTTTGGCAAAATCAATCATTGGGAGATCCATCCATCCATACATCCAAGTCAGGTTCGTATATATCAATATATGCTAGTTCATCTCTCATGATACAGAATGCAAAGGCTTAACATAAAGCCGATTTCAGATTGTTTTTTACCTGCAACAGCATCAGCAATGCTCACATTTTTAAGCACATTTTTGCTTGACTCCTGATGCCTACAGCTCAACATTTTGTATATATATACACACACACACACTCTCTCTTGCTGGTGTTGGCTTTCCCCCTTTGCCTCCCTCTCTCTCCCCAACTCTCTCCTCCTCACTCTCGGACAATTGACAGTACAGAGGTAGACCCACCTGAAGAACAGGAGGAGGAGAGGAGGTCTCTTGCTGCTTTCTTGCCTCCTTCTTTCTCCTTCTTTGTTCATGGATTCTTGATAGCTTCTGCATGTCAAGAAATGTTTGTGCCTCAATTTGCCTGGTTCTTTCTTTTCTTGATTGATTAGATTTGATTTTGATTCCTTTCTTTGTAGTTCTCCTGAACCAAGTAGGTGTTGCTTCTGCTTCCTTTGATATGATTGGAGCAAGTGGTTGTGAAAGAGGAAGAGATTGAGGAGAGAGAGAGAGAGAGATTAAGAAGGCGAATTCAAGAACTGATAAGAACAAGTTGGTTGTCTGCATCATGGATTCTGCATTTGATGCTGCCGTTGTGCTTGGATGGAAATGACGCCAAAATACCCGTCCAATCTTCAGGTACGTGTTCTTGGGTCTGAACAGTCACAAATTTGTGGGAATTTTGTTAAAGTTTGCATCTTTGCATTTTCTGTTTTTTTTTCATGATCCGAGATTAGGTAGAATTGCTGTTTATTTTGGAGATCAAGTGTGAACGATTTGATGGTATCAGATTATCTGCATTCATGCATTGATCATGGCTATGGATCACCCTGCATATTCATTATTCTTTATGCTAACCATTTTCACAAATTGGGACTCCTTATCAGATTCCAACATCGTGTTTGCTATGATTTCATAACCAGAAATCCAATGCCACATTGTTGAATAAAAAAAAATGGTAGATTTTTATAACTTGCTTCTTACACATAATGAAGCCAACTCCTATGCCTACAGCTTGAAATGGCTCATGACCTAACTGTCCAAGAGAGACGTGCAGCTCATTCATACTAGTATTTCCTTAATTTAGTAGAAGAGGATCTCTATTTTTATACAATGCTGAAGCCAATAATTTGTTTTCGCATATAGTCATTTTGTCCCCCCCCCCCCCCAATTTAGTACAGACCTTTGAATTTGTGAGATTCCTTGTGCTTGTGTAGCATGAGAATTTAGTAGTGTAGAGATGGTTTCTTCAAACATATTTATGGCGCGGAAAATTTCAATTAAAGGGATTGGCATGAAAAAAAAAGCCAAAGGCAATTATTTTATTGCGCAATATTAACTCCGAATGTCCGACAAACCCGCGTTGTTCCATTTGATATCACAGTTGTCCTTCTTTGGGCTTATGTAGTAATGATGGCTTGGTTCATACTACTGATGTCAGCATTGTCTTGCACTTTCCTAATTTACAACTGCTGCTAAAAACCTACAAGAATTAAACATGTCTGATGAACCAAAGAATTGATGAAGTCAACCATATCAGCCATGCATAATTTTATCCCACCCTCCATTAGAACATTAAATAAATATGTCATGTGCTGACAATCAGTCCAGAATTTTGGGGTCAAACATATTATCATTGAAGTAAATCACTTGATCGATCCATCCATCCATACAATGTGCATTTTTTTTGTTAGTGTTCTAAGATTATTTAGTTTATTGTGTAAGGTTGCACTTTTGGTTCAGCAATGTCTGAATTATTGTTCTTATGATCTCAAAGAATGTACTTCTCTTTAGGTTATATGTCTACCATTACAAACTTCATCACTATCACTACAAACATTGACAGTCCATTCTGAAGAAGGGGATTTCATACTAGATGTCAGCAATTCTTGCAGCATCTCTAGCAGGTGCTGCAGGATTCTTGGCATTAGTAGGCGCCGCCATATTTCTTATAGTACTTTTCCTCCGGCACCGCAGAAGAGCTTCAGACTCTTCGGAAAGTAGTTCATCCAGTCCAGCTCAACCAGGTACCGCTTAAAATATCATCTCAAGAGGCTCTGAATTTCAATGATTCTGTTTCTAACTTGACAAACAGCATTCTATATATATACCAGAGCTGCAGGGAGCAAGATGTATGACTCTGGAGGAGCTAAGTTCAGCTACAAGGAACTTCAGCAATGTGAATCTTATTGGACATGGAATGTTTGGAGAGGTTTACAAGGGTTTACTCCAGGATGGCACAATTGTAGCCATTAAAAAGCGACATTCTCCTCCTAGCCATGAATTTATTCATGAGGTGCCAAAATTTTCTCCTTATCCACAGATTCTCTAAAGTAGCCATTGGTTCTAAATTGATATAGTGGTGTAAGCATGCAAGAGGAAAGAAATAAAACTGCTTTCCTTTTCCACTAAAAAAAGTCAAACCATTTTTTCTCCACATAATTCAAAATATTTTAGAAAAAAGAACTTGCAAGACAGTAACCATTTACTCATGAATTGTCCTTTTGTCTGAAGGTTAATTATCTATCGTCGATCCGTCATCGTAACCTTGTAAACCTTTTGGGGTACTGCCAGGAGAATGGAATGCAGATGCTTGTTTACGAGTATGTTCCCAATGGCAGCGTTTCTACGCATTTACATGGTGATTTTTCATTGTGTTTTCCTAACACTGTTACCGTGTTCAACAAGAGCATCATAGGTGCTAATATCATTTTTTTTTTGGTGTCCCACAGGTAGCAGCCATGCTCCAGGTGTAAAGCTAGAATTCAAGCAGAGACTTTCCATTGCTCATGGAGCTGCTAAAGGTCAGTCTCTTCATGTACACCAGCTCTAAACTTTCTTATCCTGGCGAAAATCATAATCAAGAAATTAACATCCATCCATGATGAAAGATAGTATTAGCTGCTCATTTTTGCAGCAGCATAATGATCTTCCTTTTATTCAGGCCTAAATCACCTGCATTCTCTGACACCTCCCACGGTCCATATGAACTTCAAAACGGCCAACGTCCTTGTGGATGAAGATCTCATACCCAAAGTTGCAGATGCCGGCATCCGTGCCCTGCTAGATCGATTAGGCGGTGTAGGCCCTTCATCGAGAACATCTTACGATCCTTTCCTTGATCCCAGGTAAGTCATAAGTTTTTCTTAGAAATTATGTTCAGTGGATAGTACAGAACTATCTGCTTTAGTGCTTTGTATGTGGTTCTTGCAAAAGTACCAATTTTTTATCAGCAACTGGTGATTGAGTAGAGTGAAACTTCTTTTTTTCATGACAGAATGAGGGAATCCATAAATTTTTCCATTCAAAGTGATGTATACAGTTTTGGTGTTTTCCTTGTGGAGTTGCTCAGTGGCAAGAGGGCTCTGTCTGATCAAAACATCATTCGATGGGTAAATTCCAACACTTCCAAAGTTTGCAGCTGACACACCCAATTCCTCATTTGTTAGAGGCTTTCCCTGTTCTTGTAATAATCTGTCGACCGTTGTAAAATCCGTACTAAATTTGCAGTTTTGCTGATACGCAGGTGCAGAACTTCCAACAATCAAGTGATATCTCTGCAATTGCAGATAACAGAATGGCCAGTGCCTATACCTCAGAAGGCATGAGAGAATTTCTGCGGTTGACATCGTGGTGCGTGAACCCGACGAGCGAGCATCGCCCATCGATGAACTTGGTGGAGGCGGAGATAAACCGAATTCGCGAGCAAGAGATGAGGATGACCACAATCATGCCAGAAAGCACACCAACTGTGACTCTAGGTAGTCAGCTCTTCACAACATCAGGTTGAAGAAGAACTAGCTAGTTTCCTCTCATCATCAGAGTTATAGACTAGCAATTCCCTTTCCATTTATTATTTCTCTCTCTCTTTTCTTTGGTCTTCATAGTGATTCAGCTGTAACTCAAGTGTACAAAAAAGGAACAGCTGTGAGGTTCCCTTTATTCCTTTTCCTGTACAAGAAAAGAATGATATTTCCTTTTCTTTTACATATTGATAATATTGGAGGCTGATGCCAAAGTTATTCCATTATACTACTATATATATCTATTGAATTAGTGATGTCATTCACAGGATTTTCTCCATTACATTGGGGGGAAAACAAAATACACATGACAGAATTTTCAGTCTCCTTTTGTACCTGGCTGAGAACTTCAGAGTTGAGACTGTCAGAGACATAGAAAGCAGGCCTTACAGTAGATGAGATGATCCATACACACATCATTTCATCTCAAAGTTCTTTATTTTGAAGAGACTCATCTTGCAGCTTTGCCACCCTGCTTTTCTTTGGAGTGGTTCTGATTTTCTGAACTGTTTCTGCAGCTGCATCTAACAAATGTGACCCCCCATTTCTGAATACCATATCTAAGACGATTTCACAATCTCATCTCTTCTGTCGACGGTGAAGTCCCAGAGCTCGCCGTACTTCTCGTTGAAGTCCCAGATGTCCATGGTGTTGTAGTCGGCGATGAGCTTGTCGCGAGCCGATCTCTCCATCATGTAGATCTCCGGCTCAAAGTTGTGTGGCTTGTCCGGTTTGTCCATCTCGATAACGCAGAACACGACGACGAACACTGCTGCGCCGATGTAGAGGTACTCCCCCTAGTGGCAGAAGTAGACACATATTCAGAGAGCTCAAGAGCCAAGACAGATTGTGAAATGTGATACATGTCAGTAGGCTGGAACTACTGCTCAATATGTTACCGGAACATTGAAGGCCATGCCAAGGATGATTGCAGGAGGAAACAACCAGGAGATCAGTGCTGCAAGAGATGGCCCATCAGTGCAAATTGAGCAAGCTTGTCTTAAGAGAAGAAAGATCTGATTTTTTTTCTCTGATTTATCTGAAAGAATCTGATTTTTCTCTGATTTATCCAAGTGAGAAAGGAATTTGGCTGTTACTACCTTGGAAGCCCTGAGGAGGTTCAGCTTCTTGGTACCACTCAGAGACATCCTCCCAAAAGCCCTTCTTATCTTCAGTGTCAAATGATTTTTTTTTCCACATCATATCACATAAGAATCAGAAATTAGCACACATGAGCATGATTACGCATTTTGATTCAAGGAATGGATAACTGGATAAGATAGCCCAGAAAAAGAACCTTGGGTTTCATTATATGTGTGGTGACCATCATACACTCCATACTCGAAGTCGTCCTGCAAAGCAGATTCTTTTCAGTGTCAAAACCATTTCTTCAGACAACACAGCACAGCAGCAGCAATCACTGAAGAAAGAATCAAAGAAACCATGGAAACTGCTTGGAATAGAGAAAAATAATGAAATTCTCAACACGGTGGCCGGCGACGGCGAGGAGGACAGACCGGGCTGACGCCGTTGGTGCGCCACTTATCAATGGGGTCCTCGTTCAGGTCGGGCTCGATCTCCGTCAGTGGCCCGGGCCCCGCCCTCGCCACCACCGCCCGGCCTCTGCTCCGGCAGCAGCAGCAGCCGCCATGCTCCGTCTTTAGCTGCCTCGCTGCTACTGCTGCTGCTGCTGCTGCTCCTGTTGCTGTTGCTGCATCGTCATGACGAAGGCGAGCTTTTGCAGTGGCAGACGGTGACGCAGAAATGGCGGACACCAAGCTGCTGCTGCTGCTCATCATCTCGCTCCAAACGCTGAGCTCTGCTGCTCGCTTCTTGCTTAGCTGGTAGCTGCTGCTGCACTTATACTTTGCTGCAAGGAGACAAAAACAAGAGGATAATGGGTATGGGGCATGTACCGTCCAGGATTTTTCGCTGCTTTTTTCCTCTTTTCTTTCTTTTTCTTCATGCCTGGAAAGAAATCTGCATCACCTCATTAGTCAGTCAGTAATCAGGTCAGATATGCATGATAATCTTGTGAATGAATAGAACTAGTATTTGTTAGTACTACATTATTGCATTCTGATGAATCTGAATTGTTAGCAACAGCAAGCACAGAGCCTTGTGTTTTACACATCAGGAGAGACAAGGAAAAGACAACTGCAACATGAGGACATGATTTGTAAATGAAAAGAGCAGAAAAAGAACCAGCAACCCAGTGTCACTGTGTCGGACGTCACTGATTCAGTGGCTGAGATACAGTGCACCATCAGCAGCGCTTTTTCACTGCTTCAGTATGCTTTTTATGCGTCATACTTGGCTCTTGTGCCTTGAGTTAGCAGGCTGCTGCATTTCTTGTAGGAGTATTCATTAACTGAACAAACAAGGCAGCAGTTCATGAACCTCTTTCCACATTTTTTTTTACTGAAATCTTTCCACATTTTGTTCCAAGAAGAAACTAAATTTCTTACAACATGCATTAAACATTGCATAATACAGCAGGTCCTACAACAGAACAACAATAGCATATCTGCTCAACTTCCATCGGAGAATTATTCCGCAGCCGTCCAGGACCTATTGCCCCCCTAAACTGCAAAGAAATCAGTGTCAGGACTTCTTGGAGTATTCCAGAAACAATATAATGTCCCATCCAAAAAACCAGAAACAATCTAATGATGGAAGCCTAGAGTCCACCAAAGGATTACCTGGTTCAAATAGAATTGGATAACTAGCTTTGTCTGGCCTTCATAACCAGCTCTTCTGTAGTAGCGCCAATGATCTCATTGGCACGCTTCAGAGATAGACAGCATATTCTTCCAATAGAATCCTGCAAGCATCACTGGCTTTATTATCCATGATTAAAATAGAGAAAATGCGAGTAACAACATAATGGTATTTCATTTAAAAATTCTTTTAGATTCTATACATTCTGAAATTTATCTAAGTTTTTTTTGGGGATATATATCTCACTATGATTTGGTACTGCTGTAACAAGCTGTAAGAACTCACTCTTGTAATGATGCCAAGCCTCTCTAACTTCTGAACAGCATCCATCACCTCAAAATTGCATTGCAAGCCAAACTCTTCTTGGATTAACTCTTCACATTGTAAGTCAAGATCCTAGCATTGAGTGCCAAGAATATTCAACTCAATTTTTATACTTGCACAACTTCAGAAACAAAACATGCTTGTTTCAAATACCAAAGCAATACCTCAATAGTCGCCTTTCCATTTTCCATCAAAATATAGTAGGAAATTATAATCTCCTTGACCTGGACATCAGAATTCAGAAACCACAAAGATGAAAATAATTGTGAGCACAAGTCTCTGATATGCTTATTCTGAATCAAGTACTACAATATGGAGACCTACTTCCTGCTGAATCACATCATCACAGAGATGGAGAAGTGTGCCTTTCCCACTATCTAGCTGTTTGTCATACATTGATTGAGTTATTAGGTTTTGATATGTTGCCATGTTCTGTTGAAACCTGAATCAAAGGTAGCTTATTTACCAAATTTGTCCAATACAACCAATACAGCAAATAAAGTATCATCATAAATAAGAAAATGCTGAAGGAATCAGGGAAGCAAAACTGCATTTTATGGAGGTATTCTAAAGTAATTCTGGCTGGATGAGTAAACAAAAATCCTCCCTGTCCCTGCTCTATTATATACACAATGCAGATTACCGACAAGATGACAAGACGAATACCCAATCAAAACAAATATATCAACCAAGGCACTCACGATAAATAGATCTTGGCACAATATCCAGCCAGGGCAGAAAGGACGGCAACTACAACCCAGAAATCAGCTTTAGGCATTTCGAGCGAACTGACAAGTGTAACCTGAGCAATGTGAAAAAAATAATCATCAGGTGATGAATCACAACCCAATCAAGTGCAACCAGTTCCAGTCCACTTACAAGTCCAATGACAACAGAAACAATAAACTGAACCCAGTCCATTGGTGTGAGGCTTGGATTTTTCTTCTCAGGCTGCAACAGTCATAATTTCTCTTCAGCATAAGTCCAATTGAAGAAAGCAATATGGATGTCACCACATTATTCTTTGGCATATTAAGCTTCTACACTTACCAAAACCAGCTCCATATCTGCCATTGGAATATTTTTGAAGTGCTTTACATGAATTGATCTATCATTCTGGCCCTTAGGGCTTTTCCTCCTGAAAGAACAGTCAGAAATCAGTTATAACACAGTAGTTCAAGACATCATGAAAGCAGCCAATTCACAACCAGGGCGCACCCGAAAAAGGTTTCCTGCATCCTCAGATGCAAATAATTTACGGGACTTACCTGTACAAGACAATCACCTCTTCAAATGTAGGCTCTTGAATTGTAACCTTGCCAATTAAGTTGCGCAAGCTACAGAACAAGGAAGGAAATATCAAATATGAGTGGAGAAGACAAGCAATAGCAAGTTTTCAGGAACTGTGATGGCCTAAAAGGTCAAGAATAGCACAAACCTCAAATTCATTGTTTCAAGTCGTATGCGTTCAACATATAGCTCCTTGTCCTCTTCTTCACCAACTAGATCATCATTCTTCTTGGAATCTGTCTTTGGCCTAACACTTTTCTTTCTTGAGAAGAGCTTTTGCAGTCTAAAATTTCATTGTGAAAATAGTTAATCTTTTGGACGATCAAGATAAAATGGACATGAAAATACATATGTAGTGGATAGCGCACCTTGTTTTCTCCAAGAACCATCGCCACGCACGAGCTATGATCATGTCCACTTTCTCCATAAAGAAAAAGTTGCTAGTGCGATCCAGTCCAATGCCCCTCCGGAATATGACATACTGGCATATAAAAGATTATATTAGGTGTGCATATGGTTCAGGAACAATATTTGAGGATGACTTGGCCACAGCACACGGTCATTAGGAGGGCAAGCATCCAGTTCTGCTACACTAACAACACATGAAAAAAAGGAATACACTGGCTAACCATCAATTACACCACTTCAAAACCATCTTTCTCATCTTCTATAAACAAATATTCTGATAGATAACACTGAAGAGATGTAAAAGACAGAACATAATGTTAGCTACTCACCTTATCTGAGAACTCCGGTAGGTTGTCGTGATGGTGCTCTTTAAAATACTTTGACAAAAGTTTGTTATCTAACTGCACCAGTAAAAAACAAATTTTACAATAATATTGTCAAATCCAATGATTTTTAGATTAGGACACAGCCTGGAGGGAGAGGATGTTAACCTTTGCTTCATCAACTTTGATGGGAAGATTCAGCAGATATTGTCCAGAATGAGCAAGCTCAACCTCATCATCTGATAATATGTTGAAATTGCTTTTTTGCATCACCTGCACCAAGATTTCATACAATTTATTGTGTAATATTGTGGATATATCTGGGTCCCTTGTAATACTTATTAAGAAATATCCTGATCATTCATGTGTAGTTGAGACATATAATAGTTCCATCTCCCAAACAGTTTGTTTACCTGAAAGAAATAGGTCAGGAAGTTCTGCTCGAGTGTATCGACTTCCTCAGTCGAGAAATTCTGCTGTTGCAGTTTTTGGGCACCATGAACAGGGTCAAAAAGAGCAAATAGTTCCTGTGGAAATTATAGCAGTTCTGACAGATCAGATCACATTGTGAAACACTGCCAGAAATCAGCAGATCTTAATGATGGTCATAAGCTCCATCAAGTCCATAAAAGAAAATGTATGGAGAACAGGACTTCAGTAACGAATGCAAGCTCTCACCATCATATCATCAAACTGGAGATGATACCAGGCCCTAATGGTGTACTCAATCCTCTTGCAGAGCTTCAAGAATTCTTCTCTGTCAGATTGTTGTTCTTCAAGAAACAGGTAAACAGTTTTTAAATTTCAGTAAGTAGTAGCACAGTCTCCTCATATATCCAGAAAGACTAATTTTGCTTCAAAATGTAGAAACTAAGAAAGCTGGAACACTTGGCATGATATGCTCAACGCCACATTACTAATACTGCACTATTATTGTGGGCATTAGGTAAAGCCTAAGACTGAATTGCAATGCCAACGATTCAGATGATTTCTCTAACCACATTCCATTTTTACACGTAAACAGTGAATCAATCAACCAACGCAAGATCCCTTCTTTCCTTCAGATTAAGAAGGGGCAAGATTCTCACGAGACAGCTTCGTGATAGCAATCGGATCATACTAAAAACAGAACATGTCTTCGAAGAAGTAGGGGGAGAGAGAGGTAGGTCGCATTACCGATGAGGTAGGCGAGCTTCATGATGAGCTTGGGCTTCATGATGGGGATCACCGATTCGCGCTCCAGCCGCACCACCTCCTTCTTCTCCTTCCTCCCCGCCTCCGCCTCCGCCATTGCCCCAGTATCAAGCTAATGCCACAGCCGCCGCCGCAATCTCTCGTGTCCTCCTCGATCCGTTGCTGCGGAAGAAGAAGAAACGCGGAGATTTGGAGAGGAGGAGAAACGCAGATCGGAATTTTGAGCGGTGCAAATCGCGATTAATTATCGCGAGATGGAGAGGAATGGAGCGCATTGCGGTTACAGATAGATCCACGCGCCGTCGTCGTCGTCTTCCTCCCAGCCCAGACGGCGCCCGGCACGAGGGAAGCGAGGGACCCAAATACGCCTTCCGAGTTACAAGGCGTAATATTGCTTGAAGCGTATTCAATCTCCTCTGTGGATGAAGAGAAATCTCCAGCCGTGCAGACGTGGTTGGGCGATCACTGAACTGAACATTCTGCACCCAAGCAAAAGAAAAGGGGGAAAGAAATTCAGAGAACGCAATTTGATGCCAACCCAATGCTTGATTTTATTGCTATTAAGAAATAGATTTAACCTCGATTTTCATTGACACGTTTTTTAAAATGTTAAATTGTGGGTTTCGTGTAAAGGCTTCCTATATAGAAGTTAATTTAAAATATCAAATAAATTTAGTTTTTAATTTTAAAATAATTTAAACTCAATTAATCATGCGTTAAGGGTTTTCTCGTTTTGTGTACTCGTACTTAATCTTCATCTTCAAAGTTTCAAACGGGATCTCGGTACAACCAAATTTACTTAATTTAGTGGTGATTTTATTTTTTTTTTATTATCATAGTTTATTTCCTAGCATGCATAGGGTGGGTTCGGCTGGTATTTTTTTTAGTTGCAGCTGCAGCTACAGTAGTTAAGAATTGCTACAGCTTGTAGCAAATTTCTAATGTAGCAGCCGCAGCAGCTGCAGCTTGTATGGCTGCCGAACAAAGCCATAGTCGTTAAGAATGCATACATATAAAAGTTTTATTCATAAGTTATTTTTTTTTCTAATAAACGTTACTTATAATTAGCTACAGAAGAAACTATGGGGCTATAGGCTGCATGTACCAAACTCTCTCCACTCAACATGCAATTTGTGTTTGGCCAAGTATGACCAAGCGAGAATTTTGCCACTTAGCCAGCCAGAGCTGACTCATTGGTCCCTCTAAGCACTCTAAAATATAGTGGCACAAACAAGAAATTCCAGTCATGTTTGCACTGGATTTATCAATGGTTTAATTGAGTACTCCCTCAGTCAAAAAAAGGCAAACCCTGGGTTTCCGTGTCCAACTTTGACTGTCCGTCTTATATGAATTTTTTTTATAATTCGCATTTTCATTGTTGTTAGATAATAAAACATAATTAATATTTTAGGTGTGACTTGTCTTTTTAATTTTTTTCGTAATTTTTTTAAATAAGACGGACGGTCAAATGTTGAGCACGGAGACCAGGGTTTGTTTTTTTTTTTACGGAGGGAGTAGTTTTGTGGATAGATTTCTTGACTTGAGTAGTGCATTCCTGGTCCATCCAATCCCCACCCTGACCAAGTCACTTAAAAAACACTAGCAAAGGTCACAGATTTTGACTGAAAAAAAAGGCCACTTGAGCTGAAGCCGCTTTCTCCTTCAGCGACCTAGATGACATCACTAATTCTAAACTTTAATCTCTATTTTAATCGAACATAACTACCTGTACTGTACACATACCAAATCGCTGAATTACTCTGACATCTCCATCAAACTAAACCACGAGAAAATCGTAAAAATCTTTCCTGACAAGAATAGGTCCCCATCGTCTAGCTTATTCTTGACTTATTAATAAATCAAATGGCATATTTGTAAATAAAAATAATTTATGAATAAAACTTTTATATACGTGTTATTAGCGAGAAAAGCAAATGCTGAAAAATAAATTTGATGGAAAAAACATCAAAATCAATACCAAATTTAAAGTTAAAAATTTAAATTTTAACTTAATAAGTACGCGATGAGCAAAAATATAGGCTTTCCTACTAACACCATCAAAAGATTTATTTTTTCATTACTGCAAAAACCAACGAATTATCTGTTGCCTAAGACTGTGACTCACTAGCTTGACACGAAGAAAATTCGAGGAAAAGAACACATTGAGCGATGCGATGCGATGTGATGGCGATGGCGTCATCCGAGCGCCGGTGACCGGCGACGGGGACTCCTCCTCCGCCGCCGCCGCCGCCATCATCGTCGTCGTCGTTGCCGTCGATAATCCTGACCCAGATCCGGCTAATTATATTATTACCCGATTCCAATCAGCTGCTAATCGAGTGGTAATCTCCATCACATCACATCACAGCCTCGTTCGTTCGTCGCTGACGGCACATTATTATATCCTAGTATTATATTATTAATTAATCGCCGTCACCTCGTCGCCATTGACGACCTCTTCCTCTTCTTCCTCCTCCTCCTCTTCCACTCCCCCACCTCACCTCGCCGCTCGCCGTGGCGGCGGCTATAAATACCACTCCACCTGCTGCCGTCGCCGCCGCCATCGCCTCCCATCCTCCCGCCGCCGCCGCCTGCATCGACGACGATGGTGAGGCTGCCCTACGTGACCGCGCTGACCACGCTCTTCAGCTACGGCCTCCTCTTCGCCTTCGGCCAGCTCCGCGACTTCTTCCGCAGGATCCTCGACGCTGGCAAATCCAGCAATCTCAAGGTTTTTTGATTCTCTCTCTCTCGTTTTCTCTTTTTTTTTCTGATTTTTTTTTTTGGTTATCTCTCGCTCACTCACGCTGTCCTCCTTGGTGAATTCGTTAGGGCTACGCGCCGATTTGCCTTGGGCTGGAGGATTTCTACACGCGCCGCCTCTATCTCCGCATCCAGGTGAGGTTGCCCTTCCCACCCCCCATTGCCACGATCTCCAGAGCAGCAGAGTTGACTCATGAAAAGTCGAATTTATTTTCCTCCTTTAATTTGGTTGGAAGTGTCACGCGATCGTGTAATGTTGGGTTTGTAAAGGTGGAAAGGCATAAAAGCTAATTTAGTTATTAGTGATTTGTTCCTTTGCAATTTGGTGGAGTATGAGAATAAACAATAGAGTGGCAATTCGCTTTAGCGTCCTCCTATGTACTACTAGATCACATGATGGAGCTTTCCATGTGAAAGATGTATCATCTGAAGCACTTTGATCCCATGAACTAGCTGTTGCAGTGGAATTCACAATCTTTCTCACTTAAAGTTTACAATTAATGGCTGGAAGAAGTGAAACTGCTGTTTCCCTTGAGCATGCTAGTATGAGTAGGAACTAATATCTCTAGTAGCAAAGCGAACTGTCACTCTATCGTGGAGTATGAGAATAAACAATAGAGTGACAGTTCACCCAGATATTAGATATTACACTAAGGAACTAATAATATCTCTAGTCTGACTGTATGCGTAGGAAGTAGGTATTAGTGAACCATATAGGTTGATCACTCCTGCAATGGTAAATTCAGTCTAACTGTATCGTAAGTTCACTGCTTAAACTCTAGAATGATGTATTAATCTTCCTTTTGTTTGTGTGTCGTTATTGACTTTGTGCTGTCAATTATCACGGCAGGACTGTTTTGGCCGGCCAATTGCTAGCGCACCAGATGCTTGGTTTGACGTGGTTGAGCGTTACTCAAATGACAGTAACAAGACACTGCAGTATGTATTTCTCACATCTGATTCAGCACCTAGTTAGCATAAGAAAATGCTGAATATTATCTTAGGATGCATGCTATTCTCTGATCCAATGCTTCTTCAATGCAGTCGTACCACAAAAACATCTAAGTGCCTTAACTTAGGTTCCTACAACTACCTTGGCTTTGCCGCGGCAGATGAATACTGCACCCCTCGTGTTATTGAGTCACTGAAGAAATACTCTGCTAGTACTTGCAGTGTCCGAGTCGATGGGGGTAGGCACTTATGTTGCTGCTATAGTTTGTTGCCACTGAGTTCTTAAATGATTTAGTGTAGTATATAAGCTTACCTGATTCATACAATCTTAGGCAACACTAAGCTGCATGTGGAACTTGAAGAGCTGGTTGCAAGATTTGTTGGCAAGCCTGCAGCTATTCTTTTTGGCATGGGTTATGTGACGAACTCTGCAATCATTCCTGCCTTGGTTGGGAAGGTCCGTGATAGAGAGACTGCCGTGTTTTCTTTCTATTCTTTTCTACATCCTGGAGCTAATGTATTATTGATTGCAGGGAGGACTCATAATTAGTGACTCATTGAACCATAACTCTATAGTGAATGGGGCTAGGGGTTCAGGAGCTACTGTTCGGGTTTTTCAACATAACAGTAAGCTCACTGATAATTGACAGCTACTCTTGCAAGCGATGAGCTCAACAATGGATCACAATACATAATGCTTCCCTTTATTTTCTTCCAGATCCTGCACACTTGGAAGAGGTATTGAGAGAGCAGATTGCAGGAGGCCAGCCTCGTACACACAGGCCGTGGAAGAAGATTATTGTGATTGTTGAGGGAATATATAGCATGGAGGGGGAGCTATGCAAACTCCCTGAGGTTATAGCTGTCTGCAAGAAATATAAGGTTTGAGAATTTCACTCACCGACTTATGCTCTTTCTTCAGACCATTCGTGTGGGCATGTAGACCTATTTACTGGCATATAAAAACTTCAGCTTTCACCTGCTACTAAAAGAGACAGATGTTTACTGAGTAATTGAGTATTGACTATTGTACTTAACCTTCTGGATAGGCTTACACATATTTAGACGAGGCACACAGTATTGGAGCTGTTGGTAAAACCGGGAGAGGTGTTTGTGAGCTACTAGGTGTGGATCCAGCTGATGTCGATATTATGATGGGAACATTTACTAAATCATTTGGATCATGCGGAGGTTACATTGCAGCATCAAAAGTATGAAGAAGATTCACTTGCTATACTTGGCTGAGCACTGTAGTTGATAAATCTGACCATGGATTATGCTGTGTTTATCAGGAGATTATTGATCATCTGAAGCACATATGCCCTGCCCATATCTATGCAACATCCATGTCACCTCCAGCTGTTCAGCAGGTCATTTCTGCAATAAAAGTTATCCTTGGTGAAGATGGATCTAACAGAGGTATATCAGAACTTGTTGATTTCTTATTTCTTCTGTCTTTAGGAAATTCCTAATGTAATTATTGTTCTAAATAGGGGCCAAGAAGCTTGCTCAGATTCGAGAGAACAGCAATTTCTTCCGTTCAGAGCTTCAGAAAATGGGTTTTGAAGTTCTTGGAGACAATGACTCGCCGGTCATGCCTATCATGCTTTACAATCCTGCTAAAATACCTGCGTTCTCAAGAGAGTGCCTGAGGCAACACGTGAGTTTTCAAAATATACCTCACCTAACGAATAAATCATGCTTTAGTTTTGAATCCAGTAGCACACATAATTTCTTCACTGAAAATTCTGCTGTTTGACTAATGTGACATGTTTCATAATTCTAGGTTGCTGTTGTTACTGTTGCATTTCCTGCTACACCACTACTGCTTGCCAGAGCTAGGATATGTATCTCAGCTTCCCACTCAAGGGAAGATCTTATTAAAGGATTGGAGGTAAAGTCCATCCTCCCGTCAATGCTACGGGCTTCATGGCTTGTTGCGACAAGCTTGATTTAGTTGCAAACCACATACAGTTACTAAATTTCATGTTGATTGTTTAGGTTATCAGCAAAGTTGGTGACCTCGTGGGAATCAAATACTTCCCAGTGGAACATGAAAAGACTGCATCTGTTGAGAAACTGAAGAAGCTTCAATGAACACCTACAACCAGAAGAAATATACTGGGTGATCTAGGCAGTGTGCCATGCCTCGGTTCGGCTCATGTGCTTCGGACCCTTTTGATTTTCCTTTGTTTCTGAAGTGGCTTAGATCTGTACAGCTTGTATTATCATCCATCATAGTCCAAAACACAACACAATGATAGACACTGTTTTGTCGAGTTCAGAGGAAGCAAAAGTTTCGCTGTTACAGCTCTGAATCTTGCGAGTAAAGTGTCTGAAATCATGTAGAGACTCTTCCTCTTTTGATTTTAGCTTCCTTTGTAGATGCAACGTCAGTTGCATCGATTGTGTGTGAAGTAAGCTTCACTCATAGTGTGAGGTCTGGTTGCTGTGATCAAGTGATTAAGCGAAAAAATGTTGTTAAATCTCTGAAGTGTTTGATTGATCTGGTGGCATGGGTATCAGGTGCAGCTATCTGTGCAGTGTACTGCCAGATTCATACTTAAACTTTATAAACTGCCCATGAACTTGCAAAAGTTATTCCAAAGAGCCTGATGGAAGAGTGAAAACTCTTGTCTTCAAGTAAAAAAAAAAACGCAAGATGACGCCAGTTCTATACATGAACTTGATTATTACAAAAGATGCAACTTCTTGCGTGCATAATATTTTCTAAACCGAAGGCAAAAGCTCTATCTGATTTCATTGATAAAGAAGAGACATCAACCCAAAAAATGATTCACTCCAAAAACACCGTCTTACAAGTGCCTCAAGATCATTCCCTAAACCTACACTAAATACCTGAAGACACCCAATTATGCTTGCATAATAAGCTGTATATATAAGTAAACTCTCCATTTTGAAATCTCGTACAAATGAAACTAGATACTTTAACTTATTGTTCTCTGACTTTAAGCGTCTGACATATGAGCCCACATGTCAGTGACTCACGCCAGAAAAGTCTCTTCGCGTACAAATACAGTACATGTCTGTGGGCTAGTCCTAGCTGACAAATCCTTGGACAGTACGGAGAGAGAGAGAAAAAAAATCAATCCATGCGTACACCGGATTCAAGTAGTTCAACAATGGCTGAATTGACTCAATTGAGTCGTTATATATATGGCTGAATCTCTTTGACTTGACCAGTGCATTCATCGTCCATCCAATGGTCTCCGAAAGCTGAAAATACCCGGCAAAGATCAGGTGACAGATCTGAACTGAACGCATCCTGAAACCTGAACTGGAGATGCTTTCGTTTCTCGTTTAACATTTGCTCTCTTTTTCAATACAAACGTAGATTAGATTATAAGTTAAGCAGATTTATGGTGTTATATGGATCACCACTGGACACTTGGATGAGATGGTCTGAAATATTCTGTACATGGTCTCCAAATTTAACTTAATTTGCTGATAATGTCAATTATAATGTCCACGCTGTCCAAGTGAAAGGGCGCAGATAAACACAAGTTTTCCCGAGATTAAAAAAAATAAACTTAAGTTTTGGAAATTTGGAGTGCGTTTTGATGGTTAGTTTGCTGTGAGTGCACTTGATTAATTTAGCGTCATATCGATCAAAGCTTACTATAAAATATTTCTTAGCATATTTTATTCGATTTTAAAAGTGAAGTTAAAAAAATTAACCGGTTTTACAGTTCAGCCAAAAACGAGCTTTACCCATTGTTTTAAAGGTATATATAAACAACATTATTGTTTTCTAATTATCATTAGTGTTAGAATTAATATAAATCAAATTATCCACCTTTCTCCATAAGTTTAAGCTTTTACGTTGAATTGATATGTGCAACTCAACTAAATACGGAGGCAATTCTATCAAGGATGTGAAGAAGCGACTAGAATAAACTAAAAGTGAGTATAATAAGGTGATATAAGTGGGTTATATATATAAGCTACAACATTATATTTGTACTTATGTGAAAGAGAAAATAAAAACGGGCTACTACATATTTGTAGTCAGTTGCAGCACGTGCTCCAATAAACTATGTGACAGAGATAAGTAGATTATGTATTAATTATACAATATATATCTATAACTAAATAATGTATGGTGAGCCATAAGGTTGGCTATAAATGTTGTTTCAATTTTTGGAGCTAGTTATTGGCTATATTATTAAACTTGCTCTAGTAGCACATACTTCCTCCGTTTCAAAAAAAAGACAAACCCTGGGTTTCCGTGTCTAACTTTGACTGTCCGTCTTATATGAAATTTTTTTATAATTCGTATTTTCATTGTTGTTAGATTATAAAACATGATTAATATTTTATACGTGACTTGTCTTTTTAATTTTTTTTCATATTTTTTTTAAATAAGACGGACGGTCAAACGTTGAGCACGAAAACAGGGTTTGTCTTTTTTTTTTTTTACGGAGGGAGTACACACAACTCAAAACAATTTATCAGATTCTTTTACAGCTTTACCGATCATCTTCAAATATTGAAATTACTGCTAATTAATTGCACATGCATCATGGAAAACATGAAGAGCGAAGAACACGTGCGCGTGTACCAATATTGAATAACTGATCGGACCGATATGTGTACGAGACCGTACACTATCAGAGACCAACATCGATTGAGCGATCTAGAAATGAGAATTCCATTATTGACGCTGATCAAACCAAATTAATTACTCTCTCCGTTTCTAAATATTTGACACCGTTGACTTTTTACACATATTTGACCGTTCATCTTATTCAAAAACTTTTGTGAAATATACAAAACTATACGTATACATATAAGTATATTTAACAATCGATCAAATGATAGAAAAATAATTAATAATTACTTAACTTTTTTAATAAGATCGAACGATCAAACATATTTAAAAAAGTCAACGGCGTTAAATATTTAGAAACGGAAGTAGTTATACTAGCTAGAGAGGCGATCGACATGAAATTAATTAAAGCTAGCTATAGGGAGCAAGAACACGTACGTACACCGAAACCGTTAGCAGCGCTAATGACGGTCCAACCCTGGTAAGTCCAGTCCAATACGAGCAGCTGATTTTGCCCATGCTGCACCTGCATCCATGGCAGCATGGCCCCTGCACGCTCATCGACGACGACGACGACGACTCCATCGATGGCTAGCTCCGACGATATATCCATCCATTCAACAATCTCCGGCCTATAAGTACTCCATCCCGCCGGCCGGCCGGTGACTCGATCACCATCAACACAAGCTATATCTCGATCGATCGCCACCGGCCGGCCACCGCGCGCCGCCGCATCCACACCGTACGTCGAGACTAGCCGGCCGGCGAGGGATCAGCGGCGGCGGCGGCGGATCGATCGACGGCGATGGTGAGGGTGCCGTTCGTGACCGCGGTCACCACGGTGTTCAGCTACGGCGTCATCTTCGGCTTCGGCCACCTCCGCGATTGGTTCCGCGCCCTCCTCCGCTCCCTCTTCTCCGGCCACTCGCCGGCGGCAGCCGGTACCAACCTCAAGGTTGGCTTACTACGTGTGTACCCCCTCCGTTTCATATTATATAATTAAGTCGTTTAATTTTTTTCTATATTATTAAAATATATTCAATGTTAAATTTAATGAAACTAATTTGGTATTATAAATATTGCTAACTTTTTTTATAAATTTAATTAGTAAAAAAAAACTTTAATAAAAAAAAGTTAAACGACTTATAATATGAAACGGATCGAGGGAGTAGCTTATCATCATCATCATCATCATCATTACTACTACTACATAGGTTGTCATGCTAAATGTATAGACTCGATCAATCTATATGTATGTAGGGTTACGCGCCAATTTGCGGAGGACAGGAGGATTTCTATTACCGACGATTCGTTCGTCGCGTTCAGGTAAGCTATAGTAACCTACATTTCCTATATTTCTAAAGATGATTAATAAAACCCTATATTTCTGAAGAGGATTAATAAAAGTGTACATGTGCACACAGATATATTAATTTAAACTTTAAATTTTAATTTGATGTTTTTACTTTTTTTTTTTCTTTTTAAGTCGGTAAAAACAAACATATATAAAAATTTTACATATGAATTAGTTTTTAATCAGTAATAAGTACTCCCTCCATTTCGAAATGTTTGACACCGTTAATTTTTTAGCACATGTTTGACCGTTCGTCTTATTCAAAAACTTTTGTAAAATATGTAAAATTATATGCCTACATAAAAATATATTTAGCAATGAATCAAATGATAGGAAAAGATGTAATAATTATTTAAAATTTTTGAATAAGACAAACGGTCAAACATGTGCTAAAAAGTTAACGGTGTCAAACATTTTGAAACGGAGGAAGTTTACAGATTATAATTAGCTATTTAGACTTTTAAATTATTAGATGTTTTATTGAGATTTGTGTTTTAATTGGCTTATGTTTATCAACTATATATATGTTGTCACATGCAGGACTGCTTTTGGCGACCAATAGCCAGCAAGCCGGACGCATGGTTCGATGTGGTTGAGCGCTACTCAAATGACAGCAACAAGACACTCCAGTACGTATTATACTCCTCTCTCGTATAAAATATCACTTTTGCTACAAATCTAAAGTTGTTTTTTATAAGACAAAGAGATATGTCTTTGTCACACTATATATATTTTATACCTAATTGTTAAAAACTATATGATTTATGTTAACTCGATATTTCATTTTATTTTTAACTCTAAAACTTATTGGTTATATGCATGTCGGCAGAGGACATAGATGTAAACCATTTTTATCATTTTAAGAAAATTCTGCACCTAATAAGCATAAGCAAATGCTGCGGATATATATCTTAATTATATTAGAGGATGCATGCTAGAAATTAATCTGACCCAATGCTTCTCTGATATATGCAGCCGTACCACAAAAACATCCAGGTGCCTTAACTTAGGTTCCTACAATTACCTTGGCTTTGCTGCGGCAGATGAATACTGCACTCCTCGTGTTATTGAGTCACTAAAGAAATACTCTGCTAGTACTTGCAGTGTCCGAGTCGATGGAGGTATGTCTAATGTCTCTACTTTGTTGCCATTGGTGTCCAAGTAGCATGTAAATATGGTCCATGGAAGGAGTTGAGGATTTTTCTCATCACTCTGTACCTTTTTTTAGTGCCAACAACGCAATTGGTTATGTTTGTCAATGGCGACCAGAGATGTACTCCTGTATTTAAAATATATGGCACTATAAATTTTATTTGATCAAATTACTAAAATTTTGATCACTCTCGAAATCTTGAAATATTTGGTTTCAAAACATAAAAAATTATATGGAGATTTTTTTTACAATATTATAATTTTCCTAGATATTATCGTTACGTACTAATAGAAAAATAGCGACCATAGTTACGCACCAAAGATCAAAAGAAGGTAACAACGCTATAAATTTAAATCGTAATTATTGTAAAAGCAAGAGCTTACTGCAGCTAATTTATTTCAATGATGTTAGGCAACACTAAGCTGCATGTGGAACTTGAAGAACTGGTTGCAAGATTTGTTGGCAAGCCTGCAGCTATTCTCTTCGGCATGGGTTATGTGACGAACTCTGCGATCATTCCTGCCTTGATTGGGAAGGTCAGTGGCAGAGAAACTGCCATGTTTTCATAATTCCTGTTCTTTCTGTACATTATGGAGCTAATATATTATTGATTTCAGGGAGGCCTCATAATCAGTGATTCACTGAACCATAATTCTATAGTGAATGGAGCAAGGGGTTCAGGAGCTAGTGTTCAAGTTTTCCAACATAACAGTAAGCGAGCTCACTGATAATTGCTAATTACTCCCCTGTTTTTGAACATACGGCATTGTTAATTTTTAAACATGATGCCTGAGAATGTTTGCAACTTTGCAAATGGCGTGTGCCGAACAATATGGATCACAGAACTTAATTCTTCCCTTCAATTTCTTGTAGATCCTGCACACTTGGAAGAGGTATTGAGAGAGCAGATTGCAGGAGGCCAGCCTCGCACACACCGGCGATGGAAGAAGATTATTGTGATTGTTGAGGGAATATATAGCATGGAAGGGGAGCTATGCAAACTCCCTGAGATTGTAGCTGTCTGCAAGAAATATAAGGTTCAAGAATTTCTTACACTGACTTCTTGTATATGTTCTTTCTTCAGATCATTAAGCATGTAAATCTTTTTTTAATCAAAAGCTTGTAAATCTGTTTACTGTCATATACATTACTTCAACTTTTATCAGCTATTAAAATCGATAAATATTTACTGAGTTTTGACTATTGTACTTAAATTTCTGGACAGGCTTACACATATTTAGATGAGGCACACAGCATTGGGGCTGTTGGTAAGACAGGGAGAGGTGTTTGTGAATTACTTGGAGTGGACCCAGCGGATGTTGATATTATGATGGGAACATTTACTAAATCATTTGGATCTTGTGGAGGTTACATTGCAGCATCAAAAGTATGAAGCATATTAACGTACTATTTAGATGAACAACTTTAGTCTGTAGATTTTAAATCTGACCCATGGATTACTCTATGTTTATCAGGAGATTATTGATCATCTGAAGCACATATGCCCTGCCCATATCTATGCAACATCCATGTCACCTCCCGCTGTCCAGCAGGTCATCTCTGCAATAGAAGTAATCCTTGGTGAAGATGGATCTGACAGAGGTATACCAGAATTTGTTGATTTCTTATTTCTTCTCACTCTCTTTTTGATTTAGATTATTGAGAGAATTATTGCCATGGATTATCTAATTGACTATAGGGACAAATTATAAATACTTTGAGAAATTGACTTAACAAATACTACTTCCGTTTTAGGTTATAAGACGTTTTGACTTTGGTAAAAGTCAAACTGCTTCAAGTTTGACTAAGTTTGTAGAAAAAAATAATAACGTTTTCAACCCAAAACAAATTTATTATGAAAATATATTCAATTATTTATTTAATGAAACTAATTTGGTATTATAAATATTATTATATTTATCTATAAACTTAGTCAAACTCTTGACTTTGACTAAAGTCAAAACGTCTTATAACCTGAAACGGATGGAGAAGCTTAAAACAAGTGGGCTAAGTGGTGCAGTAGAAGTTTTTGAGACAACATATTTTTTAAAGTACAGAACAAATCATCCGTTTCAATGTTCCTAATACTTTAGATAATGAGGAGATTCCTAATGTAATTATTGTTATAAACAGGAGCCAAGAAGCTTGCTCAGATTCGGGAGAACAGCAATTTCTTCCGTTCAGAACTTGAGAAAATGGGTTTTGAAGTTCTTGGAGACAACGACTCGCCTGTCATGCCTATCATGCTTTACAATCCTGCTAAAATGCCTGCATTCTCAAGAGAGTGCCTGAGGCAAAAGGTTAGTTTTATTTTCTTCAATAACTAATAATTCATTGTTTTAGTTTTGAATTCGGTAATACACCCAGAATCTCTTCTATTAATTGCAAATTTTTTTTCTGATTGACCAATGTGACAACATATTTTCATAATTCTAGGTTGCCATTGTTACTGTTTCATTTCCGGCAACGCCACTGCTACTTGCCAGAGCTAGGATATGCATATCAGCTTCCCACTCTAGGGAAGATCTTATTAAAGGATTGGAGGTAAATTGGTCAATTTTACTGGTGTTATGGCTTGTTGTGACAAGTTTGATTTAGTTGCAAATTAACCACATGCAGTTGCTAATTTTCATGTTAATTTGGTTAGGTTATCAGCAAAGTTGGTGACCTCGTGGGAATCAAATATTTACCAGTGGAGCATGAAAAGACTACATCTGCTGAGAAACTGAAGAAGATTCAGTGAACACTGACTGATAACTGGAACTCTACAAGCAATATATATACTGGGTCATCTACCCTTTTATTCTTTCCTTTGTTTCTGAATTGGTTTAGATCATTACTTGTATTCAGAGGAAGCGAAATTTTCACTGTTATAACGTATTCTGAATATTGTGAGTAAATCTCTGAAATCATGTAGAGATATTCTCTGTTTTGATTTCAACTTCCTTTCAAGATGCAGTATCAGTTGAATTGGTCCTATGTGAAGCAAGCTTAATTATTGTTGTGACGGTCTAATTTCTGCGAACAAATGATGAACTGATTGTTATGACATGCAAAAGCTGAAAATTAAATTATGTTAAAATCTCTGAAGTGCTTGATCTGATGGCATATACGTTATGTTTACTGCAAAATCATACACTATAAACTCTCCATGAACTTGCAAATATGCCATTTCAAAGAGGCAGAGCCTGATTGGGAAGAGTGGAAACTCTGGTCTCTCTTAAGTAATTAAAATTATAAGTAAAACAAAGCAACACGGCAATAGTTCTGTACTTGATTTTTAGGAAGCAATTACAAAAGGAGAGAAGCTTTATGCATGTAAAATTAACTGTAGTATCAAATTTAAAAACGTACGATTTGAGATCTCATAAATAATGTCTGTGGGCTAGAATACAGCTGACAATTCCTCGGACACTACGAACTATATATAGCTTAGGTGAGAAAAATTCAAGCCATGCGTGCACCGGATTTGTGTACGGATTTTAACTGAATTGTTATATGTGTGGATATCTTGACCTGACCAGTGAATTCATCGTCCATCCAACGGCCTCTGACTAGGTGTCACTTGAAATTTAGGTGAAAAATACCGGCAAAAAGTCAGGTGATACATCTGAACTGAAAGCATTCTGAGAGTAGTTGAAGACTCTTTCAAGTTTCAACTCTTGTACGTCTAGCATGACAATCGGTTAATGTCAATCCTTTAGTTTCGTCCTTTTTGTCAATACTTCTTTTCCGATTGACTATATTACAACTTAATAAGCAGTTTTTATTGTGCTTTTTTGCAGCACGGAGTGTCTCCAGATTCTCCTTTGCTATGAATGTTAATCATGAAAATATTTTTCAAGACAAATTTACAAATAGATCAGACTAAAAATAAGGTTGTGGGCATGAAACCGTCAGAAATTATTTTTCTGTCGGTCCACCACATAAAAAATGTAAACTGAAAAACATTGGCACTCAAAGCTTCCAATGTTTGAAAAATACATGTATGCATCAAATGGTTACAATTTGTTTTAAAAAGTAACAAGATAGAATAATGTGCAATACATCACTTCACAAACATATAAATTCAAATTCGACTTATACAAATTGTAGCAAAAATAACAAATTTGACTGCAAATATTCATTTACTAAATTTGTTATTTTTTGTTGCAACTTATAGAAGTCAAATTTAAACTTGCATGTTTGTAGGGTGATATATTACTCCTACATATTAGTCTATCTTATCAATTTTATTAAAGTTTTTTCATAACTATTTACTTAACATGCAATAGAGATAAGTGGACATCCACCTAGGTGACTAAAAGAGTTTTCCCTACAATAATCCTTGTAGCCTTAGGCTATGTTCGTGAGGAGGGGTTCCGGGGTTGGAAACCCCTTCTCTCCGGCACACAAAACTATATATGCATTAACACATGATTAATTAATTATTAGCTTTTTTAAGAAAATAGATTAATATAATTTTTTAAATCATTTTTTGTATAAGTTTTTTTTTTGTAAAATAGACATCCATGTTTAGTAGTTTGAAAAACATGCGAAAAAAAATGAAGGAGATGAGTTGGGAAACTGGACAAAGAACTCAGCCTTAGTAGTACGTTTCATGAAAAAACGACTATGGCCCTGTTTAGATCCCACCTTTCCTGTACGTCACATCGAACGTTTAAACACCTGTATGAAGTATTAAATATAGGGTAAAAAATAACCAGATTGCGACTAATTTGCGAGATGAATCTTTTAAGCTTAATTGCTTCATAATTTGACAATGTGGTGCTACAGTAAATATTTGCTAACGATGGATTAATTATGATTAATAAATTCGTCTCACGGTGTACTGACGGTTTCTGTAATTAGTTTTTTATTAATTAGTGCCCAAACACTCTATACGATATTCTGTATAACCCGATCGATGTGACACGTTAAAACTTTGCACCCTGGATCTAAACAGCCCCTATCTAGGATTCTAATCTAGGGGCAAAGGCTTGACAAATCGGCGGCTGGCAGTAGTGTGTACACGTGGAAATAACAAAGACAAACCGCTATACTCGTGTATGCAGGCAACAACAGCAAGAATGAAGAACACGTGTCTGCGTACATGTGCCATCTTTGACGCCTGCCTGTCGCGACCAATATTTATATTCATTCTGAAGTTGACAAGTACGCGCTACATACGGTCTCAACGTTCACCACCAAGCGATGATTTTGGTTTGTGACATGCACGATGCATGTAGAATTGAATTAAATTAATTACTGTGAGGACAAATAAGTATTTAAGTGTATGTTTAGGACAAACAAACTTTAGAATTTTGAAAAATTCCAAATGCTTGTTTTTTTTAAGAAAAAGATTGTTGTCATGTGTTGAAATATTATCATATATTAATATTATAAACTTATTAAATCCTACAATCTTATTTTAATTAAATCAAATCTTGTCTTAAACTACTCCCTTTTTTAAATATATGTTGCTGTTGTTTTTTTAACAAACGTTTAATCATTCGTCTTATTCAAAATTTTTATGTAAATATAAAAGAAATTAGATCATGCTTGAAGAACATTTAAAGATAATTTAAGTCACAACAAAATAAATGATAATTACGTAAATTATTTGAATGACACGAATAGTTAAACATTTATTAAAAAAACAATAATATCGGAGTATATTGAAAAACGGAGAGAGTATTAGACATGTGACTCGTGAATTAAAGGGAAGAAGAGGACGTACGGAAGAGCATACTGTACGGCCGGCGCGAAAACCGTTAGCGCTAACGCCGATCGAATCCATCGACCATACGACAGTCTTTGTTCCATCTGACGATGAGTAATCCAGTTTGTACCAAGTCCAGTCCAATGAACTCCAATACTAGGTAAAAATCGCCATGCATGCATGGCATGTACAGTTTCGATCCAAGCACACACAGCACGTACGACGTCGTCGTCCTTGCTTGCTCTCAGCTCGATCGATCGGTTGCTACAAATACCAGCCTCTCGCCGGCCGGCCAGAGCATCATCTCACCATCCATCGATCACACATCAGCTAGCTCGATCACAAACACCGACGCTTCCGCCGCATTCCGGCCACCGGAGTCGAGGAAGAAGAGAGAGAGAGGTAGCTGATCGAGCTAAGCAATGGTGATCAAGGTGCCGTACGTGACGGCGGCGACGACGCTGTTCAGCTTCGGCCTCATCTTCGGCTTCGGCCACCTCCGCGACTCCTTCCGCGCCCTTCTCCGCCTCCTCTTCTCCTCCGCCGCCGCCGCCGACTCGCCGGCCGGCTGCAACTCCAAAGTTAATACTCCCTCTATCCCTAATTATAAGGCCTATATCTTTTTACACGGTCTTTAATAATATATTTTGATCAGTATTTTATTTTATTCTATAATCCCAATAAATGTAAAATTAAAATCACATGAAAGTATTTCAAAATCTGAATCTAGTGATATAACATGTATAATATTTAGTATAGATATAGTTAGTATGATTATCAGTTAAAAACTACCGAGTTTAATTTTTCTTAAAAATGGACGCCCTAAATTATTTAGGACGGGTAGTATAATTACCTAAATGCCTGCAGGTTAGCTTAATTGATACTCCCTAGTACTAAGTAATTAGCTTCATTAATTTGTCTCTCGCATTATTGATTATCCTACTTATGTGCTGAGCTGATCTTTTTCGTCTCGCATCACAGGGTTACGCGCCGATTTGCGTTGGGAAGGAGGATTTCTACATCCGCCGCTTCTTCCGCCGCGTCCAGGTGAGCTCACCTTCTTCTCTCTTTCTGTCCAACCATGCAATTTTTTTTCTAATATTAATGCGCAAGAGCCTTACATGTCAATATGTTATATTAGAAAAAAAAAAGAAAATTTTATACAATCGTACCATGCTGTAACGGTTAGAAGAGGCATACACAAAGAAAAAAAACCGTAAATATTAAAAAATGACCTAATATCAAATAAATAAAAAGGGTAAAACGTTTTAAATCCAGGCTAGCTAACCCACTATCTTATGAAACTAGCCAGAAAACCACTAGAAGTTTCTCATATACACAAAGAGAAAATGACATCAACAGCTAGCAGATAGGCATGACTGCATGAGCCCTGAGCTCCCACCATTCACTCATCCATGCGTATAATTAGTAGAACTAATGTGCTATATGTATTAATCAATTATTACTTACTTAGTTTACTTCCTGTGTTTAAAGTTGCTTTTATTTTTGCTCGGCCCTAAGTTAAACGTATATACTAGCATCTTTGATTATTAGTTTATAGAGAAACCGTATAACTTAAAAACATGTTAATGATATATTATGAAGATATAATTAAAAAAACATAAATGTTATGGTGTTAAATTATATAAATATTTAGGAATTAATAGTTTGATTTACAATAAAGTTAAAACGATAAATAATTTGAAACGAATTATGTACTTACTAACATGCATGGTGAATTATTAATCTGTTTAATTCTCGATCTGTTCTTGTGTTTTTCTGAACGAATTACTGTTCTCGCTGCAGGACTGTTTCGGGCGACCGATAGCCAGCAAGCCTGATGCGTGGTTCGATGTGGTTGAGCGCTACTCGACTGACAGCAACAAGACACTGCAGTATGAATACATTTCTTCTCCTGAATCCCGATTTCATATCTGATTAGCATGCATGATATCCTGATCCAACAATTAACGCTGCACCTCTGAATAACTCTGAATTTCTGATCGATGCAAATGCATATGTCTACATATATATGCAGCTGCACCACGAAAACATCCAAGTGCCTGAACCTGGCATCCTTCAACTACCTAGGTTTCGCTGCTGCTGATGAGTACTGCACACCTCGTGTCATCGAGTCTCTGAAGAAATACTCTGCTAGTACCTGCAGTTCCCGAGTCGATGGAGGTACATTTATATAGCACTTAATTGGTATAGTTTAACTCTGATTAATGATCTAAGTATACTGCTAGCTAGAATTAAGCTTTCGTTTATGTTTATGATCTCAAGGCAACACTCAGCTGCACATAGAACTCGAAGAGCTGGTTGCAAGATTCGTCAGGAAGCCTTCGGCTATTCTGCTTGCCATGGGTTATGCCACCAACTCTGCCATCATTCCTGCCTTGATTGGGAAGGTAATTAGTTTTGTTGTAAATATTTTTTTTCTAGATAAAGATTTTGTTGTAAATATATATGGAGTCTGTATTTGTTTATTTCTGTTTTTTGTTTCGTGCATCCTGGAGCTGATTAATGTACTGTAATTATTTCAGGGTGGACTGATAATCAGTGATTCACTGAACCATAACTCTATAGTCAGTGGAGCTAGAGCTTCAGGAGCTACGATTCGGGTGTTCGAACACAACAGTAAGCTCACAAACAACTGTCAATTGCATTTGCAAGTAATTAGTTATTAGCTGAACAATTCATCTCACCAAATTTCATTAATTTCTTTTGCAGATCCTGCTCACCTGGAAAAACTACTGAGAGAGCAGATTTCAGGTGGACAGCCTAGAACACACAGGGCATGGAAGAAGATCCTGGTGATTGTTGAGGGGATATATAGCATGGAAGGGGAGCTATGCAAACTCCCTGAGATCATATCTGTCTGCAAGAAGTACAAGGTTAATTGGAGAAATTAATTCCACTTACTACTAAATTTCTGAATTCTTCTTATGTTTCTTAGTTTCATTCTGAACCATACTAGTAAGAAAAGAACAGTAGTACCATCTTTCAGAAAAAGAGAAAAGGGGAAACTTTTGAGGCATTATAATGCTCTTTGCGGGTAGAAGAACAATCTAGACCATTTTTTTCTAATCCAATGAATCATATTTATTTATACTACAACGTCAACTACTGGTAGTAGATTTTTTTTTTGTACCGGTAGTAGAGCTCATAAATCAAAATCTAAGATCATTTCTATCGACGATAAATACTAAAGAGCATCGTGAAGGTACCCAAAACTTTTACGGTGGTCTCAACTGGTAGTATTTTACTGCCATTATAGTACTACCGATAGATATCAACAAAAGAAAAAAAGAACTCTTCTTCTGGGTATGTTATTACTGGATTTTTTTTTCTGAAACTTTTAAGAGTTGTTCAAACTGGTAGGGATGTACTATATGGTATTGACTAGTAAAACATATGAATAGGTTTACACATACATGGACGAGGCACACAGTATTGGAGCTGTTGGGAAAACAGGAAGAGGTGTGTGTGAGCTACTAGGAGTGGATCCGGCTGATGTTGACATCATGATGGGCACACTCTCAAAGTCATTTGGATCGAGTGGAGGTTACATTGCAGCATCAAAAGTATGAATTAATTAAGCAGATTCACTTACCAGTTCTTGTCTGAGAAGACAAAAGAGTTGATAATAAAACTGATCCTTGGATTATTTTTTCATGTTTACCAGGAGATTATTCAGCATCTCAAGCTTACATGTCCTTCACATATCTATGGCACATCCATGTCACCTCCTGCAGTCCAGCAGGTCATCTCTGCAATGAAGGTTATTCTTGGGGAGGATGGAACTGACAGAGGTATATATCTGCTTCCAAAATTTGAACAAATTGACTCATAATTTCTCCTGTTTTGAGGAAATTCATGATGCAATGTTGTTGTAAACAGGGGCCAAGAAGATTGCTCAGATTAGAGATAACAGCAATTTCTTCCGTTCAGAGCTTCAGAAAATGGGCTTTGAGGTTCTTGGAGATAATGACTCACCTGTCATGCCTTTCATGGTCTACAATCCTGCTAAAATGCCTGCATTCTCAAGAGAGTGCCTGAAGCAAAATGTGAGTTTTTTTCAAGTGCACCACAAATCTATTAAAAACCTGATAAAACAATCTTGTCCGTTTAGTAAATCTCTAATGCAAATTTGTCTCAAAATAGTCCAAAGTTTTGTACTATTTGAGTTACACCCTGTAACTCTTTTTTGTGTTATTAAAAAAAAGTTTTGCAGTTTTAACTAATGTGGCATGTTCCATACTTTTAGGTTGCTGTTGTTCCGGTTGGATTTCCTGCTACACCACTACTTCTTGGCAGAATTAGGATATGCATTTCTGCTTCTCACTCAAGGGAAGATCTTATCAAAGGATTGGAGGTAAAGCACATAATTAACTGAATCTATGGAACTAACTGAATTCATTTTTGGTTTGTGCCGTTCATTCATATCTGAGTATGCATTACTTTCCATGAATATTTTTCAGGTTATCAGCAACGTTGGTGATCTTGTTGGAATCAAGTACTTACCAGTTGAGCAAGAGGAGACTACATCTGTTGAGAAACCAAAGAAGCTTTAGTGAACAATCTGCGTCTCTTGTGCTAGATCAAGCTCAATTCTTTCTGTTACACACCGATATACATTTTAGAACTTCCCCCTGTTACCACTCCTAAGTCTGAGAATAAGTATGTCTGAAATCGTGTAAGTTCCCTTCCAAAATGTAATAATGGTTGCGTTTATCATGTGTAAAAAATAACATCTTTACTCATACCTGATGAGTTCAGTTTCTGTGACCAACTGATATACTGAGCGTCAGTAACATGCAAAAGCAGATGACTGAATCTGAAATCTCTCACCCTATCCTATGTATGGTTAATAGTTCTTCTGAAATCTCTCAGTGTAACCTATGTATGTGTGGTTAATATCTGACTTTTCAAAAAAAAAAAAGGAAAAGAAAAAGAAAACTGACTAACTGATATCAACAGAGTCCCATCAGGTGCAGCTATGCATTGCAGCATGATTTTTTACTGTAAGGACAAGATGTGTGGAACTTTTTTGGCAGAATCTTTTTCAAAAAAAAAAAAAAGATTGTAGTAACTTTTTTGGCAGATAAAAGGAAGTTGGCCTTTTCTAATTGGGCCTTGGGCCCTAGCATAATTATGCATGTGAACAATGGGCCTGTCAGGTGAGGGCTGAGTGGGCCACACCAGACAGTGAAGTGTTACTGTCACTGCATGATAGCATCAGAGGTCAGGAAAGATACTGTAGAACTTCATGGCATGCTGCTGCATAAGGATTGCATGCACACAAGCAGCTAGCAGCATTGAGGTTGTTCATTCAATTGAAGCAGAACAACACTGCCTTTCTGGTTTAATGTGCCCGGTTTTGTCCTGTTATGTTTTGGTTGTTAGTAACATCAGAAGGAACAGAAGAGCAAAGGAGATAGATATGGTTTGAGTGAGTGAATGAGTGAGGCTGTGACACTGAGGCTGTAGCATGTCTAGGGCCTAGAGCACTAAGAACAGCAGGAGAGAGCTTGGTCATGCCTGCCATGATGCCAATGCCTGGTGAAATGTACTGCTCCTGATTTGCTTGCTTTGCATTGCATTTGCATGGCACAAAAGGGCTCTCTCTTTGCATGCATATCTCCCTTTGCATTGCCTGGTCAAACAGCAGCTAGCTAGCCTGCAGAGAGAGGTGCAAGAACACAATATGCAGGTGGATATTTGCACTTTGTCTCTTGACAGACAGGGATGAGAGATATCACACACACACACACACCCCTGTGAGATGTTGTGTGGTTCTTTTTATAAAGCTTGTGCTGGATTCTCTTCTCTCTTGTTGGGTGCCTCAGGGATTCAGGCTACATGCTGTACTACTACTATTATGGCAATGAAAAACTAAATTTTTTGAGGCGCATAAAAAAACAGTAAGAGGAATAATGGAGTAGGAGATAGAAAAACAGCAGTAGTACATATACATAGCTACTAGGTGCAGAAAGAAAGAAACAACATCCATGCATCCACAGCAGCTGCTGCTGCTGCAAATCCTTTGGCATGGAGCAAAACTGTAAGAGTGATGGAATCTTGAACAGTCTGAATTTGGAAGTTTGACATGATGGGTTAGATACTAACATCTGAAGTCTGAACTCTCAACTACAGGTAATACATGACTCCTGTATCTCCTGATCACTTGCATTTCCAAATTAAACTTCTTATTATCTGCTTCTTCTATGATACTAATACAAGAGAATATTTACATGTGCTAACTATGCTAGATTAAGGTTAATTAATAGTCACTGTGTCCCGGTCTGCAAGACAGGAAATAAAGCTGGATTGAAACAGGGGTTACATAGTACTAGCAGCAGCAGTTTACAGAGTTAAATCAATGAGCTTCTTCTTCTGTTCACATACGTGTGAGTGCAATAAGCCTTTTTACATGCATGCTTAGGTTTATTGGTGATCTTTTCATAGACGTGCATGCATACTAGTACCTGTGTAGTAGCTAGCATAGATCTCATGAGTGGTAGTGATAACATCTCTAGCCCTTAGGCCATCAAAGAAGGATACAAAAACAGTAAAAAGAGACAGGACATGAACAGCAAGATACTCCTAAGCCTGAAACCTGAAGGCTGCTTCTGCAATTATAAGCTTGTGAAGCAGCAAGCAGGCAGCACTGCAGCAGTGAGCACTACTCCTCCTACTACAAATTAAAAAGAAAAAAAAAACTTTTTTTTTCAGAGACAGCTAGAGACAAGAGAAAGTGTCACTACAAGGTGAAGGAGACACTGAAACACAGAGGACCCTTGGTGGTTTTGAGCAGCTGGGTTCTTCACAAAGATTCAGAGATGTGTCTTTCCATGGCATGAGTGCATGCATGGCTGCAGATGCAGAGGCAGAGGCTTGCAGCAATGCAAAGAAAGATTGCAGTCATGCAGCAGTCTTGTGCTGCAAGTGCTTTGCATGCATGCATGCATGCATGCATTTGCATGTGTGATACTCCACTATATAAATGTGCATGGTCCACAAGATCTTCCTTGACATATCACAACAACTATGATCAAAACTCTGACCTCCTCCCAATCCAAACATCTTGTCATGCACAATCTTTTCTTCCTCCTCCCTCCCCTGCCACATTGGAGATATGAGAGAGAAATCACAAAAGATGCAGAGCTTTAGGTCTCCCTATCTCTTGTGCTTTATAGGCATGCAGAAATGTGGACATTGTTGCAGGCTGCAGCACAATGGAAAGCCAAATCTAATCTAAAGTAGGAGTAGTATATGTAGTGTATGCAACATTTCTGAATGCCAATATGTACTTGTGTACACATGGCTCCCAATGCTCCAAAGTACTCTTCTGCTCAATGCCATCATGAGGTTGGGGGCTTATTGGTTTACACATTTTTGCAAGGAGATGATCCATATAAAAGGAAATACAAAAATGATATACATACGACCCTGTTGTCCGGCTACCGTGTACGACTCTAGCTACAAGGAAAGGCACAGACGGTAAAAGTCTCACTCCGTAATAGAATCTGACATGCGTAGTGATGCCATAACGGAGTCGGACGCTAGTCGAACGCTGGAGTAGTATGTATAGCAGCGATCAAGGAAATACTAGTACTATATCATGAAAAAAAATGTGTGCATGTATCTTCTGGGATTGATTGATTGATTGATCGATCGACCAGCCACACGCATTGCTTGCTTGATTCCATGAAAACATGCCACTCATTTCATGCCCAGCTTTGCAAATTGGAATGCAGATTTGTTTGTATATATATACACATTGTGCACTGCTATGCCTATTTCATCGTCATCATCATTCTGATGCTAGCAGCAGGAGGAAGGGAGAACAAATGATTTGGATAGTAATCTACATTATGTGTAGATAATTAACATGACGTTTCCTGATCACTGATTACTACTACTTATATTATCATTCAGAGAACAACAAGCAACTGAGAAATTGGGGTACTATACTAAAGGAAAGAGACTTGCTTTGTCTCTGAAATAGATGGCCATTTGCAGGGACGTTTTAACTGCCTCTTAATCGATGTGCTTTCAACATGTGATTGGTGGGTGTCATCTCACTGCATTCTTTCAAAACTCTGAATGTGCCTCTCTTTCCAGTAAACATCACTGCGTTCATCCTCTCTGCTGAACCCATTTCTGTGGTTCAGATGAGTGCAACTTTTTTTTTTAAACAAAGTTCAGACTGCAACTTATATATGCTAGTACTAGCTATGTAGCTGTTTGTTTAAAGTTTGTACGTTCCACAAATCATGCACTAATTAAGCAGCAGTTTGCACCACAAAGCGAAATTTTTGACACCTGAAATTAATTTTTGTGCTTTCATCAGGTGCTGATTGCTGAAGAATCTGCATTGCTTGATTATGAGATCCTAATCCTGGATGACATTAATGTATCTACGTACTACAGAAGAATTGGAGGACAGTAGTACACAGCATTAAGAAATTAAAACGGTTTGGGATTAAATTTATTGGAGGTTGACTATATCACAACTGCTTAAAAGAACACACATAATTGATTTTAGAAAATCCAGCATACAGCTTTGCTTGCAAAATGTAGTTTATAGAGGAGCATATATATTAGCATGTATATAAACTATCTTGCTCATTACTTAGGAATTAGTGACTAGCACGTACTTGGTAATAAAAATTTGTGTTTGATATGCATCTGTAAGTACGTGCTAGCTAGCTAGCTATATGGTTGAACGCGCAATTAATCCCCACTAATATTTCAAGATCATTGATTGATACTCTTTTGTAGCCTTGCATATTAGTATAGATTAGATTAGCAAAGTTATTATACTCTTTTGTAGCCGTAGCTTTAATACTAGCAAAGTTATAGTTCAAACTAGATTAAATTAACAATAAATGCTTGACGGGAGATGATCAAGTAGTCGACTTAATTAAATAGCTAGAGAAAACCTAAAATATAATAATCAAAAGTTACATGATTCCTGAGCATGCATATGCCTAGCACAGATCGATAACTTTATATATGTAGTAACTAGAGATTCTAAGAAATTTATTAAGGGATTTGACAAAATATTCAGGTCAACTCATATTGCTTAGTTGGAGAAATTAATGAGTTGGTGATTGTTGTGTTGGGTGCCCCAATTATCTTAGTTTACCATCACATGCATGTCCTTGGGTGCCCCAATTATCTTATAGTTTACCATCACATGCATGTTCTTTAATTAAGATCTGATCAAGTTGATCTCGCAATAAGAGCAACACATAATTTAATTTCATTATTAATTAATGTTGTGATGAAGTGGCTTGTACAGCTTTGAGTATTTAGAACAAACTAATATGCATTGCCCAGTTCTTTTTTTTTTGACAGGTTCTTCAATTGAATCAACACGTCCTGAAAATACAAAGAGAAAATACCATGCAGCATGCAGAGCCATGAATATACGACGTGTAGGCATTAATGTTGATTGTGGATGATTGCCTAGTTGATATATGAAAATTATGCATTTTTATGTATATTGACCTGACAATAAATTAGTGCAAATGCAAAACACATATATGCGGTTTGTCTCGCCACCATTTCTGCTAATTTGCTGATCATTTTGGTGTTTGTTCTCATCACGTGGTAATTAAATAAATAAATGAACTAATGAGCAGCATTGAGTAGTTTTCTCTCATCATGAACAATTAATATAATCAAGGAGACACTGTATTTTTTTTCATGAAACTGAAACTGTATATATATCTGCATGCATGCATGCATGCGTGCATGCAGTCCTTAATTTAATCCTTCATATATCAACTGAAAATTATACTTAATTTCTTGATTATTTCCCTGCAGTACGTGATGGCCTCACCTGCAATAACTGACAACTACCTCTGAATCGTATGTATGTTGAAGATGCTTATACTAATAAGCTCAACTTCATGCAACTATATAATATTGTTACATGTAAAAAGCTTGGAAGTTAAGCCAGAATTAGTCAAGTTTTTTTTTAAAAAAAAACACCCGTACTGACCATGATGAGATTGATGGAATGAACTATCAAGTTATCAAGGAAAATCATGGAGGTAATGCAACAATATGAGAATTGTTGGTGAGTATATGTTTAGTAGAATGCCGTAGTTAATTTCATGAATAAATTTAATCTAGTTTATTTTATCTGAGAAATAGAATGCATAATACATATGTAGGAGTATATGCATGTGTTTTATATATATATATATATATATATATATATATATATATATATATATATATATATATATATATATCCGATTGTACATTTTTAATTAGTTGCTAGAAGAGTTTGTCTGTAAACCAAATGATCAAAGTAAAAAAAATGTCAAATCGATTTGAATAAATCATACATGCTTGCACTTCAGCATTTAATTACTTCATAATTAAATAACTTAATTACTTATGTGTGTAAGAAATTTTCTCATGGTTTATAGATATACAAGAAATCTGATCATGATCATTAGTGATTGATACGTGTTGTCGTTGTCCTTATAATTAATTATCAGGATGTAAACCTTCGTATACTTGTGTAGAAGATACGTACCGGGGAAGATATGGATGGAATAATAAAATAGACACAACTAAATATTTCAACATTATCTAAATGAAAAAATATATTTGGTATATATGTAAATTACCATAACATATATCGATCAGTTGAGATTTTGTGCAGTTTGCAGTTGAATCACTGTCATGTGAACTCTATCTCAATGCCACAACTAAAAATTGCACACATTAGCAGAGATGCCACCTCGATCGATCGTTCAGCTGTATGCATGCTTCCCAAAAGGTTGCATTTCTTAGCTACAACTCTAGTTAGGAGCTAGCGTGGCATGTGATATTTTGATATCATATACTTCCTCCATCCTAAAAAATCTAGTATCAGATGTCATATATCCTATTACTATAAATCTGGATAGACCTCTATCCAGATTCATATTCGGTACTAGGTTGATTTTAATTTTTATAGGACGGAGCTTAGGGAGTATACAATATCTTACATACATGCTACTCCCTCCGTTTCACAGAGACTTCATTTTTCAGTTTTTCAATACAATGTTTGGCTCTTCGTCTTATTTAAAAATTTTCTATGATTACTATTACTATTATTATTATTAGATGATAAAATATGAATAATACTTTATGTGTGACTAATTTTTTTTAAAAAAAAATTAAATAAGACGGACCATCAAACGTTGGACACAGAAACACAAAAGTAAATTTTTTGTAGGACGGATGTAGTAATAAAGATCATAAGTTGATCTGACCTAGCATCAGGAATTTAAGGTTTGGGCGATTAAGGAATCTCTGATAAATGACAATGTATCAGAAACAGGGACATGATAGCGTCTTAACTTAATAGGAGCATAACAACACATATATCTTCCACAGAAAGGTAGGTATACCTGATGCCTCGCTCCTGTGTCACTGTTGAGCTGATTAATTAACTAGTAATTAATTGATTAAGTAAGCTTAACTGAATGTTTTCCAATAAAACATATGGAAGAGTAAGCACAAAACAGCTCTAAGGCTGTGTATTATAAAACATATGGAAGAGTAAGGGTTGGGAACCATTACCTCTTAGTATTAAAAAAACAGAGCAATGAATTAGTACATACTCCCTCCGGTTTCATTTTAATTAACGTTTTGAATAATGACACGGTCTACAAAACATACCTTTGACCTTATTTTTCTATTATAATATATATAATAAATAAATACGTGTTTACTTTTATTATAGTGTTTAATTTTGAAAGACAAATATATATATATTGTTCTAGTTTCTTTGAACTAAATATTCTTAGTTATTGATGATCAAAGTTATAAAAGTTTGATCTCAATCTTGTCCAAAACGTCAATTATTATAGAACCGGAGGGAATAGTTAATTAAGTATTAGTTAAAAATTGAAAAATAAGTTATATGAACTTTTAAAACAACTTTGTTATTAAAAGTTTTTGCAAAAAAAATACATTGTTAATCGTTAAATGGGTATAGTAGTGGCAGCACATCCTTCCTGTTCCTTGAAACATCGCCTAGGAGATCACTCGATTGTGTAATCCACCATTCCACCCTTAAAACAGTTGGGCAGCGTTCCTAGATGATGACGGATCTATGTGAGGGAGAGTGGATCCTATATCGCCCTTTTCATCTACAACCTTTCTTTCATCCTAGTGATGTCTAGGAGCCCGTGGGTGTGCCGACTGTCTTAGAGATGACATTGGGTTGTATGTTTGTGTCTTCATTATATTGCTTTTTTGATGGTGTGTTTGCTTGCGTTATCGATATGTGGTGTTGTGTTTCTTTTTTTTTATCCTTCTGATTATAGCCTTTTATACAACTATAGTTTTATTTCTTTCCCAATTACTATATCAATATAATTAAAACCTCGCATCATTTTCCATTATCTTAAAAAAACCTCGCATAATTTGGAACATGAAAAGAAACAGGCTAGGACATCTCCATACAAAGTTAGGTAGCCTTTGCTCCTGAGTCACTGTTGAGCTGATTAATTAACTAATAATTAATTAAGCCTAGACTTGTTAAATCAAGAATGTAACCCTCTATTTAATCATTAATAAAGTTCTCTCTTGACCTTAAAAAAATAATTAATTAAGCTTAACCGAATATGTACGAAGAAAACATGCTTACGGAATAGTCAGCACAAAATAGCTAACCTTTTTGGTGGTTAAAAAGCTTTCCTTTGGACTAAATATAGAATCCTTGGACATGTATCTAAGAATTACTAACTAATTATATATTACTTCTTCTCAGAAAGATCAGTATAACAACACAGGGAGACCTCAGCCTCAGCTGATCACCAGTTGCCATTCTGTCACCTCAACTTAGAACATACTTCACCTTGCTCCTCTCTCTCTCTCTCTCTCCTTAATTCTTTCTCAAGTCGTTTTCTCTCTCAATGTTGCCTGCTCGTGTAGCCTATAATAATATTGGCTACGTGCGTTTGTTTGCGTAGGTAGTTCTCCTGTCCAGCGTCTGTACTGCACATAGATTCTACCACAAGATCGACAGCAAATGGCAACCAAATTAATGCAATATTATGGCCTGCATGCACTGCACCACCCTTAATCCTTCCATCTCACAAAATCACACATTATACATAATTAATTAATTAATTAAAAACCAAATATATATATATATATAATTCATCACTGATGACAGCTATTCACAATCTTTGCTTATCTCTAATTTAATCACATAATTAGTTTATCTCTCCTCAAGCTGGTGCATCTCTCTCTACAACTAGAAAGTAGCTAGCTAGCTAGTATTAATTTGTATTGCATCCCTTGGCATAAGGGTGAGAAGCTAGGCTCCAAGTTCATTTGAGAGCAAAGGGAAAGTGAGGCCTCCATCAGCTAGCTAGCTCTCCTCCTCTTCTCCTTGTCTCTTCTCCTTCGAGTTTGCTCCCCTACAGGAGAGAAAAGGATTCATCACATCTCATCTCACAACCCCTTTCATCGATCTCTCCTAGATTATCTCTCTCTCCAATTTGCTCCAATCTTTAATTTCCTGCCTTTGAAGCTATAGCTACAGCCATGGAGGATGTCTGTCTCATCCATGGCGTGTAGCTAGCTAGTTTCTTTCTTTGCACTTCTTGAGTTCTTGTTAATTACTAAAGGATTGCGGCCATGGATGGAGATGGTGGAGCTCGTCGTGGTGTAATCGGATGAGTGCGTGAGAGACATGAGACGTGCATCTAGCTGCAGGATCGAGGTCAGCAGCAGCAGCAGGTTGTCGTTGTCGTCGTCGTCGCCGCCGCCGCCGCCGCCGCCATGGTGCCAGCTAGGAGCCGCCTGTTCCACCATGACAGCAGCAGCAGCAGCAAGAGGGGCGGCGGCAACTCGTCGTCGTCCTGTACTCCCCAATACTGCATCGCCACCCAGCTCGACGCCGCCGCCGCCGCCGCGCCGGCGCGTAGACGTCACCACCACCACCACCAGCTAGCCATGGCGCCGCCCGAAGACGACGCGGCCGCCGGCACGAGCTCTCGTGGCGGCGGTGCAGGAGACGACGACGACGGCGACAAGGACTGGCTCCAGCTCGGCCTCGCCGCCGCGGCGCCGACCGCCACCGCTCCGGCGGCGGCGGCGGCGCCGTCGTCGTCTACGCCCACGGCGCCGGAGCTGGACGTGTTCGCCGCCAAGCAGTACAACGGGAGGCCGCCGCTGTTCCCGCTGCCGATCTTGAGGAGCTACCACCACCACCACCACCACCAGTACGGCCACGGCGGCGGCCGGTGTCCGCCGCCGTCGTTCTTCCCGTTCGCGCGGCCGTTGAGGAGCTCCGGCGATCTCCCCGGCGTGATGAGGGTCATCAGCCCGCCGCGAAGAGCGGCGGCTGCTGATGCTGCCGGCTTGTGGCTGACACTTCAGGCATCCCCTGATCAGTAAGTGTATATACATACATACATACATATATATATATATATATATATATATACATATATATTTATTTATTTATTTATTTATTTATTTATTTACATGTAAGAGATGTAATCCATTTCCATTATTTTAAAAAAAATTACATGTAAACTTCCTCAAAAAAAAATTGCATGTAAACTTGTGATCATTAACATGTTGATCCATTCCATATAAGATTGGTTATATGCATACATGCAAATTAAAGTAGCTAGTATATGCACCTCATGACAACAATGCAAATAAGCCCAATACAGATATATGTGTAGATATTGTTTATCTGCACAAGCTAGCTTTTATATATCTAAATTTATCTTGTGTTTGTAACCATTTAGCTCTTAATAATGTCTAATCTTGTTTTCATGTTTGCAGATTTCGAGAGCCCATTTTGCCCCAGATACCAAAGAGCTACCTTAGAATCAAGTAAGTTAATTATGTATATCTTCAAAAAAAATCATGCTTAATTCTCTCCTTTAATTTCAAAGTACAAACTTAAATTAAATGCATAACAATCCATGTCCATTTAGTTTGCATATATATTCATGTGTGAGTAATTTTACGGTTCTTGAGGAGGTACCATGAGGTACCAAAAATTTAGTGTAAAATTTGGTACCTCATGGTATTTAGGTACCAATAGATACCAAATTTACAATAAAAAAAGTGGTACCTCATGATACCTCCTCAAGGACCATAAAATTGCTCATTCATGTGTAGCTATCATCACTGTGTAGCTTGTTTCTGCAAGGCATATATATCTAGCTAACTAGTAGTCTTTAAGTTTCTATATAGGTCAGTCTAGCTAGGTACCAATCAAATAAAGTTTTTCTCTTGATTTATAATGTCTTATATGGAATTTTCAAAGGTCCTAGTTACATAAAACACACATTAAGATAATGAATGAATATATATACTTGCACATTTTTCACAGGGATAGCAACATGAAGGTGGAAGTGGTGATGAAGTACTTGGCCGGCAAGCTAGGACTCACACAATCTCATCTTCAGGTACAATAATCCGGAATTAGTCAACACCTTTCTTCAGCTACAAATTAAGCATGCATATATACTTTCCTTTTCTTTCACTATTAATTAATTAATTACTACACCTTGATTATATAATTTTCTCTAAATAAAATATTAATGATGATGATATTTAATTTGCTTGTTGATTGTCGCATAAAATGATTGGAAGAAGCAGCGATCGAGTGATCAATAGTGAATAGTGAGCAGTTGTTGAATTTGCACTGCAAGGTAGCTAGTATTCTCTTGTGCTGAGTTGCCGCATATATAGGTTGGCAATTAGGGGGGATCATGAAAGGAACATTATACCTAATCGAAAGTACCACATTGAGCTAAGGTTGGGATCTCTTTGATTTGGTACTAGACAAAAGCAATAGGTCACAGGCCCATATCAGCATGCATGTAGTATATAGTTACCAAAATACCATCATGCTGTTCTGTATATTTGTATCCATATGCATCATGCAAGTTCATTAATTCGATCTCTTAGATTCGGTAGGTAATTTGGACCATAATTAGATCAGTTCCCTGAAGAGGCCTTATGGCTGAATTTTCATATAGCTTTGGCAAATTTTGAAGAAAAAAAATATTTGCTCCCTCCAAAGGAAAAAAAAAACTTAATTTTAGGTGTTTCTGGCTTCAACTCGTTTGTGACGACAACATTTATGTGTAGGTCAATTTTTAGCGGTACAAATTAATTAATATTTACCATGGAAAAAATACATGTAGCTAGTAGCATCCCACAAATGAAAGTATGAAACCAATGCTAAATACGTTTATTCTGCTGTTTGTAAACTTTGTATCATCCAAACATAAAAGAGCTAGATCATGAAATTAATTTTGGACATGTTTTGTACAACAGCACCACCCTTTAGTATATAACATTTAGTTGCAAAAAAAAAATAACTTAGACGGCTTCCAATATTTTTTTGAACCATTTCACGAATTCACAAAATATATTTCCACTGCATTACATTGAGATTAAATAACTGATCATTGAGTAATAAGTAAGTATACAATAGCAACATATATATGGTGTTTATGTTATATATGCATGAGCTGGGTATAGTATTGTTTTCTCTCTCCACTTCCACTATATACATTTCCCGGCATGCATGCAGAATATTTGTTCTTTTTTTCTATTGATATATACTCCCTCCGTTTCGAAATGTTTGACACCGTTGACTTTTTAGCACATGTTTGACCGTTCGTCTTATTCAAAAACTTTTATAAAATATGTAAAATTATATGCCTACATGAAAATATATTTAACAATGAATCAAATGATAGGGAAAAAATTAATAATTACTTAAATTTTTTGAATAAGATGAACGGTCAAACATGTGCTAAAAAGTCAACGGCGTCAAACATTTCGAAACGGAGGGAGTACATGATATATGCAAAAACAAGAAATATATAGGGGAGCTAATTAATTACGAAGTGTATAATAGGTAGCCAGCTGGTTGGTAGATAGTAATACATGGACGTAGCAACAATAGAATTAAGTGTATTAACATTTTGCAACATTAACTATTATTGGGTCAACCACACAGGAACAAAAGCAGAACAGTTGAACTGTCAATGTATACGTGTTGTACATTATGGCAATATGGCTGTAGAGCCCTCAGCTCGATCCATTACACGCAGCACTAAACTAGTTCTACCAACTTATTAATTCTCATTATTCACTAGGTGAAAAATCTAGATCACCTCCATTAATTAATTGTTCACAGATATAAAGTGATTTTTTGACATCAAAAGTCAACTAGCTCTCACTATTTTTTTAATCTAAATTTTATCGTCATCTACCCAAAAGATACCGAGGGGCTCCCATATTTATTATGACATGTTTAATTCGCATTCATCATTTTTCATATTAATTTGCGGCTATGCACTCAAATAAATTGTATGTCTTGATTGTATGAATTCTTCGTCCACATGAAAAATATATATAAATAAAAAAGGGAATTATAATCTTAATAAAAGGAGGGTTTCAAATGTACAACATCCACAAATTATATTATATATATTTACCATAGACTTTGTGGAAGTAATTCTTTGAAAAGGTTTTGTTGAAAATTAACGTTTGAAAACCATATAGGGAATAATCACTCTTGATTGGAAGCCTGGAAGGGCATATGATTTTCGACATATATATATATTTAATCATGTTAGTTAAATAGTTGTCTAATTTAATTAACAGCCGGATATCGACAACTCGATGTGATCGCCTTAATTACCTTTTACTATACTATACTAAATTCATCATTGGGCGTGGGAGTATAAGGGGAATATATTTTTTTCTTATATTAATTAATTTATGCATTATTAATAAGGGGAATATGGTGAGACCGAGTAGCAATACGTATATATGTCATCGTCATGCTTTCGTATATACTACGTATCAATCACGTTGCGTTGTCCATCATACATACAGCAAGTCAGCAATGCAAACCTCCGTTCTTAAAGAAATGCTACGTCATATAATACTTGCATGTAGTCGTCACATCTCGAAATCTTAAATCATCAATAAAAAATATCGGTATTTTAAAGTATGAAAAATTATATTTGGTAGATTAATTTGTAAATGAAAGCTCTTTTACTGTATAGCTTATTTTTAAATATTGCTTATACAAATATAAAGTTTTAGGAAGTGCATCTACATCTTTCGAGAACGGAGATAGGAGTAGCAGTTAATTAGGCCGACCAATTAATTAACAGAAAACCTATGAGACAGTACCTGATACCTGATACATGTTGTGGTACTACCTGCATAGTACCCGATACCTGTTATCCGGTACCTGTGATATCTAGGACTTAGATACATGTGATACGCGTGCAAGAGAATAGTTAATATGTCTATCCCGCTGCAACGGGATTCTGTTTTGTAGCACAGCAATTATATTTGAGCAAGTTTACAGTAGAGGTGGTTCATACCTCTATAATTTTATCATCATTTGAAAAAATAGCCAAAGGTATACTTTTTTATTGTAAAATTTGATACATCCAAATATATACTAGGTACCTCGAGGTAAAAAAAATTAGTGTAAAATTTAAGTATCTTGAGTTATTTTCTCAACTACAGTAAAAAATTTCCTAATTATATATCACCTACTCATAAATTTAGAGGTAGTATATACAATACATTAATTCATCTATACCAACTCTAATACACTTTATCACGATACTTGTTTGCTCAATATATCTACTCTTAATTTCTCTCATTTTTTATATCTCAAAGCTTGTTTGTAGACTAGAAACTGCCTCTTATATAAGGCGGTGGTTTCTTGTCTCTTCTTATCTCTTTTCTTCACCACCTCGTCATAAAAACTTATGTGGGGGTATCTTGGATATGTGCTTAGGTCATTACAGCAAACATAAGTGGAGGGCGTATCAATATGCCATGTGTACTTTATTCCTAAATAATAGCATGCATAGAATAAAAGGAAGGTTGAGGCAATTATGCCACTTAATATTGTGGGAGGGCATGAGATAGGATATCTTCATCTAATTAATTGGTTGTGCTCTGCTTTATTAGAAATATACTATTTTTAGATAAATTTTGATTAGTGAATTAGAGGTGCCTATAATTTTTTGTTGTTTTTTGGACGGAGAGGATGTAATAATTTGTTTTCGCTACTGGTTTATTTGTTTGTTCCCTTGGATTTTTGCCTAGAAGTGTAGTGGCTCAATAGCTGATTGGCTTCTCCAAACTATCACAACGTGAAGGCGACATGCGTGCTATATACTACTATATATATGCATATGCGATGTGCAATTAATGCCAAAGGGTATATATAGAATAGTACTCCCTCCGTTTCAGCTTATAAGATATTTTAATTTTGGTAAAAGTCAAACTGCATCAAATTTGACTAAATTTATAGAAAAAAATAGTAACATTTTTTTACCCAAGATGAATTTATTATAAAAATATATTTAATTACTAATGTAATAAAACTAATTTGGTAATGTAAATATTACTATATTTATTTATAAACTTAGTCAAACACCAAAGTTAAAACATTTTATAACCTGAAACATAGGGAGTAGCTTGTAATAATATATATGTGTGAGCTTCGTTGATCTGCATGTTTACGTTCATATGCCACATGCATGCCAATGAACTATGGAAGAATATAATTAAAGAGATTAATTAATTAGTAGTACTTGCACATGTGTTCATGCGCATGTTCATTAATTAGCTCTATATATTAGTTTGTTCCTGTTGTAGCACATGTACATGCATGTATATATTGTGTGAGAAAATAAAAAAAAAATCATGTACGTGTGGTTGATCTTGATCTTAACCAGGTGGAACTGACATGCAGAGGGCAGCTTCTTCCTCCCTTCTTGCTGGTCAAAAATGTCAGAGACAGCATCTGGTGCTCATCACTGCGACCAAGCTGCAGGGAAGACGACGACGGCGACGGCGAGGATGATCTTGTTGAGCTGCACCGGCGATCGCCGGCGGCGGCGGCTACTACTGACCACGTCATGGCACTCGTTTACAGCACAAGTAGTTCCTGCCATTAATTAGCTAATAATAATGTCCATCCATCGATCTGTAATTAATCAACGAGTTCTTTCATTATTTCGTCCGACCCCCAGCTGATCTGCATGCTGCTCTGGTTAATTAACTGGTGGCTTAGTCGTCACAGGATTAACCAACCAACCAATGGACACATTTGTTTTTCTTTTTGTTCGATCTAATTCCATGTTGATTTGTTTGAAAGAAAAGCTTGGTCCTTTTGATGGGGATGTTCCTTTTACCACAATTCCATCATCCACACAAAAACATTTAACCTGGGCTAGCTACTAGCTGCCGAGTACTGAGGCAGTTCAGCAGCTTGAGATCTCATCAGTATCACCATTTCTTGTGAAAAGCATCAGCATTTGTTCAGCCATCTGCTTCTACTGTCAGTTAATTTTTCTAGCTGCATATACACCAGGAATTAGTACTACTTCACATCTGTAATGAATCAGCACGCGTGCATACAAATATGGGTCACGTTATGTACACATCGAATCGATGCTTCAAAGAATTTGTCAGTTGATGCATGTCAGGTGTCACATACAATTCCACTCAAGTTGCATTCCATAAAGGCAAATGCAAGGACCAGATGAGGTCACTGTATGTAGTGCTACACAAATCACAAAATGCTTGCACAGAGCTATCACAAGTAACACCCATCAATGCGTTGGGCTGTTGGCATCAATGTAAACTAGAACAAGAATTACAGGAACTTTCCCTAAATGTCTGAATCCTCAGACCAAAACTAGTGCCTACAGCCCTACACTCTGGGTATAAAGAATTTTCTCATCCGCGCACAGACAAGCTAGCTCCAAGGTCTCATCTTAGAACTGTGGTCTTGATACCACACCTGTCGCTTTCGCTTATAGCAGTTGTTGACAATGCAGCTTTCGCTTATAGCAGTTGTTGACAATGCAGATGTTACCAAAGATCTAAGTTGACGGTTTCGCACTCATCCTAGTGTTAACGATATGGTCTCAACGCCCTCCCTTCTGCATCTTGAATCTAGATACAGGTCTTGAAGATGAACTAGCAGGCTGGAAAAATGTTTTGGAAAGATCATGAGCAGAGCAGGTCAATATGAATTTGTACCCCACAGAACAGAACTTTGAAAAAACATCTTACATTCTGCAAAGCAGCACTCTTTGAAGGTTGAAGGGTTGAAATATTATCATCATGTTCAATAATAGACCCTGTGAAGGCCTGCAGCAGCCATAAGATAAGGTCAAACGTAATTTCAAACGACATAGCAGCATATATATCCCTGTAAAAGCAAAAGACCTTTTGTCCACTTGACATTATCTTCCGATCATGAGATGTAGGGTTATCTGAAGAAACCTGTCGAGTGAAAGATCAGGAATCAGCGTTACCAACACAATGAAAGAATAATATAAACCCCACATGTAATTAGGGACAAAATGCATACTCAAGCATCCAGAGTGGTGCTGAAAGAATAATATAAACCCCACATGTAATTAGGGACAAAATGCATACTCAAGCATCCAGAGTGGTGCTTGATTTCAGTTGACATAAGAAATATGTAAAGCAAGTGCCATGTCACTTTAGCTAACACATTTAACACACATCATAAATACACAATGCTACCAAATGAAATAAGCAATTTGATTGTGTATAAAACACGCCAGCTGATGATAGGATATTAAGATGAACCATGCATACCAACAGGGCAACAGCTGGTGCCTCCAGAGTAGAATGGCCTAATCACACGAGTCCATGGGAGTTGGCTTTTAGACTTTATGTCTATCTCATTTTGAATTTTAGCAGTATGTTTTTAGAATGCTAGCATGTCTTATTTTAATTTTACTCATGTGACGTGCTAGCTGAGATATATTCTCACTTGCAACTGGTACTTTATTGAGGGTCTGCAACTGTAAGGATCGTTGTATCAACCTCTCTGAGATTGACAAACTGGTTCCTTTTTTAATGACAAATGGAGCAGGCTTTTTCCTCCTAAAAAATCAGTTGTATATGAAGATCTAAGGCATGGGCATATAACCAAAAATTGTCTGAGAACCAGTAATCCCATCAAATTATCATAATTGTTACTATGGGACAAAAATTCCAAAGCATGGGCATCACTATGATGTCAAAATCTAAGGCATGGGCATCACTAGGAAGTCAAAATCATGCAAATGGTACCTGAAGTATTGGACTCGAGTGTTTTGGACCCTGTGGCAATGGAAGAGACTTGGATGGACCAACTGTATGCCTGTTATCATCTTGAAAAGAAACAGCTGCAAATAGGAAATTTGGGTTACACATACATGACCAGGGTAATTATATTACTTAAAAGTAACATATGAAGCATCAAGGGAATGAGGTGCTTCTAGACTGGGATAATGTGTATCATCTGCCTCCAATAACATTACAGAAACAAGATGGAAAAAAAAAACTACAGGAAACATATACTTTTGACAATGATAATCTAAATAAGCATGTGACCCAAAGTAAGTCATATGAAAGTATCGGAACTAACCTTTTTTAAGAGGAAGCTGAATTCCAGGGTTTATTGTCTGCACCAAATGCAAAAAGCATAGTGATTGATACAATAGCTAAGGAAGATATATCACTGTAATTGCATGCCATATTGCCATGCACTCAGGAATAAAGAAGGTACAGAGAAAAAAAAAAGAGCTTACAGAAGTCTGTCCTGGAAAAACCGAGTGAGGTGTGCTGGCTGAGGGTGCAAAAGAAGCGCTTTTCAGTATTTCCCTTCCTCCTGGCTTCTTCAGAGCACTCTTCAGCTATTAGTCATTTAGTGCAAGCATTAAAACGCGATAATTGCAATGAAGCGCACTAACTAAATCAAGATAACATCAATATCATGTCACATCAGTTTGAGAAACAAGTACCTGCGCACTTTCATGACTCTGATCATTACCACCACTTCCAGAAAATGAGGCACCCAAACTAGCATTATGATGATCATTGTCATCAATTAGAATATTCTCTTCTTCCTCATCTTCCTTATCATCCTCACTTGGTCCAGCATCTTCCTCATCATCTTCGTCATCCTCATCATCTTCTCCATCTTCTTCAGAAGTACTACCAGCATCATTTTCTTCCATTTCAAGTTCATCTAACCTTGCCATGATTTGAGTATATTCCCTGTCTTTGTCTGGCATGCCTGAAGCAGAACTTGAAGCATCTGTGAGTGAGAGTAAAGAAACTAGTCATGCCTAAGAAGACGTTGCAACTTGCCAACTAGATGCAAGTTCAAAATGTTTACTGAGAAACTTGTAGGGAGTATCATAATGATATCTCAACACAACAAGATGTCCTCATGTAATGTTTAATTATATATGTTAAACTTAATAGATATGATGCTGTCAACAGCCAGCATTTGCATGTAGAACGAGGGAGAAATACCAGAAGATCAACTTGCACAAGATTACTTGGAACTTGATAAAATTTAGGAGATTAGACCAAATAAGGACTCACAACAATAGTATATTAGGAATTAACATTACAACTCAACATACTATGGGTTCACGAAAGATCAAACAGATACTGAAAATCTGAAATATGATAGAAAAGGCAGAACACCAGTAGCTAATGAAAAGAAAGTTCCAAATGGTTACCCAATGTTGATGAATTTATTTCTGTATCTTCATCATATTCTTCCCTTATTTCAATAAGACCTTCCTGCCAGTATAAGCAAAAGAGATTAAGTATCTTTATAGAAACAAAGCTCAAAACGGAAGAATGAAGAGAGAACGCCAATTTGTGAACAATTCACAATTCCATAAGACATAACACCAGAAAATACTATGTTAAGTTCTCTGTGAGCAAGGGCCCCCTCCTGCAGAACCTTTTTTTTTTTTTTTTTGCCAAAATGGCTGAACTAGGTGGCCCTTGGCAGTGCTAGGTGATCCTAGGCAGGCTGCACAGGGCACTAGACAGCTTACAGGATAAGTACCTTGCTTGATTTTGGGTTAGTAATAGTTCATGTTCCCTGTTGAACTAAATGGGGATTAATTAAAGTGTGTATTGAGCATCTATTTTAATATCTGTCACGGTATGTCTGAATACATGCCAAATTCTTCCTGATTGCAATTGGGCTGCCTATGCAGTATACAGGCGCTAAGCACCACTTGACTGCTTGCCTAGTGCGTTTTAGTTTGACCATCCAAACATGATACCAAAGACCTAAGATAAGCCTGAGGTGACAGCTTAGCTGGCAAAGTACAATATTGGTGCTGCAAATGAGGAATTCATAGATATCAATGATGGCCTGTTGCAAAACACTATTCATTTTTTTCTCTTACAAGTGACCTCAAGCAAATTGAATGAAATTGCAGATTTATAGCCACCTTAACTTATTTAAACACTAACATACCACTGCCTGCCCGAAACATACAACACAAGAAAAGAAAGCCTTACAGAAGCCTCGGCGGCAGTTGATTCGAAGAACTTCGCCTCAGCTTCAAGGTCAGAGATAGTTGCCTTCATCGCTTCCACTTGAGCTTCCAGCTCCATCCCCCTCCTGTGCAATATCTCGGTGGTCTGCTTGGCGGATCTCTCCACATAGTACCCCTCCCCTAGAAGCACCTAGACACAATCAACCATTACATGCTGAGATTTAGACAAATCAACCATCACAATCGAAATCCATAGCCGCTCCGATTCCCAACGGTGGGAACCCTTACCAGTAGTTCATTCGTGTGGATTAAACGGCCGGGGAAAAATGCCGCGCCACCGAAGGGAACCTGCAAACGGGAACACCCAAAAAAAAACATCATCACCAAACTGGCTCGCGGATGCATCGTTACACGCAACCATGGTGCTCATCGGAGAGAGGAGCAAGGGAGAAGGGGAAGCGGGGTACCATGATGTCGTGGGAGACCTCGTCGGGGAGCCTCTGGACGAGGGAGACGAGGGCGGCGTTGTCGGCGGAGAAGCCCTGGAGGCGGCCGAGCTCGGCGCGGCGGTCGGCGACGGCCTCGGCAACCCGCGCCACGGCCCTCCTCGTCTCCTCCGGCGAGAACACCGCGCCCAGCGGCGTCGCCGTCCCCTTCCTCGCCGCCGCAGCCATCGCCGCCGTGTCGCCGCTGCTTTGCTTCGCTTGCTTTGCCCCCCAACTCCCCACGCCAAAAACCCCAAACCTAAACGGGCCGCGTTTGGGCCGTCTCACCTAGGTCCGCGGCGTGGATCAATGGGCCGGGCTAAGGCGCGCCGACCTGTGGGCCGTCTAGTGCTTGGACCGTCACCTCAGCCCATTCCTAGTAGAGGACTTGGTTTTTCTAATTACTCCCTCCGTATTTTAATATATGAGGTTATTGAGTTTTTGACCAATGTTTTACCATTCGTTTTATTTAAAATTTGTGTGAAAATATGAAAATATTTATATCATGCTTAAAGAACATTTGATGATGAATCAAGGCACAATAAATTAAATGATAATTACATAAATTTTTTGAATAAGACGAATGGTTAAACGTTGGATAAAAAAATCAACGGCGTCGTACATTAAAATATGAATGTAGTATTAATTAACGTTGGGTTTATATATTTTCTAAGATGTTTGCTATGGAAAAACTTGTGATGGTTATACTCGTTTGTTTTATACTAGTATATTAAGATCAAGACAAAATACGTAGGTGTAGTAAAATAATTGGCGCGCCATATGTAAGCCATGAAGCTAAGAAACAATTGTGACAAGTAACCAAAAACTACGTACTATAGGGAATTGTGAAGTGATTATACTAGGCTAGCTTGATTAGGCACAAACCAAATGCCATTATATGTGCTAGTGTGCCACTTTCTTTGTTGCAAATATTGTATGTGAGCAATCCTTTTTTTTTTGAATCCTAGAATCAGCATTAATAGATCATCATGGGCAAGAAAATAGCAGTCATGGCATCCATGATGCACGGACAGAAAGCACTTATGTGAAATCTGGTCATGTTGTTCAGATCATTTTTTCAGAAATTTAATTGTTCAGATCAATGTTTCAGAAATTAAGCAGGCGTGCTCCAATGTCCCCCATGCATATGCATCCTTTCAGTAATTAGCATACACACTTTTCTTCACCTATTTGCTCTGCTAATTGAGCATGACAACACTTTAAACTGATCCACAAAACATCACTACTTTAATTACGCCTCCTAGCTGCTCAGTAATTTTTCTGCAAGTGTTCATCCATGAACTGGTTAATTAGCACAAGAAATATACAGAGCTAACCACAGCTTTACCAATGCGCTGGGGGAGGGGGGATAACAAGGTAGTAACTTGAAACAAATCAAGGGATGAAATCCAGACAAAACTCTAATTAAGGTAAATAATGATGCCTTTTTATTTGACTATAGTAGATACATCAACAAAATCTAGATAAAGACTTAAAAATCAAGATCGGAGATCGACAGTGGCCGGCCAGATGAGTGGCAGCAGCAATCAACAGCACATGAAAACTAACTACCAAACTGCTGCAGCAACAGAGATGAACCGAAGAAACTAACTGGACATGCACATGGTCCAAATTAAGACAGGGATCAACAGAAGCTACTAATGGTCTGTGGTTTTCAGTTTTTCACCATGACTGATCCCCCTTGCAATTTGCTTCCTCCTCCTCCTCCTCCTTCCTTGCCTTGGCTGCTGTTCTTCTTTGCCTTCATGACGCAGAAGCATGAGCAGCAGGGACACTGGAACAAGAGCTTCATATCCTGAACCTAATAGGAGTCTCACTCACATTACAGACTAGAGCTTGAGTAGTAATCTTGACACTCATCTTGAGTTCCTTTTAAATGGGCACAAATGGATCACCCCTTTTCCCTGTGGCACCACCTTTCCTTTCCATGAGAGACATGGCCCAGTCATAGACTTATTAGTAGGCTATAGCTGCATAGCCCATGGCACGTTCGTCTGTTCTTCTCTGTTCCTTTTTCCTCTGAAGATTAGTACTGCCTTTAAACAAAAAGGAGAAGGATGAAGGTTACTAATCCCTCCGTCCCACGATATAAGAGATTTTCAGTTTTTACTTACAACGTTTGACCACTCGTCTTATTCAATTTTTTTTACAAATATAAAAACCGAAAAGTTATGCTTAAAATACTGTAGATAATAAATTAAATCACAAATAAAATAATTAATAATTTCAAAAAAATTTAAATAAGACGAGTGGTCAAACATTGCAAATAAAAACTTAAAATCCCTTATATTATAGGACAGAGGGAGTAGTACTGCTGATTGTGTGACATCAAATCACAGATTGATTGGCAATTTTCTGACAAGCAAGATAAACCAATGGGACAAAACTAAATAATTTGCAGTGCACGCAATCATTTGCACTCATAAACAGTCTGTCGTGTGTGCATTATACTATACTCCTGCATACATTTGGTTAGTGGCATGCATGTCGTGTCTGCTTTAGTTCAGTCTGCTTTGATCAACACATGCAGAAGTATTAACATTAATTAATAACAAGTTAACCGATGATTAAGCTGTGAAGACATGCGTCCCATTTGCAGGGCAGTACTGATGCTGGGCGAAAAAAGGCTACAGAAGGAACTTCAGGCCGGGCTGACAGTCCAGGTGTGGCTGTTGTGTTCCTCTGTACATATTGACTGCAGCTTCTGTCGGTGACTGGCTATATCATCCATTGTGGACGACTGAATTTTGTCAGTCTAACTATCTAGGAGTACAGGTCATTAGTTAAGCTCGAAAGTTAGTCGATCGATGGATCTTGCAGTTTGGAACCTCTATGAGATATCGATCGGCATTTGGTACTGTGGCACTAATCGTGTTGTTGATTTCTCCTGTGCAGCAGTAGTGCTGCAGTAAGAAGATGAACAGATATGGCGGCATAGTCGTATGCAGACAGACAGGCAGACAGGCAGCGATCGAGATTGCTGTTCATGTGTGATTGATGTGCGGTGAGTGACGGGCCACCAGTAGTTTCGACAAAGGTTTCGTAGTAGCTATAGCACGCGAAAGCGTTATCAACCCACGGGAAAATATTTCATCATTTCTTATATATCATTGAAAATAGTTATAATATTTTTTATAAAATTAACAAGATAGATTAATATAACACATATCACTATACAAATATACATATTTAATTTTGATTTATATAAAATATAATAAAAATAACAAATATGACTATGGATACAGGTTAATTTGTTTTCTACAACTTGTAGGAGTTGAATTTTACCATGTATATATATTAATCATTCTTGTTATTAATTTTTATTTTTTTATGACTACTTAGATGGCATGTAACAAAATAAAGGATGTCCAGATGAAAAATCTTCTTCTAGCTAGTAGCCTGTCTTGATCGGCAGGCTATAGCATGCATGCATGGATGTTGCTATCTCAAGACGGGTATCTCCTCATATTTATTTATTTTAATTAAAATAATAGTGAAAAACTTTATAAAATATAATAATATGAAGTATTGAAGTGCATGGTATCTATTACTCCTATTTAAACTCGATTTACACACCGAGAAGACAAAAAAACAAAAGACAAGTTCAGTTGTGAATGTTGGATTTGTCTTATTATTATTATTATTTACTCCTTACATTATTTTTGAATATTGACAAATCAAATATTTTTAACCTTAAGTATTAATAGAAAAAATAAAAAAATCAATCTTGTAAATTGATGTTGCTAGGTTTATCGTTAAACAAATTATCATAGTATGCAGCTCTTTTTATTTAAGACACATCTATTTTTATAGATATTGTTGGTCAAAGTAGATAGTATTTTGAAGACAGTATCGAAGTCCAAAAATACTTATATTTTATGACAGAGGAAGTATTATTTATAAATGTGTGAGTTGGATTTTAACATTAGAGGATTCTTTTTTTCTATAACTATTTGATGGTGTTAGGGGCTGTTTAGTTCCCCAAAAACTTTTCCCAAAAACATCGCATCGAATCTTTGGACATATGTATGGACCAATAAATATAAGTTAAGGAAACTAATTACACATTTAGGGGGAAAATCGTAACTGAATCTTTTGAGCCTAATTAGTCTATGATTATCCATAAGTGCTACAGTAACCCGGATGTGCTAATGACGGATTAATTAGGCTCAAAAGATTCGTCTCGCGGTTTCCAGACGAGTTATGAAATTAGTTTTTTCATTCGTATCTGAAAACCCCTTCTGATATCCGGTCAAACGTACGATGTGACACCTAAATATTTTTATTTCACCAAATAAGCAGGCCTTTACATGTTTGAATATAAGTTAGGGAACATCCCACGAGGTACTAAAATTGTTTCCCAAGGCTGGCACGTTCGTACTACTGCAGCATGCATGGCCGGCCAATTAGCTAGGTTAGGTAGAGTAGATTAGCTAGGATAGCTATATATATTAGGCCAAGAGAGATCATCAGGGTCGATATATATAGCCGGCAACGCATGCATAGCAAGGAGCTAGCGAGGATAGATTGATATATACGGGCAGCACGCGCACATGGCTACATTTGGCTCTTCCTCTTGGCGCCATCGACGATAGATAGATAGATCGCAAATATAATTCGACCTCGATCGATCAGATCCATGCCAATGTCTCTGGCCGGATCGATCGATCTTCACAAGATAAATCGATACAGTAATATACACTGATTTACTAGTTGCTAATTAAAATACTTGTTTCACACTAATTAAGCTATATATGCAGCATTTGCCATGTGCTAAAGTTAAGCATTGATGGGTCATGCCATATATGACAACCGATATATCCTGGTTGACTCTTTCAGAAGTCTGTATGTTCATCCATGCGCTTGTTGTGTCGGTAGAGTTTTTTTTTTTCAACCAATGTACTCACTCCGTTCCAGAATATAAGAAGTTTTAGGGTTGGACATAGTTATTAAGAAAGTAGGTAGAAGTGAGTAATGGAGGGTTGTGATTAGACGAGTAGTGAAGGGTGGGTGGGAAAAGTGAATGGTGGCTGGTTGTGATTGGTTGATAAGAGAATATTTGTGTAGAAGTTGTTATATTTTAGAATAAATCTTGAGGGCTAAAAGTTATTATATTTTGGAACGGAGGGAGTATCTGCTAGCTACCTACTATATAACGTAACGACGAACAGTTGCTACTACGTCTAGCTCACACCTGACATCATTTCAACTGAATTATGTCAACGTGCCGAAAGATGATACTAACTCCATATTTT